GTCACGGGGATGATAGTCATGTGCCACTGTGCCCAGCTTTCTTTCCTTTTTTTCTAAGTGGCCCAAGAAAACTTTTGGGTGTGATAAGAATTTTTGCATCTTGCTTGCAGTAATAGGTTCACAGTGTTTGTTTGTCAAAATGTTAAATCATTTAATTTAAATGGATATACTTTATTTATATCTCAATAAGGTTGATTTAAAAATAAAATAAATGATCCTGAGGTAAAAGTGTGTCCTGTGAATTTAGGGAGTAGCAAGATGAGGGGTGAGGGGAATACAGGTTACTTATGGTCTTATGGGCCTTGGTAAGGACTTTGCTTTTAATTCTAAAGGAGATCAGAATCCACTGGGAGGTCTTGAATGGAAGGATCTGACTCACTTTGTTGCAGGAGTTGCATGATCAGTCTAGTGCTTGACTCAGTAAACAGTAAAGATTTCTTTGCTTTTCTAAGGCAACAGAAGGAAAATAGAGAAGCAGGCTGCTTCATGAAACATGAAACAATATCACCACCTAGTGGAAAAAATCTTGATTGTTATATAAGCAAAACCTTAAAAATCTACTTCACAAAATATGTGAAACTACCATTTAAGTGATTGTATTTCCCACAGAATAAAATAAATTTAGCTGTAATTTAGGAATTTTTATCTGAAGTTATTGTAAGTTAAAACAAAGTGATACAGTTTGCAAGCTTGCTTTATTTACTTATTGGTTGGGCTGGGGAACCAACTCTGTATGTTAAGAGAGTGCTCTATTACTGAGCAATAGTCCCAACCCTATCATTCTAATTTTTTAAAATCTTTTTTAGTTGTAGATGGACACAGTATCTTTATTTTATTTATTTATTTTTATGTGGTGCTGAGGATTGAACCCAGTGCTTGAGCAACAACCCCAACCCCTTATCATTCTATTTTAAGAGAACCTAGGTCCAACTCCCTGCTGGAATATTGAATTAATGGTAATGATCGAATATCATTAATTAAAATAAAATAATTATTAAATAACTAGCTATATCAAATAAGAACGGGGAAAAACCCAAAACTTCAGCTGCCATTTAAATAGGCTGTACTTTTTTTAATATTTATTTTTTAGTTGTAGTTGGACACAGTACCTTTATTTTATTTATTTATATGATGTGTTGAGGATTGAACCCAGGGCCTCCCACGTGCTAGGTGAACACTCTACCACTGAGCCACAACCCCAGCCCCCAGGCTGTACTTTTGAAAAGATTTTTTTGGTTCTTTTTAGTTATATATGATGGTAAAATTCATCTTGATATAATTGTTCAAGAATGGAATATATGTTATTCTAGGGCTGGGGTTGTGGGTCAGTGGTGGAGTGCTTGCCTAGCATGTGAGGCACTGGGTTCTTCTCATCACTGTATAAAAAAATAAATAAATATCATGTCCATCTACAAGTAAAAATGTTTAAAAATATATATCATTCTACTTAGGACCCCATTCTTATGAATGTCCATAATGGTGGGATTCACTATGGCATATTCATATAAGTACATGGGAAAATAATTTTGGATTCATTCCACTGTCTTTCCTTTTCCTATCCCCCAACCCTTCCCTTCATTCCCCTTTGTCTAATCTACTCAATATCTATTCTTCCTCTCTCCTGCCTTATTGTGGATTAGCTTTGTTGAGAGCCACAGCCGAAGGGGCCCCAGCAAACTTCCAGCTGCCGGCTGATGATTGGCTCACAGCGGCCCCAGCAACATCTAGCTGATTGGCTCCTCGGCCCCAGCAACATCTAGCTGATTGGCTCCTCTGCGGTGATGCTCATTGGACTGTTTCCCTGCCCTTTCAGACCACGGAGCTGCTCATTGGGGGACTTTTTTGGCTCCGCCCACGTGACCCAGCCAATCGGCCTCAAGAGCAGGAGGATTGAGGGAGGTGGAGAGAAGCTGGTGTGGGAGAGAGAGGCTTGTGGAAAGCCGGTGGTGGCAGTTGAGGCTCTGAGGGTTTTTCCTGAGAGGCTGTTTTGTTTGGCGTGTGTGGTTCTAAAAATAAAGTTAGTTTCTTTTGACAAGTGGCTCCTGATTGTGCCCAGCCAGACTGCGGCATTTGGTGGCCCGTACGGGGAACGACTGAGGGTAAGTGAAACTGCTCGCCCCTGAGGGCAGGGCGAGAGGATGGGTAGCCATTTTAAGATTCCTCTTTTATTTTGCTTCACTTTTGTTTTAAGTTGCCTGTCCCTGGAGATGAGTGAGACGGAAGAAAAACCGCTCACATCTGAGGAAAAACTATTTACGTCTGAGGAACAGATAGGGAGAAAGGACGGATGCCCATGTCAGGAGGATAGAAAGGCTATAATGACTTTTTGTTGTTCCCTTTTTATTTCATTCTGTCTCGGTTTTGTTTGGCGTCATCTTGTTGGGTTGTATTATAGTAGAAATATGGGATCAGAAATTAGTAAAAAACAAACTGAAAGAGTGTTAAGTAAATTGTTAGAGGAAGGAGGCATCCCAGTAAAATCAAGAGCAGTCAGGGCATACGTTGATACAATACAAAAATGTAGCCCATGGCTTTTTAAGGAGGAGTTGTTAAATATATCACAATGGAACCATCATGGTGAAGATTTAAAAAGAATAGAAAAGAAAAGCCCAGGGACTCTGCCAGTTGGCACATTGCCATTGTGGACATTCGTATCTTGTTTGCTTAGTCCAAAGCCTTCAGTTCAGACAATGGTAGAGGAAGGAGAAGACATAATGATTCAAGTAAAAGAGAAGGTCTCTCAAGTTAGTCAGACAGAGGAAAAGATTCAAGTAAAAGAGAAGGCCTCTCAAGCTAGTCAGACAGAGGAAAAGATTCAACTAAAAGAGAAGGCCTCTCAAGCTAGTCAGACAGAGAAAGAAAGTGTAAAACAGAAAAAGCCATCAGGGGGAAAGTTACAACAGGAGACTGCTACTAACACCTTTCTATCACCAGAGGGTGTAAGTGTCCAACCAACAGCACCACCTCTACAGGAGACTGCTACTAACACCTTTCTATCACCAGAGGGCGTAAGTGTCCAACCAACAGCGCCACCTCCATATGCTATATCAACAAAAACATATGACCTTAGATTTTTGGGGACTGGCTTATTTCCCTTAGCATGATAGTCTCCAGGTCCATCCATTTACTTGCAAAAGCCATAAAGTCATTCTTCTTTATGGCTGAGTAATATTCTATTGTGTATATACCACATTTTCCCAATCATAACAGATTGTACTTTACATGAATTTCAGAATAAGGAAGTGCAGTTAAAAAAAAAAAAAAAAAAAAAAACAATAGGCAAACTGCCTTAGATCACAAAGCTCTGAGGACATAGTTTGGGATTCCAGCCAAGCCTGGCTAATGAAAATGTAAGATTTACTTATACTGCACTACTTCTAGCTGTAGAGAATGTTTCCTATTTAATAGTGCATCTGTAATGGTTGATTATCTTCCTAATAATATATGCTCATGAAGCAATCACCTTCCTATTCAGCATGTTGCTTTATCATTTTCCTTATGTGTTCTTATATTTTAAAAGAGAAGGTTGCCAGGCACAGTGGCACGTGACAGCTATACCAGAGAGGCTGAGGCAGGAGGGTTTCAAATTCGAGGTCAGCAATGGCAACTTTGGCTAGACCCTAACTCAAAATAAAAAATAAGAAGGATGTGATAAAGAAGAATGAAATTATGTCATTCACTGGATGGAACTATAGAACATCATGCTAAGTAAAATAAATCAAACTCAGAAGGTCAGGATCCATATGTTTTTTATGATTTGAAGATGAGGTGCTCCCAAAAGCTCATTCATGAGACAATGAAAGAATGTTCGTCCCACTCAGTCAAAAGTCAAAGGTAGACCTGGGTAGGACTCTCTGGAAACCTCCCTGGGACTCCCCAATAAAACTGGAGGGCAAGAGGGGCACTCTGGCCTTCTGAGAAGACCCACTGTCTCCATTGAGAAGGTCCCTTTTTCTATCCCCTTCTAACAAATTTATGCCTGCTACTCTGAGCCACATGTCTGAAATCTGTGTGTCATGATTCAAGAGCTGGTGAGGGGACCTCTGTGCGGCCTCAGTTTTGCAGCAGGCCCTTGCCCCCAAACAACTGTATGGATATGGCGTAATGAATCCCATTATTATGTATAGTTATAATGCTTAAATAAAACACGTAATAAAAAGTGCTGGGGATGCAGCCCAGTGGTAGAGCACCACTGGGTTCAATCCCCAGTGTTGGAGGCAGGGTGAGCAGAATGAGAAGGTTAATGAAGAAGTCATAAACTAAAATTTCCACCACCAACTGAAGCATCTCACAGACCTGAGACTCCCTATTTTAGTATTTTCATATTATCTGAAGAGCTGAAACAAACGAATGGGTAGACTAGTCCAAGCCACTGTCTCCCAGGTAGGATGGTCGCCGGGCACAAACACGTGAGATGCCCAGTCATATTCTAATCAGCTGTTTCTCTGTGGTGCATCCTTTGCACAAAACCCCGCAAGATGCTTTTAGAGCCATGATACACTAAGCTGGAATCAGACTTTGCCATCTCCTGTCTTTGCCACCACGGGCAAAGGTCCTGTTTCCTCGTTTGCAGAAAACAAGATGACCATGCCCCACCTCGCAGGGTCGTCCTAAAGGGTTAATGAAACTGTACGTGCAAGGACAGGGAGCACTGGCGGGGAATAATGGAGTGGGGCGGAGTGGGGCGGGGTAGGGCGGGGAAGGACTGGGTAGGGTTCTGTCAGGCCCCGCCGGGTCTCAGCTCTGCTCCGCGAACTTCCACGCAGCCCGCCCGCGGGCAGCGGATTTGCTTTCTAGCTGTCAGGATTCTGTACAATGACCCGGCCTCCTAGGGGTGGCGCGCCCTGATGCTTTGGGATCTTCCCGCGTACTGCGGCGTGCTCCGCCCCGGATACACGTCTCCAGCGCCTTGGCGCGCTTTTGAAATAGTGTATATTTCGTGTCCGTTTGGCCGGCTTCTGCTGCTTGAGTGTCTGGTTCTTGCCCGTCGCACCCGCCCCCGCCCCCGCCCCCGCGACCCTGGTGCTCCGCATCCCCCTCGCCGCGCCGCGATGAGGACACGCGAGGAGGTGGACGCGACGCTGCAGGTCGCCAAGCTGAACGCCGCCGAGCTGCTGCCCACCGTGCACTGCCTGGGCTTCGGCCTGGGGGCCAGCGGCGCGCCTGCCGGCGACTTCTGCTTGCTGGAACTGGAGCCCGCGCTGTGCCAGCAGCTGGAGGCCGGACACAGGTGAGCCGGGGGCCAGGGGCCCAAGACGCCCCGCGGAGCCCGCCTGCTGCCAGCCGCCTTCTGATTGTTTTTCACCCGGAAATTCAGGCGGAGCAATCAGGGCCAGAGAAATGCCAGAGGCTCACAGCCAGCTGGTGGCCTGATATCTGGCGTGCTGCCAACTCCCGAGAAGAATCCCCAGCCCCTGCATGGCCCTGCCGTTAGCTGGACTGAGGTGATAAATAGGATTGGTTCAGCCGAACCTGGAGGCCTGTGTCAGCGGAATTGTCGGCAACTAGAACCCCACTAAAAATTTGAAGACATTAACAGTGATGCCAGGGACTCCACAGGATGCTTTGTCATTCTACTTTGTTGTTGTTCTTGTTAGGTACAAATGATAGTAGAATGCATTTTGACACATCATACATAGATGGAGTAAAACTTACCATTTTTGTGGTTGTACATGATGTGGAATTACACTGCTCTTGAATTCATATATGAACATAGGAAAGTCATGTTTGATACATTCTGTTGCCGTTCTACTTTAAAGTACAATGATAATATCTGATCTTTACAGATGTCTTGTTTCCCACTTATATTACTTTTACTCAAACGATGGATAGGACTTTTAGGGAATAAGTTAAAAGCCTTAATTATGGGGGGGCTGGGGTTGTGGCTCAGCGGTAGAGCGCGAGGCCCTGGGTTCCATCCTCAGCACCACATAAAAAATAAATAAATAAAATAAAGGTATTATAATTTTTTTTTAAAGCCTTCATTATGACTTGGTAATTGAGCAAGGGCCCCAAGCAGACTTGTTTGGGGTCATTTAATGGGGACTTAAAGCTATTTCTAATTCTAGGTCAGCTGCAAATTTGCTGCCAACCTCTTGGATTAAAAAACATAGTCAGGTATTGAGAGTGTTGCTCTGTGGTACAGTGCTTGACTAGCATGCAGAGGCCTTGGGTTTGCTCCCAGTACAAACAACAACAACAACAACAAAAACAGAAGTTGGAAGTTGTGAAGGCAGCCTTGAGAAATCTAGAGAACCCTTCAATCAGTTGCTTGTCAACTTGGTGCAGTCCCAACTCCTGCAAATTGATTTTCTTTTGTGCCTCTCTTTCTCCAACATACATATTTGTAGGTTCCTTTTAGTTGGGCCCTTTGGGCTGTGTTTCAATCTTCATAACTTGACTCTTTCAAACAGTGTTCTAGTCAATTGACCAGTCTTTGGTATTAATCAGAGTACCCTTAAGAGAACTGAAAAGCTTCCCTTATTAGTTTCCATTCCATCTGAGTTAATGGAGATCAAAAAGACTTCAGGTATAAGAACCTTCTCGTTATCCGGTTAAGCTGACAAACTTGTGCATTTTATTGGGGATAGTGCAATGTAGAAACAAACATTAAAGGGTAGACATTTGGGCCTATTAACTATTAGCAACAGGAATCTAAGAAACATTCTTTTCACTTAACTGATGGCTTAGTTACAAAGACAATTGCAGTCTTCTGTTTTAGATTTGTAATTATTTGTTTAAAAGAAGTGAGTTGTGCACAGGAGAGTTTAATGTTCCATACACAAGGAAAACTTGGAGAATCAACTCTGTCATCTCCATCATCTGGTCTTTCCTCTTCCTCCTCCTCACCTTCATCCTTATCTTTTTGCTTTTCTTCACCTGTGATAAATTCCCTTTCTCAGAGTCTTTCATTTGTATACATATCCTTGTCCTATTTTTCATTCAGCATACAATCTTCTTTTCATAAGGCCGAGGTTTCTTTGCCACATAGCTAATGGTTAGGCTAGGATGTGCTCCTTTGATTGCTCAGAACAAAACACCGAAAACATTTGAGTGGGCATCAAAGCAGTAGTGTGCTTATCCTAGGTAGCTTTATAGAAATAGAGTCTTAGGTCCCATCCCATACCTACTATATCCCAATTTGCTTTATAACCAGATTCCTATGCACATGTTTCATAAGCACAACTGTAGCCTGTTTTAGAAAGTTGTGAGACATTGACTAAAGCCTCTAGATACTTGTGGTCTTCCCAGTAGCTTGCACAAAGATGCCTTTGGGTGACATTTGGCCTCGTGGCCTCTTTAGGTCTTTCTTGCCCATATTTAGTTATTGTTTTCCTTAGTGAGGCACCAGGCGCCTGTCTGGCTCTCACTTGGTCCAGTATTTGCTCTTTGGAATCCATGATTGTACCACAAGGCTGGACACAGCATCAAGGCTTAATTTTAAATTCTGCAAGCCAGAACATTCGGGAAGTGAGTTTAAAATGAAGATGTCCACTGGAGTCTCAATAAACCATATATATATATATATATATATATATATATATATATATATATATATATATATATAAATAAAATAGACCTTTTTTTGTTTTTTTATTTATATGCAGTGCTGAGAATAGGACCCAGTGCCTCACCCATGCTAGGCAAATGCTCTACCACTGAGCCACAACCCCAGCCCTAAACCATGTATTTTCCCTCTGTTTTCCTGCAGTCTTGTGATTCGGGGAGATAAAGATGAACAAGCTGTGCTATGCAGTAAAGACAAAACATATGACTTGAAAATAGCAGATACTTCAAATATGTTGCTTTTTATTCCTGGCTGTAAAACTCCAGACCAGCTGAAGATGGAGGAAACACAGTGTAACATTATTCACACTGAGGTACTGTTTTCTCTCCCCTCATTTATGTAAGCCTGAGGTTGATAAGACAGGTGCCAATCTTGCCTTTTATTAAAACTTTTGGCATAAAATGTATAATCGTGGGGAATTGCAGAAGTTGTGTTATGAAATTTGTTTCTACTTTTTCATTTATTTTGGTACAGGGGATTTAACCCAAGGGCATTTTACCAATGAGCTATATATACCCAGCCCTTATTTTGAGACTGAGTCTCACTAAATTGCTGAAGTTGGCCTCAAGCTTGCCATGCTCCTGCCAAGGCCAAGTCGCTGGGATTACAGGTGTGCAACATCTTGCTTGGCCCTCTGTAATGAAATTTGAAAGTTTTTCAGCATTATTATTATTATTATTATTTTGTTTGAAGTATTGTGAACTTGTCTTTAGTTTCTCAACTTAATTATTTCTTTCTTTCTTTCTCTTTTTTTTTTTTTTCTTTTGTGGTACTGGGGTTTGAACTCAGGGCCTCATGCATGCCTGGCAAGTGCTCTCCACTGAGCCACATTCCCCAGCCACTAATTTGATTTTTAAGTCTCAAATTGATCTTTTTGCTGATGTGATGACTTTGCTATTAGGTGAGTCATTCAAAAAGTTTTACCTAATTTCAGTGAATTTTGTTGTGGATGTGTTTTGAAAAGAAACTCCCTCAAGTCATAACTAGTGTATGTGGAAGTAGTTACAAGGGAGAAAAGGGAGGAAAATGAGTTTTTGAATGAAGTGTGCTTTAAGTGTGGTTTAGTTCATTAATATCTGCAGCCAAGTATAACAAATTTTTAATTATTTTGGAGAATACTAATGGTAGTTACCAAACAAAAGTCTCCATCCTGTCTAGGTCATTACACATGTAACAATCAAAGCATAGCTCTTAATTCTTTCAGGATGACTTTAGGCCAACTATTTTCTTAAAAATAGAACTGGAGAGGAAAAAAGGGAAAATGCTGGGAAGCTTTGGTGATTCATGTGATGTTACTGGAATAGAGGAATTTCCAGTAAAATTTTTATTTTGGTTTCTGTCAGGTTACAAATCTTTCACTGTAACTAACTAGATATATTAAGAGTTCATTCTTTTGTAAAAAATGTTATATTTTTCATCACTAACTTGGTTGGTTGGTGTCTTTGTGAGAACATAAGAATATCTACAAGTATCTTTGAGCTCTTATAATCCATAATCCATGGTAGCTCTTCCCAGCAGAGAAATGCCTAAAAGGACTAGATGAGAATGCACATCAGCAAGGCTGGGGTTGACAAATGGTAGTGGATACCCAGGAGTAGCAAGTAGTGTTTGGGTCTGTGGCAAATTGGACACCATAAGCCCTAAGTAGGTGGATGGCCATTATTCAGTTGACTTGTAGGTAAGCAGGCCCAGCATTGTGATTTTTTTTTTTCCAGTTATGCTTGAAATTTAGGTTTTGGGGATAAAATCTTCTAATTTTTTTTTATTGGCAACTAATTTAAACATAAGGCCAAACCTGATTCCTCTCCTGTACCACACGAAACCATATGCTAACATCTGTGCCTTGGAGATAGTCAGATGGCTGCCACTTTGAACTATGGATAGACTCCATCTTTTTTGTTTGGCACCAACCTCTTCTTTTGAAGTCCTTAGATTCAGCAGCATCTCCTTCAGGCTGTAGCCTCATCTTGTCAGTCAAGCCTTTTCCTATTTTGAGAATAGAAGCATCCCCTGTCCTTCCATCTCAGAGTTGCAAGGCATCCTGGAGATAATCCAGTTTAGCTTTTTCTCCTTTCATGTAAACACTTATTGGGCATCCAGTGCTCGGCACTGGGCTATCCTGAAAATGTAGAGGGAAATAACATATTCATCCATCATCTAGCCTCTGTGACCTGGATTTCTTCAAGTGATAGACCTCTGTCACAAGTCCACACCGCAGTTTGGCTGGGCACAAAATAACCCAGCCGCCACAGGCACTTGTAGGTTCAAACAGGAACTCCTTTATTTCCCAAACTCCCACGAACACCACCCACTCGGCCCTTCCAGGAACACCACACCAACCTACCTCCCCCAGAACTTCCTCTGCCCTCCAGGGGGGGGGGGCTGGCGCGGGCTCCGCTAGAACTCAAGGGGAACTCAATGGGAACTCAACAGGCACCGGAGGCAGCAGGATCCGCCCTATTGCCAGACAGCAGGGGTCCATATACAACTGAATACACAGCCTGTTTCAATCCAGCATCATCCTGTCACAGCAATTATACACAGCTTAACTTAATTATCATCATCTTAATGGCTCCCTGGGGTCACCTCTCAACCACTCCTTCTGGTAATATGCCAGGCACAATTCCGACTCTGCTGTGGCTCTCAACAAGTCCAGCAATCAAATTAGCTGTAATTCAAAATAGTAGAAATTCTTGCACTGAAAAAAAGCCTCCCCAGACTGAGCAAGATAGGAGGGTACCTCATTTTCCTTTTAATATTCCTTCATTATTTGATGACTATGATAATGTTTCTATTTTGTATTTTTCAGACTATATGTTTTCATAACTATGTTTTTCATAACCATGTTTATTTTCAGTTTGCTTCTACCAGATTTGCAGAATTGTGACCATTCTGCTCATTCTATTCTGGGCAGACTTTAGTTTCTAAGACTATTCTTTCTTAAAATATTTTTTAGTTGTAGATGGATACAATACATTTATTTATCTATCTTTATGTGGTGCTGAGGATCGAACCCAGGGCCTTGCACATGCTAGGTAAGCGCTCTACCACTGAGCCACAACCCCAGCCCCTCTAAGACTATTCTTGAGATGTGATGCTCAGTTATTGATTCTCACTTTGTTGGCAGCATTTTCTGAATTGGACATTGAGAAAAGATGTTTGTTAAAGATATCTATCCATCTACTTGATGCAACTGGATGGGTATCTTCCTGATAAAAGTAGAATACTTTGGTTCCTTTTTCTTTGGTTTCGGTCAGGAAAGATGGATTAGTTGGAATTTCTTATGAACTCTCTTTTAGAATGGACCCTAAGAGGTTATGATATGATTTCTAGATCTTTGGTTTTTCTAATAACTATTGGGAATTGAGAAGATGCAGACCTAAATTAAAGAAGCTAAAGAAACTTCTAATGGAAAATACCTATGAAGGACCTGACAGTCAAAAAGAAGAGGATTCAAATCGCTCAAAAGTAAGACTCCTGTTTTCAGTTCTTGATTTGAAATTTAGAAAACTTTTATAAGGTGCACTTCATGGTGAAATTCTTACTTTTTAAAGGTTGTGAAAATTTTAAACTCATTCTGATGGGCTTAAAATGGTAACTTTTCAAGGGCCATGCCACCCTGACCATACCTGAACTTTTATGATCTTGGAAGCTAAGTAGGGTTGGGCCTGGTCAGCTCTTGAATGAACACATGGGAATACTGGGTGTTATAGGCTTAAAATGTACATATATATGTAAATAAATAAATGGTATCTCGTGTGGTTTTGAAGTACATTTCCCTGATGACTAATGATATTCAGCACATTTTCATGATTTTATTTAATTTGTATATCATTGGAGAAATATATCTACTTACTTTTTTTGCCTGTGTTTTAATTATTTGTCTTTTATTTATGAACCCTTAATATATATATATATATATATATATATATATATATATATATATATATCATATGCAAATATTTTTTCCCATTTGGCAGGTTGTTCTTTTAATTTCTTGATTTATTTTTATTGTGGTAAAATAGATACGACATAACACTTACCATTTTAATGACTTTAAAATATAAATTCAGTAGCACTAAGTACATTCATGTTGGTGTGCAAATTAAGCACCATCTTTCTCTAGAACTTTATCATCTTCCTAATGGAGGATGTTGGGAAGATGAAACTTTGTATTCATTAAACAATGGATTCCCCAATGGATTCCTCCCTCTCCCTGAGCAATAGCAGCCACATTCTACTGTCTGTCTCTGAATTTAAGTACTCTTAATATATCATATGGATGTGGAATCATATAATATTTGTTCTTTTGCACTGTTAGTGTTTTCTAAAAAATATTTTTTAGTTGTAGATAGTCACAATAACTTTATTTTGTTTATTTATTTTTATGTGGTGCTGAGGATCAAACCCAGTGCCTCACACATGAGAGGCAAGCGCTCTACTGATGAGCCACAACCCAGCCCCTTGATAGTGCTTTGATAGAAAAATTCATCATTTCGGTGAAGTCTGGGTATGTAGCTCAGTGGTAGAGTGCTTGCCTGGCATGCATGAGGCTCTGGGTTCAATCTCCAGCATGACAAAAAAAAAAGAAAGAAACTATTACCAATTTCAGTGACATGAACATTTACCTCTGTTTTCTGCTGTCTATTGATTTTGTATTATAAGCATTATTTATTAATAAAAGAAACTGGACTAGTCCATAAATATTGCCTTAATCTGTTCTATGTATTTATTTCCCAAAATTCAACGAGGAATCTAAAATATTATTCTTCAAAGCATTAAAATGTTTTTGCTTGTTTCAGTACACCACTGAAGATTTGCTTGATCGAATTCAGGCAAGTGAAGAAGAAATAATGACCCAGTTAGAAGTTTTAAATGCCTGTGAGATTGGAGGTAGCATTTTTTATTATTATCATTTTTAAAGATAGATTTGGGTATGAATCGAGAAGTTTTTGGACAGCTTCACCCTGTTGCATGCTTGCTTATTTATTTATTTATTTATTCTGGTACCAGGGATTGAACCCAGGAGAGCTTAACAACTGAACCACATCCCCAGCCCTTTTTATGTTTTATTTTGAGACAGGGTCTTGCTAAGTTGCTTAGGGCTTCACTAAGTTACTGAGGCTGGCTTTAAACATGTGATCCTCCTGCCTCAGCCTCTTGAATTGCTGAGATTACAAGTGTGAGCTATTGAGCCTGGCTATTTATTTATTTTTTTGAGACAAAGTCTCACTAAGTTGCTAAGACTGGCCTTGAACTTGATATTCTCCTTCCTCAGCCTCCCAAGTAGCTGGGGTTAAATGTGTGCACCATTTCTCCTGGCTTATTTAATCTTTTGCGTTCAAATATGATAATATTAGTGACTGGGGATATTGCTGTGTGGTAGAATGTTTGGCTAGCATGTATGAGGCGCTGTGTTTGCAACCCTAGTACCACCAAAAACTAAAAAATAAAGAAGAAGAGGAAGAAAATAGGATGGTATTTGTCTTTTGGGGTATGGGAGAGTCTGTGTGTGATCATCATACAGAAGGTTACCAGTGACTTTAACCATTCCTTGTAGCCTTTTTCTTTGGGTTAAGTGGTAATAGAAGAACCATGTTTGATTGAGAAAGGGTTTGATATATCAGGCAGTCTATTATTTTTTTTTAATAGGTAAGGAAACTAAGGCCTAGGACAAAGTTTGAAAAACGACCTTGTCCAGGGCTACATGTTGAGTGATAGGATATGGCAAAGAATCATGTATTTGAATTCCTAGTTCAAAATTAATTTAATAATCTCATTGTATTTACCAATTGCTTGGAGATGGGGCTGTGTTTCTTCTTTAATGTATTTCTAAGCATGTATTTATCATTTAAGCCTGTATAAAAGATACAGGAGGGCTTGATGGAGAAACCGTGCAATACCTTATCGGAGCTTCTTTTCAGCACATGGATCTGTGGTGATCCTCAGTAGATGTTTGCATGCATTCTCTTTTTTTAATTTTTAAATTATTTTTATTATTGCCTAGAGAAGCAGCTTAATTCTGTCCCCATGTGTTATGGATGAGGAAATCAGCATGTATTGGTAGATACACGATTCAATTTGCTTATAATCTTCCAAACAAGATTAACTTTTGTGAGACTGTACCCCTCAGTGTGACAAATTTTGTTGAGTAAAGCAACTTCACACAACTTAGAATTAACTGGTACCACTTAGCCCTTTGTTGTGGTTTTTGAGACTCATTCTGTCTAGAGTGTCTAAAACAGTTTTTAATTAAGTATACCTGCTGCTAATTAGTATGGTGTATGGATGCCTTGAATGTTAGTTTTAAAAGGTGGGGGGTGGTGGCTAACCAAACCATTTATTCTTTTTTTTTTTTTTTTTTTTTTTTTTGGTACTAGGAATTGAACCCAAAGAAGATTTACCAATGAGTCACATCCCCAGCCCTTTTCATTTTTTATTTTGGAATGGGTTTCAGTAAGTTGCTTAGGGCATTGCTAAGTTGCTGAGGCTGTCTTTGAACTTGTGATCCTCCTATTTCAGCTTCCAAAATCTCTGGGATTACAGGGGTGTGGTACCGCACCCAGCTATAAACCATGTATCTTCTACATTATTCACTGATTGCATGGGAATGGATAAAATTTTGAGAGAGGGATACATAGATTACTCCTAGCTCTCTCCTCTAGTTTTACATCACACAATCCATTTTTTAATGTTGCTTTTATTTTTTCAGTATAGAAATAGAAACCTTTTCTCTTGGAAATGGTGGACGTGTGCTCAGTTTCTTTTTCCAGGGCTGGTGGTTGTGTTATCAATTATAATATGGCATTTTATATTCTTGCACAGTTACAGGGATAATGTATCTCAGGGTCCAATGTTTATTTTCCTTTGCCCATACTGTATCAGAGTCTGCCATATCTCAATTGAGCTAAACATTTTTATGAATGTGAGAATATCACTGCAAAATAGCCGTGACCGGGGAATTATAACCTGGCAATGCTGCACAGCAGAGATTACCCTGTAGATTACCCTGGAATCTATGACCCTTGCTTCATTTATTTGAAAATGTTCGCTAATGAAATGGCTATACCAGCTGCAGATTTCCTTACTTTCACAGAACAAGAAAATTATTGTGAGATAATAGAATATTAACTATCTTGGGGGCTGGGGTTGTGGCTCAGTGGTAGAGTGCTCACCTAGCATGCACGCGGCACTGGGTTCGATCCTCAGCACCACATAAATGTAAAATAAAGATATTGTGTCCATCTAAAACTAAAAAATAAATATTAAAAAAAAGAATATTAAACATCTTGAAGAAACCCAGTGTTGGTCATATAAAAAATACTATTTAAAAATAGGTTGATCTTCCCCAGGACAGAATTTTAAATGATTGAGAGGACTGGTGGTATAGCACAATGGTAGAGTTCTTAGCATGTATGGAGTCCTGAGTTTAATCCCCACCACCACAAAACCTGGGAGAAAAGCATTAAAAAAAAACAAAACAACAACAACAACAAAAAAAAACATTGTTTAAAGAAAATAAGACTTTTAGTGCCTTTTTTATTTATTTTTTTTTTTGAGTTTTTTTTTTTTTTGCAATAGGCAAGAGAATGCTGCTGTATTAACAATCTGTTAGCTAATTAATTCATTTAATGTTCAATTCGTTTAAATGTTCTTTGGTAAATATAACTTTTGGAATTTTTAGGTTATTGGAGGATTCTTGACTTTGACTATGAGATGAAACTTCTGAATCATATAACTCAGCTGGTGGATTCTGAATCTTGGTCTTTTAGTAAAGTTCCTTTGAACATATGCCTTCAGGAACTTGGACCATTGGAACCAGGGTAAGTATTTTAATTACTTGTCCCTCCAGATTTCTTTAAGGGGAAGGAAATTCTTTTCCAGAGCAAAACTAAATCCAGGGGACAGAGTATTTGTATTTCAATATAAAAATAATTTAAATATAGAACTAAAAAGGATTTAGGAAATTTGGTAAATGGCTGAATAAATTTACTTCATGTTTTCTCCTTTCTATTTTGTTTTTATCATAAAAATAGAAAGAGTTGTTATGTTTGAGCTATTTTACAGTCATAAAATTGTGCTCACATAATTCATGTAAAAATGTATTAGCCTGGGGCTTGGCATGTAGCAGCTTCCCAGTATATTTTATTTAGTTCCCAATTTAAATAAAGACTTATTTGGCATCCAAATAATTTAGTATCTCAAACCTCAAATTTTTATCTTAGTTTCTAATTAGCAATGGGGTTTAAAATACAGTGTATAAAAATGTTGGTAATTTGTCAAAGGTTGTTTTAAATTTTTCAGGGAAATGATAGAACACTGTCTTAAATGTTATGGGAAGAAATATACAGAAGAAGGTAAGTTTTTAAAGTATTTTAATGGTTATTTTAACTTTTGTATGTTAAAATTTGTATACCTTTCTAAAGCATGCTGATGTTAAAAATAATAGTGGGACTATGGGAGGTGAGTGGAGGTGTATAATTCTTTCCTAGAAGTAGTATAGATGAAAATAAAACATTAGTGCTACATTTAATTGTAAGTGGATAATTTGAAACTATCTTTTCCTTAGGTGAAGTTTATTTTGATTTGAGTGCTGATAAAATATGCAGAGCAACAGCACAAATGTTACTTCAGAATGCAGTGAAATTCAATCTGGCTGAGTTTCAAGAAGTGTGGCAACAGAGTGTTCCTGAAGGAATGGTAACTAGGCTTGATCAGCTCAAGGTAATATCAGTCAAAGTTGCTACGTGATTCAATAGGTGATTACTTACTAGGGGAGATAGTATTTGTCTTGGATCTGAATTTGGAATTGATTTATTTTCCTAGACACCAAGGGGATTATAATGCCCATTGAATTCATCTCAGAGTCCTTTTAGAATTCCCAATACTTAATGGAGGCATAATTTTCATTTCATAACATTACCTTTTAAAAATGACTTTAAGGGTTGGGGAGCTAGCTCAATGGAAGAGCTTGTGTTAGCACTCACAAAGCCTTGAGTTTGATCCTCACCAAAAATAAATGAATCAACTAAAATGATTTTTAGTGACTTGACTAGTTATATAGTTATCACCACAATCCAGTATTAGAACACTTCCATCACCTCCTTAATATCCCTTGGGTGCATTCATAGATAATCTCTTTTCCTACCCAGTGTGTCTCATTTTATTCATTTCTCTCCATTTCCATCACAACTGTCCTAGTCCAAACTACCAGGGTCTCCTGCATCTGTAGTAGCATCCCTCAGCAGGCTCCTGCTCTTCTCATTTTCCCCACCTTCAGCACCTTCCTGTGGTACTACTAGAATGAATTTTGTGTATGTATGGTGCTGGAATTCCAACCCAGGCCATTGAGCATGCTAATCTAGTGCTCTGCCATTGAACCACATCCCCAGGCCCTAGAATGATCTTTTAAAAGTGCTAGTCAGATTAGATGAATGCCCTGCTTAAATCATTTTAATGATTGCCCATTGCACTTAAGATGTAAAATACTGACTTTGTATCTCGGCCTATAGGCCCCCTTTTTTTAAAAAAAATACTTTTTTTAGTTGTAGACGGACACAATGTCTTTATTTTATTTATTTTTATGGGGTGCCTCATGCGTGCCAGGCAAGCGCTCTACCACTGAGCCACAACCACAGCCCCTAGGCCCTTTTTGATCTGCCCAAAGCTTTATGTGTTTGCTTTCTCTCTGGCTTACCACATAACATCCTTCTTGAAGGTTTAAAGATCATTAAACTCTTATCTTACATTAGGACCTACATATAAGGCTTTTGTTCTAGAATGATATTCACTCTAATTCCACCTGACCAACTCTTACTTATTTCTTTCTAAAAAAAATGCCTCCCATGGGCTGGGATGTGGCTCAAGCGGTAGCGCGCTCGCCTGGCATGCGTGCGGCCCGGGTTCGATCCTCAGCACCACATACAAACAAAGATGTTGTGTCCGCCAAATACTAAAAAATAAATATTAAAAAATTCTCTCTCTCTCTACCTCTATCTCTCTCACTCTCTCTTAAAAAAAAAAAAAAATGCCTCGCATTTCCTCCTTCTGTAGTGCCGTGTAGTTTTTCCTTCATGACACTTACCCCTTAGCTTTGGAAAAGTGTTTAATTGCATAGTTTCTCACTGTCTGCTTTGATAGCATTTTGTTTATTGTTGCTTGCCCATATGGGGCATTCTGCCTGGGATGTAGTATATTTAATAAGTATTTGGGAAATAAATGAAAGAATTTATTCCATATTTACAAAGTTCCTCTTATGTCTTGGTACCAAACTAGATGCTAACCACCATACAGGTGCTGAGAGCTGGCCTGGGAATTGGCAATGGTGGGGTGCACATTTCATGAGTAAATCTGTTCTTACAAACAGTGATTGTTGCCACCAAAAACGCATGCACAGAATGTATGAGAGCAAAGAAAAGGAGTTTATTAATCAGACTGGTCAATCAGATGATTGTTAGAAGTAATAGATGCTTTACTTGCTGGGTATGGAAGGATGAACTTTTTCTTTCTAGGTAGGAAGGGCAGAGACAGGTACCAAGAGAGTATTTTCAAAGGTATAGAAGTATAAAAATTGGGGTACCAGGCTGGGGATGTGGCTCAAGCGGTAGCGCGCTTGCCTGGCATGCGCAGGGCGCTGGGTTCGATCCTCAGCACCACATAAAAATAAAATAAAGATGTTGTGTCCACCGAAAAACTAAAGATAAATATTAAAAAATTTTCTCTGTCTCTCTCTCTTTAAAAAAAAAATTGGGGTACCGTTAGTATGGATAATGGCTAAGTGAAGGGTGCTGGCGAGATAGTTAGGGACACTATGGTTTGTGCAAAAAACCCTTCAATTCTAAAAGATCTGGGGCCGTTCAGTGACATTGGTTAGAAGAGTTGCCTCATCAAGTGCTTATCAGATTTGCCTTTTGGAAAGAATATAAGTTGAGTGTCCTTACCTGAAAAGCTTGGGACCAGGACTGTTTCAGATTTCAGGATTTTTCAGATTTTGGAATATTTGCATAAATTCTTCAGGTTGAGCATCTCTAATCCAAAATCCCAATGCTCCCAAATCCAAAATTTGGAACTTTTTGAGCATTTTTGATTAGAGATGTTCAGCCTGTACTATAACAATAAAGAAGTTAGATGGATGGAAGTTTGGATAGATTATGAAAAAGAACATTCCAGGCTTTCTGCACTTAAATACTCCTGTTTAAAAGAGTGTTGGCCAAAGAAATAGGCAATAGGGAATGGATAGAGAAATCTTGAGGCCCTAAATCTACAGGATTTGTTAACCACTTAGGTTTGGGGTTTGAACAGTAAAATCTACAAGGATACCTAGGTTTCCTGTTTTCCTAGCATACTGGGACTATAGCAGGGTGGGGTGATAAACAACATGAGCTCATCTGTAAATTTGGATATAGAAGTCTGGGTCTCGGAAAGACATTGGAGTGGGAGATACGAATGTTAATCATTAGCAGGTAATGCCAGGCCACAGGTTAATATGAGGTTACCCAGAAGAGTGACAGTGAAAGAGGTAATGGGGTCAGGATAGAGGCCCAGGGAACTACCATATCAAGTAATGCAGGAAATAAGAGAGTGATGTCAGTGATGACTCTTTTATCTACTCAGTGATGACTCCTTTATCTACAAGAGTAGATAAAGGAGTCATCAACATTAACAATTAATTAGCAGTGGGTCAGTAAGATGAATTCAGGAAAAGAGCCCACTGGATTAGGCAAGGACAGGTCACTGGTGACCTTAATAACTAAAGCTGTCTTGGGCTAGGGATGTAGCTCAATGGTATGGTACTTGGCTAGCATGAGCAAGGCCCTGGGTTTGATCCTCAGCACTATTAAAAAGAAAAAATAACTAAAGTTACTTTAATAAATTGGTGGTAGTAGAAGCTGGAATACAAGAAGAGGTGACTGCTTAAAGGAACTCTTTTCATGAAAAAGACTATTATAAATCCCTGGATGGTTCATGTAAGTTTCATGTAGCTGACTTTTTTAATACTATGGGCTAAGCTAAATCTAGTGGTAAAAGAATGAGTCATGTTTGAATATTAGATCATTACTTTAACTGCCATTTTTTGTTGTTGTTGTTGTCGTTTCTTATAGGGTTTAGCACTGGTGGATAGACACTCAAGACCAGAAATCATATTTTTGCTGAAAGTAGATGATTTACCTGAGGGAAATCAGGAACGTTTTAATAGTCTATTTTCTCTAAGGGAGAAGTGGACAGAAGAAGACATTGCTCCATATATCCGGTAAGTAATTTATGAAAAGTGGATTTTGAGGGTTGTTCTTTTTACAAAGAGTGGCATAGCATTTTAGATTTATTACTAGGACTGTTATTTTGCATTCCCTGAGAACACTGCTTCCCTCCACACTTGCTCAGGTAGTCTCCATGATTACTGGTCCTGGAGGTGGCACATGTGTTAGCTTTGTTCCTTACAACTCCTAGAACACTTCTGCTCTCCTTCCTACACAATTACAGTTCTTTGAGGGACAGAATATATACCTCACTAAAACTCTAATCACCTCTCTTTGCCACCTATTTATTGCCTTACTTTTTAACATTTTGGTAGAAGCCAAACTGCAGCAGAATGTGTTAACCCTGAGTCACTGTTTAGAGGATCTCAAGTGCACCGACATTTAAGATCCACTAACACTATGGCTTCATCCCTGCGTGTCACACCTAACAGATCATCTCTCTTCTGTTTACCTAGCTTAGATTCTGTGGCTAGTGTCTCTAACGCCTGCTATTTATACTCTCTTACTGTGCTCTCTCTTCCTCATACTGCTCTGGTAAAAATCTACAAAGATTTAATACAACTTTCTGCTTATTCCATGCCTATACCTGGGCAGCTAAAATTTCTCAGAACATAATGGGGCTATCACTTTCAGTTAAGAATGTGAGTAGAGTAGCTGGGATTGTAGCTCAGTGTGGTAGAGCGCTTGCCTGGCATGTGTGTCGCCCTGGATTGGATCCTCAGCACTGCATGTAAACAAATAAATAAAATAAAGGTTCATCGACAACTAAAAAAAAAAAAAAGGAATGTAAGTGAAACCGGATACAGTGGCACATGCCTGTAATCCCAGCAATTTGGGAGGCTGAGCCAGGAGGATTTCAAGTTCAAGGGCAGCTTCAGCAACTCAGTGAGGTCCTAAGAAACTTAACAAGACCCTGTCTCAATATAATAAATAAGGGGTGGGAATGTGGCTCAGTGGTAAAATTGCCCCTGGGTTTCATCCCTGGTCCCCCTCCATCTACCCCCAAAAATGTAAGAGGAACTTACTAAAGCCCCTGGCTAGGCACCATTTCTTCATTGAAATTGTTCTACTGTTGGAACTTCAATTACATCTTTTTCTATCTCTACACACCAGCAATATCTCCTGTTTCTTCTTTGCCCTCAGCTTAGGACCTTCTTTATTTTACAATTTTTATTTTTTCATGGTATTGGGGACGGAATCCAGTGGTACTCTACCACTGAACTACGTCCCCAACCTATTTTTATTTTTTGAGACAGGCTCTCTGCAAGTTGTTGAGACTGGCCTCAAACTTGCTGTTCTCCTGTCTCAGCCTCTCAAGTTGCTGGGATCATAGATGTATGCCATTGTGCCTAGCTTATGACATTATTTCTTGAAGACATCAGAGCAATTAGACAGAACCACCTGTTTTAGTCAGCTTTTTTTTTTTTTTTCCTGAGGTAAAGGAGAAATTGTAAAGGAGAAAAAGTTTTTTTAAGGGCTCATGGTTTCAGAGGTCTCTGTCTGTAGGCAGCCAGCTCCATTCCTTGGAGGTTGAAGTGAGCCTGAATATCATGGCAGAAGAGTGTGTCAGAGGGAAGTAGCTCATATGGTGATCAGAAAGCAGAGACAGACTCCACTCATCACATACAAATATATGCCCCAAAGCCATGCCCCAATTCCCTCCTCTTCCAGCCACATCATTCCACTTCAGTTAGCACTCAGTTAATCCCTATCAGGGAATCAATTCACTGATTAGGTTAAGGCCACAGCCCAATAATTTCTCCTCCAAACCTTCTTGCATTGTCTCACACATGAGCTTTAGTGGGACTCGTCACATCCAAACCATAACACCACCTTATCCCATTGTCAACTCTGCAACTTCCTCATGTCTGTGCCTCTTCTTTTGCAGTCCCTCCTATGCAGTGCATGAACTGTTCCTGCTGTTAAGGGTAGTCTTTCCTCTGCAATAGATTCATTTCCTCTGTCTTCTTTAAGACATGGCTCCTTTAATTACCCCCTTTTCCCACTCTTATTATCAGTGTCTCCCTATCATTGGGATTGGATGGATCATCCCATCAGCACAATATCGATAATATTGTCTGTATTGTCCGTCTTGAAAGAAAACACTGGCTACATACGTTCTCTTACAAGAAGACACCTTTTAAAAATGTGTATATTTACTCTCTGCTTTTTCATCTTCTGGTTTTTTTTCCTTTACCCAGTGACATCTCCTGATTCCAATGACTTCCATCTTCCTACATACAGTGGCCAATTGTCCTTATTTACTTGACCTCTTAGCACTGTTTGACACAGTAGGCCACTTTCCCCTTCTTGAAACATCTTGAGTTTCTCCTCTCTTCCCCAGGGCAGCTCCTTTTATGTCTTTTTGCTGACTTCTCCCTTTCTTCCCCATCTTTAAATTTTGAAGTGCTCTAGGACTCTATTCTTGGTTATTGTCTCTCTGTGCATGCTTTTCCATTGGAGCCCTCATCTTGGATTTAAATTTAGTGACGTCTTCATTTTATCTTCATACTTTACCTTTTCTGTGATTGTTATATTTAGCTGCCTACTTAACATGTCTATTTGGATATCTAATAGGAATTTCATAATAGAACACTGATTCTTCCTGCCTCTACTCTTCATCTTCTTCATCTCAGTGAGTAGCACCTCCACTCATCCATTACTCAAGCAAAAAGTCTAGAAACCATTCTTGTCCTTGCCTTCCTTCACTTTCTGGGGCAAAGTATGAGTAAATCCTGATGGTCATCTTTGAACTGGGCTCTCTCCTTCTACTTTTCTTACTTTCCCTCTCCTTTCTTTATGCTACTTATTTTGAAAAGCTTTAAGCATTCAAAAGCAGCAATATAATATAGTGAACCCTCCACATACCCCCACCCATCTTTCTTAGTCATTGACTTGTTGCTTCTATTATTTAAAACTTAGATCACGTTATGCTTTTTTTCTATTATTTAAAACTGTCTTAGGGGCTTCTTATTTATTTAGAATTAAGGCACAGCTCCCTTTCATGTCCTCATGGTTATTTATGATCTAGGCCTTTTCCCTTTCATCATGTCTTCCCTCCCTGCATTATGTTCTGGACATAATCTTTTCTTCTTTGAGGTACAGAAAAGGAAGCTCAAGTTCAAAAAGGGCAGGTAACATAGACAGGCTCACACAGGTGGCCTAGTATCTAGGTTTTCTCATTCCAGACTCCAGGGTATCACATTGCTTGGAATTCTATCCTTAGAAATTGTATGATATTACAGAAAACATGGACTCTGAAGTCATAAAGACCTGGTGGCAAAATTTGACTGTTGTTTATCATCTTTGAGCCTCTTCCTCTTATCTAATGTAGGGTTAAATAATATATCACTCTTGCTTCTATTGTGAAGATTCAATAAAATAATAATGTAATGTACCCATTCAGTTAAGACTTAACCAATCCCCACCCTGTTTCTCCCCGCAAAACATACCCTTATGCCTACTTGAAAGATGGATTAAGGGGAAGAAAGATAAAATAATTAGTACTTCATATTATGCTTGCTAAGATTTTCATGTTATTCGTTTATTTTTTCCTTCCCACAGAGATTTGTGTGGAGAGAAGCAAACCATAGGTGCATTACTCACTAAATACTCACGTTCTTCGATGCAAAATGGAATTAAAGTTTATAATTCAAGAAGACCCATTACTTAAAATTTGAACAAGAGTTTTTTTCTTTGGAACTGAATTGCTTTATAAAGTTGCTAGATATAAGAAAAAGATTCTTTTATGTATTTTTATTTTGGCTTTTAAAAACCTACTCCTTGAATGCATTTTTTGTTCTCATCTTAATGTTTTGAAACTATTACTACTTACTTTTTAAGTGTAACAGGATATTTCAATATTCTTCAGATTACATTTGTTGTATGTACTCAGTGTAAACAAGGGCACAAGAAAGTATTATTTCCTATATTTAATAGAAAAGTAGTTCTGTAGTCTCTGATGTCTACATGGTTCTATTTATAGAAAGGATATTGCTTTTGTATATAAATTTCACACCTTTAATTAGGATTTGATGTTCTCATTTTTAAAAAGTTTTCTAGATAAGAAAATAAGTGTCTAGAAGAGATCTAGTCACTTACATGCTATTTCTCAATTGAATTCTTTACTTTCAACCTTTCACAGAAACAGGATGTCACTAGGTGCTATCAAGTATATTGTTAAGATTTGTGAAATTGGTTTGGTAATTGCTTCCCTGTTCACTTAGCTGGTATATACATACACTTTAAACAAAATGGGTTTAATCCTCAATCTTATAGATCGGTTTATAATCCTGGCACAAATAAAACTCATTAGAAAACTACTGGTAATTTCTAGTTGGAGTTGGAATGCTTGATAAAATTTGTTTTTGTTTAGACCAAATTTTATTTTAGTTAATAAGCTTTCCAGTAGGACAGAAGGAAAGGATAGGCCAAGTTAAATCTGGTCCAAGGTTCGAAAAGTGTTAATACATAATTACAAGATTTAACTGTTACTGAAGTTTACCAGTTTTTTTCTCATGCATGTGAAATGCAACATGATGGCTTCAAAATATGTTTTTTTCATAAGAAGAAGGAAAACCTCTGATGTTCTTGGATAGGCAGAATTAATACTGTTAAATTTGCTATACTACCAAAACTCAATGTACAGAGTCAATGCAATTCCCATCAAAATACCAATGATATTCTTCACAGAATTAGAAAAAAAAACTGTCCTAAATTTCATTTGGAAGAATGGAAGTAGGTGGAACTAGAGACCATTATGGTAACAGAAATAAGTCAGACTCACAAGGTCAAGGCTTGTCTTTTGACCCAGAATAGCCAAAGCAGTTCTAAACCAATAAAGCAATGCTGGAGGCATCATAATACCTGACTTCAAAGTATGCTACAGAAATATAGTAACAAAAACTGCATTGTACTGACATAAAGAAAGACACATAGACCAGTGGTACAGAATAGAAGACACAAAGACAAACCCACATACAGTCATCTGATCTTTGACAAAGGTGCCAGAAACATAAACTGGAGAAAGACAGCCTTTTAAACAAATAGTACCAGGACAACTGGTTTTCCATATTAGAAGAGGCTAGACTCTTATCTCTCACCCTGCACAAAAATTAACTTAAAATGGATCAAAGACCTAGGAATTAGGCTAGACATTATGCAATTCCTAGAAGAAAACATAGGGTCAACACTCCAATATATAGACACAGGCAATCACTAATAGGACCCTAAAGCTCAGGAAAGAATGACAAGAGTTAATGAGACAATATCAAATCAAAAAGCTTCTGCACGCTGGGTGCAATGGCATACACCTCACCTGTAATCCCAGTGACTTAGGTTGGGGAAGTGGCTTAACGGTTAAGTGCCACTGGTTAGCTCTCCAGCAAATCCCCACCCCCCACCAAAAAAAAAAAAAAAAGCTACATAGCAACAAAACCAATTAAGAATGTAAAGAGAATCTACAGAATGGGGATATCTTCTCTAGCTACTCTTCTGACAGATTTAAGGTCCAGAATATATAAAGAACTCAAAACAACAACAACAAAAACGCCAAATAAACTAATAAATGAGCAAATGGTCTTAATGTCCAACATCACTAGCAATTAGGGAAATGCAAATTAAAGCTATACTGATATTTCACCTCACACCACTCAGAATGGCAGTCATCAAGAATACAAATAATAAAAGCTGGCTGGAGAGGATGTGGAGAACGTGAACACTTTTTGCACTATTGTTGGGATGTAAATCAGTACATGCACTATGGAAATCAGTCTGGAAGTTTCTCAAAGGGTTAGGAATGGAATCACCATATGATCCAGCTCTATCACTCTTTAGTATTTATCCTAAAGAATTAGAGTCCTCATACTCCATGATACATGTGTACTCATGTTTATAGCAGCATAATTCACAATAGCCAAATTATGGATGAATGAATAGAGAAAATGTGACATATGCACACAATGGAGTTTTGTTCATCCATAAAGAAAAATGAAGTCATTTGCAGGAAAGTGGGTGGAACTAGAGACCATTATGGTAACAGAAATAAGTCAAACTCACAAGGTCAAGGCTTGTATGTTTCCTATGTGAAAGCTAGAGAGGAAAAAGGAAAAGCAAGATTGGGGAAATATGCAGATCAAAGGGCGTTCAGTAGAATAAAGAGACTGGGGGAGGGGAAGAGGAGGGAATGAGGAAATACTGGGGAATGGTATTGGTTAATTTATATTTGTGTTTATGTAAGAGCATGTAAAAAAAAACCCCACCATTTTGCACAGCTATAATTCACCAATAAGAATATGAAAAATCTTTTTCAATACATTTTTCTGCATTTATGTGGATTATATGATTTTTATACACCCACAAAGGCACACGCAGCATATATATATTGAGTCAGCAGTGCCTACTAAGGACTCCGGGTTTGTCAGGCTACCTGTAGTATAGGGACATTACCTACAGTTTAAATCAGTGGGTACAAATGAGTTGAGTTTGTGGTGTCTCCATACAGCAAGCCAGAAGCACATCCCTCCTCCTGGTTTTGAGAAGCGCCCCCATTATTGGCCCCTACCCTGTTTATACTAGGCTCTTTGCAAACCTTGTTCCCCCCGCACTTCACAACCTGCGTGCCCGGAGGGGTGGCGCATGCCTGTAACCCCAGCCGGTGGGGAGGCTGAGGCAGGAGGACTGCGAGTTCAAACTCGCCCTCAGCAACTCAGGGAGGCACTTAGCAACTCAGCAAGACCCTATCTTTAAATAAAATGCAAAATAGGGCTGGGGATGTGGGTCACTGGTCGAGTGCCCTTGAGTTATATCCCCGGTACCAAAAAAAAGAGAAAGAAATATAAAAAAGGTCGGGGATGTGGCTCAGTGGTTGCGCACCTCTGGGTTCAATCCTCAGTACAAAAAAAAAAATAAAAGAACTTTAATGTCTCTTCCCTAACTGCGCTTCTCCTCTCATCCATGATTTTCTCCATTCTTCTAAGTTTTAACAATCGCAAGGAAATGAGAAAATTCCCGCGTTGTCGCGCAAGCACCGCCCACTGATGGGAGACTTCCGGGTCCGCCCCCGGAGGCGTCCCACTTCCGCTGACGCCAGAGGTTAAAGGCAACCGGCAGCATGTCGGCTGGCGCTCCCTTTGAGCGGTTGCCGAGCGGAGCGTCCGTGTGACAGAAGCTGGGCGCAGGAGGCTGAAAGGAGCCTAGTCTATTGGCGGAGCCCGGTCTGGGTGCCCAGGGTGTCCCGGACGCGGGGCGTGACTGTCGAGGCTGGGGCTAGGCTCCCGAGACCGGTAATGCCCCGTAGCCCCCGGGGAAGCCGGGAAGCCCAGCCCCGCGGGCCGCTGCATGCCATCGACCGGTGCGGAGCCCTTCAGAATGAACAGGAAGAAAGGAGACAAGGGCTTTGAAAGCCCAAGGCCATATAAATTATAAGTATCTTTTCATTTCTCCCCCTTTTTTTCTCATTATTTCGTTTGTAATTGTTTGAAACCGACTTGGTGGGCCTTGGAAACGGTGGAAAAGGAGTCCTCTCGCTGTGATGGAAGTGGTCTTTGTAGGGTGATCATTATGAATGGCAGTGTCAATTAGCAGATATAGTTCACCATGCAGATTTAATGAATCTTTTTCTTAAAGTACTAAATTATTTCTGTCTAAAGAAATTTGGTTTTTGTGGCTGTTGCTAGATTTAAAACAAGCAAATCATTCCAGTTTGTAGGGTTTTTAAATGAAAGATTAACGTGTAATTTTTGAATTTATGTGGATTATATGATTTTCATACACACACAAAGGCACACGCATGCTTAGAACATATATTAATACTTGGATAGAGTTTGCTTTCATGTAATAATAGAAATTATTTTATCCTTTTGTATTTTTTAATATACAACCCATCAAGTTGTCTGCATCAACAACATAAATTTCCAGAGGAAGTCTGTTGTGGTAAGTTTTTTCTAAAAATTATAATGAATAATAAGTGTACCTTTCACAGTACTTGAACACTGTATATTCTTTCAGATGATGATGTTTTAAGACTAGCTAAGAATTAGAATTCAGATCTGTTTGATTCTGAGGTCCTTCTGTACATTTCTCAATCCTTCTCCTCTTTTCTTTTTCCTGATTACAATTTATTTCTTTATTGTGGAATATGAAAGCTTGTATAACCAAGCTTTTTAGAGTTGTGCATGAAATAACAGTAAGCCCATTGTGAGATCTCTTCTGTGAAAAAATTAAGATGAGTGGACTCACTTTAGTTAGCTTCTAATATGCCACTTCTTTTGTTTTCTGATCCTTGGCTGACCTAGTTTAGGTGGTATTGCTTTTTAGTGAAGTTTCAAATATAATATTTGAGATATGATCAAGATTTGTAAAGATTCTAAACATTTCATTAAGTTCATCTATTCTTTTGTGGTATTTATTTTTTTGGGGGGAGGATGGGTACTGGGGGTTGAACTCAGGGCAGTTGACCACTAAGCCACATCCACAGCCCTATTTTTTGTTATTTAGAGAGAAGATCTCATGGAGTTGCTTAATGCCTTGTGGTTGCTGAAGTGGGCTTTGAACTCTTTGAACAGTTATCCTCCTTCCTCAGCCTCTCCAGCCTCTGGGGTTACAGGCCTGCACCACCACTCCTGGCCATTTGTGGTGTTTCTTTTGCAGTGTTCCTCACACATTATTATTTACTTTGTATCTTGTGGTAGAATACTTTAGGTGTATAATCTTGTATGAATTGTGTAGGAAAGGTATGAAAATTTGGAGCCTGTATAACAGGTTACTATAGTAGTCTGGTGGGGAAATGGTGACACCCTCAAGAATGATAGCATTTATGAGAATGGAATAGAAGGAGTTGACATGGTTGATTGAATTACAGTGAACATGTATGGTAGAAATTTTTTCTAAATTGTATGTGTATTAACTAATTGAATCTTCACCAGAATCTCATGAAGTAGATAATATTTTAATCGTAACTATAAGTGAGGTAGCTGAAAGAATAGAGGTTAGATAACTTTCCTAAAGGAAAGTAGAAGAATAAAATATTAATATATCAATGAAGCTTCTGCTTACCTGCATCCTGGCAGAGAGGAACTTTTGGTATCAGCATTTTTCCAATCTTTTTTGGCACTAATCTGCAATTCCCCAGTGTTGTCTAGTTGCTTTGGTTTACTATATTGTAGTAAAGAAATAGTCTGTCCAGTGGTCTCTACTTACCCTTACCATAATAGCCCTTACTCCATTTTATAGGTATCCAATAAGGATATTTGCCAACTACTAAATAAAATATATACTATATGTTATAGTTTCTGTGTGATTGACTTTGTCTGTAACACCACTTATTATTTGACCTCTAAAAACTTAGTCTGACTATCGTAATGTTTCAGGACTTTAGTATTCACGTCAGATCAGAACCAAGATATAATAACTCAAGGAAGATTTGGAAATTTTCTTTTCTCCAGAACGAATCAGTACCTGGCAATTCGGCTACAGGCCATTCTGGGGTAGTCTTAGAAGATAAACTCTAGAGGCTGTGTGACCTCTCATCAAACTCACTCAAAGGACTCTCTTCTGGAACTGTGAACTGGCTGAGGTCTAGGAACTGAATAAGAGGTCATAAATTCCTCCTTTTGCACCTTGAGTCAAGTTTTTGCCTATTAGACCTATACTTTTTATATTATTGAGAAACATCATAAACTACGTTTAGTTTTCATTCTTCTAGACCCAGTAATCATTGGCCTTAGATTCCCTGTGAATCAAAAACTCTTTTTAAGCTGGGTGCAGTGGCATATACCTGTAATCCTAGTACTGAGTCTGAGGAAGGAGGATTATTTGAACCTGGGAGGTTGAAACGAGCCTGGGCAACATGGCAAGACTGTCTCAAAAAAACCAAACCAAAATGACAACAAAAACCTCCCTCTTTACCCTGTCTGTTTCTATGGTATATTATGTGCCTACTTTTCTGTGAGGTGTTTTTTTGTGTTTGTTTTTGATGCCAGGGTTTGAACCCAGAGGCACTTTACAGTTGAGCCACATCCCATTCCTTTTTGTTTTTTTATTTGAGATAGGGTCTCACTAAGTTGCCTAGGGCCTCCCTAAGTTGCTGAGGCTGGCTTTTAACTTGGGATCCTCCTGCCTCACCTTTCTAAATTGCTGGGATTACAGGCATGTACCACCATGCCCGTCTTTGTTTGTGAGTTTTCAAGTGTTCATGGGCACAGGGAGAATTTCTACAGAGAGGAAAGATTGTACTTTGAGGCAAAGATAATAAGCAGAGTAATATTTCAGGTAATAATGTGGAGATGAACTCCAGAGGACTAGTAGAAGGATCATTTTAGGGAGAAAAGGAGGAGGAACACAGCAGCAGAGTAGAATTGGTAGTTGGCAGAAAAATGATTGAAGTTAAGGATTCAGGGGGAGCAGTGAAGAAAACCCCAGAAGTACTAGGATGGATTGGGGTGAGAAACTCTTAAACATGTAGGTGATCGAACAGAAGGACTGGGAGAGAAGTAATCATCAGGAATAGGTGTCTTGTCCTGGATAGTCAAGAATATGATGTCAGGATGGAGCTGTGATGAGGTACCTTTCAGATTGTGATTCCTTTTTTTTTTTTTTTTTTCCCCTTACCCCGGGGATTGAACTCAGATACTTAACCACAGAGTCACATCCCCAGCCCTTTTTTGCTATTTTATTTAGAGGCAGGGTCTCACTGAGTTGCTTAGGGTCTCACTGAGTTGCTAAGGCTGGCTTTGAATTTGTGATCCTTCTGCCTTGGTCTCCCAGGCCATGCACTGGGATTACACTGTGCTGGACTCAGATTGTGATTTTGATTTTTGTCCAGGAATGGAAATGAAAATTGTAGGATCTGGGGTTAAGGAACTTTAAAGTGGTGTTATTGGAAGGATCAGATAAACCTATATTGAAGTCACTTAAAAAATAGCAAAGATATGTTAGGAAGGAGTGTTCAGTGAATGTAGGGGGATTTAATCAATTGTGGAGGATGGTATGCCTGTATTAGTATGATCACAAAAAACAAGAGTAGGAAAAAAAAAGAATATAAACATTTAGGTGTTAAGCAAATACTAAATGCCAACCACAATTTTTTTTTTTTTTTCCTGATGCTAGGGATAGAACCCAGGGCCTCACATATGCTAGGCAAACACTCTGCCCCTGAGCCATACCAATGTCCATTAGCTATTTTAAGTAGGTTTCATGTAGTAAATTGTTCAGTTGTCATAATATCAGTACAAGGTAGTTAATATTATTTTTGTTTCACGGATGAGGAAAATGAGGCACAGAAAAATAGAGTATTCCAAGAGCATAAAATTACTAAATGGTGGAGCTAATACTTGAATATAGGAGTTTACCCCCATAACACATTCATTTAACTATAACACCATTCTCCTGGCTCTTGTAGTGTGTATTGTATAAAATCCTATAAATGGCCTAGAAGTAACAGTGAGAATTTGTATTTTTCCCCAATCTTAATTTATAGTGAGTGAGAGAATAAGTAGTTTATTGTCAATGGGGAGTCAGGAGATATTTCATTTAAGGATAGAAAGTGAAAAGAAGATTTTTGAAAAGATAGAAAACACAGTATGGTTAAGGTGTGAAATGGTCAGAAGAGGTTAAGCAGCAAGAATGAAATAAAAGTATGAGGTTAGAATACTTGGGGAACTTGCATTTATACCAGTGGCCAATGATGACAGGAGGCTTGTAGAGGTTAGGTGGTATCAGGGCATGCTTTCCCTGTCTTCCTGAAATATTCTCTGTCCACTTTTTTGTTATTACTTACCTTACTGTAGGAAGCCAAATCATGTTCTTACCCACCCTTGCTCAAGTACATATTGATGACACTTCCAATTCACTTTTGACATTGTTGTGTTGTTACTACTTGCTGGTTTTCAAATAATTGAAGCTCATTTATTTGGAGTGGTCAATGGATGACTGAATTACTGATTTAAGAAAATATTGGTCTTCCAGCTACAATTGCTCATGGCTTACACTTTTAAACATAAAACCTTCATTAACAATATTTTTGCCTTTGACCTATTTTCTATGTTGCTTCTACATGGATCTGTATAGATGGTCTAATTTAAGAGTGTGTGATTCTCTTTGGGAATAGGGGGCAGAGGGTCTGTATAATTCCAGGCTTTTGAACAATTGGGCTTAAGGTTGTTTCAAAACATATTTAAGGGACTGGGGTTGTGGCTCAGTGGCAGAGTGCTTGCCTAGCATGTGTGAGGTCCATCTATAACTACAAACAAACAAATAAATAAAATATTTAAAGCCTTTGTGCCCAGAGGCATTATGGAATAGTGGGAATCTATTGGGATCATTTAAATGTATCTGTGAGTTCTCCACTTGATAAATTTTTTAAAATTTTATTCATTTATTTGTAAAAAGTTAATTTGTTTTTTGCACTTTTCAATAGCACTTAGCTCTTAGAGCCTCTCTGTAAAAAGCATAAAGTAGCACTTATCTCTCAGAGTTGGTATTAGGAATAGAGAATACATAATGAAAGTATACAGTATAATATCTGTCATAGAGTAGAAGCCATTGTAATCTAGTTCTCCTTGGTGACTGCTTGAGTTTCATTGTAGATATCCCCATTATATCCTCTTAAGTTTTCCTGCTCACTTTTCAGCCCTTAAAATGTTACTATATTATGCCCTCTCATATTTCATGTTTGAGTATATTAGTTTTCAAATAGTGATACTAAAATCACTGGTGATGTACTCCATGTTTCATCTGTCTGTCTTTCCCATTTGATTGAACAAATAAACAAATGGTGAGTGGTCAATTTATTTATCTGTCTGTCATCTCTTAGGTATATGCTTCAGATAGATTGCATACCACACAGCTAACATGGTAGAACTATGGACTACTTGGTAGGAAACTCTTCTGCATTTTGAAGTACCTACATGCCTGAGATTTTCTTTTAGCACTTGCTATTTCACATGTCCTGATTTACCTCCTATAAGCCGGGACTCACACTTGTTGGCTTCAGTAAGACAGGGTTTTATTCCCCGCCTTTTTTTTGCCTCTTTCACTTACCAACCTGTTTGATTCTTTCTGCTCTTTTATTTTCTTCTTCTTATTCTCTGTTTGGGTTGCAATCTATCTAAAAATTGTTGTATTTGAGTGTATTGAATACTTGTATTAACTTAATTTTCACTGATAGTTCATATGAATGATAAGATGGTATAGTATATATAACTCAGACCCCATTCATTCACTAGGACAATCATGTTAAAATTAAGATATTTGTAGAGAATTTGTGTGTATGTAGCTATTTAGGATGTTATTTCTGGAGGGTAGTATGTTTCTAAGTAGTAGAAGTCAAAGGAATATGTTCTAAAACATACCAATCTTTATAATAAAGCTGTTATTCTTTATCTTTTAGGGCTTTGTGGAACTGACTATATTTCCTACAGTTGCAAACTTGAATAGAATAAAGTTGAACAGCAAACAGTGTAGAATCTATCGAGTAAGGATCAATGATTTAGAGGCTGCTTTTATTTATAATGATCCAACCTTAGAAGTTTGTCACAATGAATCAAAACAGTAAGTTGTACACTTTAAAAGTCAACATTTCTGTCAATTTTTTTGCTGTTGTTTTTAATGATTGGATTACTTATTTTTTTCAGATTATTATTAGATTCTGGATTTTTTTTTCCTACTTTGCACATGTATTTCAGGTGGTTTTGTTCTCAGTATTGTATGGTGCCAAGTTTCCTTTCTTCTTACCAAAGAACTTAATTAAATCTTATTAGCCATTTTCCTGTTTTAAATTATTTTTAACTATTTACTTAATAAAAAATAAAAGTGATTTTCAGTGTGTTGGGTGGTCACCATAATTCTTAGGTCAAAGACTAACTTAAAATAGTTTATAGAATATTTTGTCTATTTTAAAATATCATGAAAATATTACGTTTAGGCTGGAGACAGTGGTGTATACCTGTAATTTTAGCTGCTCTGGAGGGATCTGTTCTCAAAAAAGAAAAAGGGCTGTGGACGTAGCTCAGTAGTAGAGAATACCTGGGTTCAAACCCAGTATTGCTCCCCTGAAAACATGTCCATTACTATTATAAATACATTTGAGAGTACTTGTTTTTTCAAAGCTTCAGTAGCATTGTGTCATATCATTTCTGTGATTCTTGGTATTTGGGGGGTAGATACCAAAAGTCATTATATACTCTTAATCAATATGATATTTTAAAAAATTAACCAGTGTAGTGTGTGTAATCTTTTTATTTTTATTTTTTTCTTTCTGGTACTAGTGTTTGAACCCAGGCTGCTCTACCACTGAGCTATATCCTTGGCTCTCTTTTATTTTTTATTTAGAATTGGCTGATCTTAGACTGGTAATTCTCCTGCCTCAACCTCCTGAATGGCTAGGATATATAATTTTTGCCTTAAGGCATCAATCAATTCTTAAATTGTGTTCCCAATTGAGCAACATGAGCATCACCTAGGAACTTGTTAGAACTGTGAACTCCCAAGCATTAACCCAGACCTACTAGAGACTGTGGTCAGCATCTTACAATTTGTGTTCTAATAGGCTTTCTAGGTGATTCTGCTGTAGGCTGTTGCTTGAGAAACACTGCCATAAGGGTTTGGGGACTGTTGAGAAGGGAAACTTAACTTGTGACATATTTAAGATCTCAGTAATCATTGCTTCAGAATCTTTCAAACTCAGAGAGGAGACGTGAAAATGGTGTTGAAAAGTCCAGGGACTCTTGAGTTACTCCTATAACTTCCCATCTCACATAGGTGAGTTCTTAAAATTACATTGTTTTTAACAGTTGCCCTTAAAACTTACATGAAAAGGCTCATTACAAGATTTTCTCTATCCCCTTTTCTTCAGGAGAAAAGAAATCTGCCTTTAGAGTACTAAGTGTTTACCTCTAATGAATGGAAAGGACATCTTCAAAATGAGCTTATAGGGGACTAATTGTTTTGCTAGAGGAAAAACATATCTATCATATTTAGCCTAGAACCCTGCATTTGATGATAGGGTAGGAAGCCAGATACAAAACATATGATTTGCACATATGCTTTACCAATGATTTGTTTCTGATGCTCAGGACTCATAGCAAATAATCTGTTATAGTGCAATGACAGGAACAGTGGATATCCTGTTACATTAAGGAAGCAAACTTTGCTACTTACTTTGATGATACCTCCTAAAATTTTTCTCTAGTGATATTGATGATGGCTTATCCCTTTGTTTTGTTTTGTTTTGTTTTGGTGTTGGGAATTGAACCCAGGGCTGCTTAAATCACTGAGCTACATTCCCTACTCTTTATTTTTTATCTTGAAACAGGCTTGCTAAGTTGCTGAGGCTGGCCTCCAACTTGTGATCCTCCTGTTGCAGGGATTACAGGCATGTGCCACTGCACCTGGCACCTTATCACTTTTAGTATTAAAAATAAAGGAAATGATAAAGGAGAAGCTTTTCAAAGATTATGTTAGGAAATTAGGAAAGATATAGTTTAAATTTTCCTTCCAGCTAGAAGCAGAATTTTATTGGCCATGGTCATTAGTAAATGTTTAACTAGCATCCCCTGCTTTTTTGCCTAACTTCAAAATCTTTACTACTCTTTAAAGAGAGATGATTTTTTTTTCTGATTTTATTATCCCATTACTTGTTTTAAAAAGAATTTGGAATTGGTTTTAGAGTTTTATTAGATAAAAGTTGTAAAAGGTAGATGATGAAATTGGCATAAAAGATAAACAAACGGATGTTGGTAGATACACATTGTTAAGTTACCACAAGATTCTTAGAAGAAAACTGCAGGTTTGGTTCTCATTTCTAGTTGTCATAACAAAGAGGGAAACATATTATTTATGAGACTAAGAAGACACAAGACAGAAACACACCGATTATTCAGAAGAAATATTACTTTTCTTGGCAACTGAATATAAAAAATATCTCTCATGGATCACATTATATTTTTAAAGGAAACTTTGGGATATACAGCTAGTTAACATTTTAGCATGTTCCCAGACACTACGGTTATCTTTCTTGTTTCTAAAATAACTTTTCTTTAATGTACCTATAAAATTTCCATTAAAACTAAAATGAGAATTAACTTGTAGTGGTTTTGAAATTAAAAAATAAAACTTAAAATTCCATGGTAAAATTTGATCTTAATACATTTAAATGTCCTTTTTTAAAAATTTTTTTAGACATTGATGGATCTTTATTTTATTCATATATTTGTATGTGGTGCTGAGAATTGAACCCAGTGCCTCACACATGCTAGGCAAGTGCTCTCCCATTGAGCCACAACCCCAGCCCTAAATGTCTTAATACTCAAAACAAGTAATGTACTATTTTATCACATTTTTTTCTTATTTGTTCTAAAGTTGAGGCAGCAGCTCCTCCCAGTTTTGATAGAATGTGCTCTCAGATTTAGCATCTTTGAACTGTAGAAGGATATGCAGGAAGGAAAATTTCAGATAAGAGATGAAAAGACATGTCTGCTTATTCAACTGTATGCTAATTGACTTGTTAAATTGCCTTTTAGAATTAAAAACCATATTGGTTATGTAACATTTCTACCCCCCCCCCTTTTTTTTGGTTAATTTTTTTCCAGTAAAATAATTTTAGCACTTGGAAATTTTTCCAAATACATTTTTAAAATTTGAATCTTATATGTTATAAAATAGATATAGATATAGTTCGCTTCCAAAGGAGCTGTGGGTCTTTGGTTGTTTTTTTTTTGTTGTTGTTTTTGTGGATGGGTAGCCAGTATGGCTGATATCTGTTGCAAAAATCTGCACCTATAGTTTTAAAAAACAAATGTTCTTTATTCGACAAAGGATTATCATTTTAATTTAATATGGTTTAATAAATAAGAATTGGTTATCCCTTACCTGAAATACTTAGGATCAGAAATGTTTCAGATTTTGGAGTTTTTCAGTTTTGGGGGTATTTACATAGATAGACTTTACTGGTTGACCATCCCTGATGGTCAAAATATTTCACATTTTGGATCTTAGATTTTTGAATTAGGAATCCTTAACCTGTAATAGGTTCTTAGAATTCTTTTGATTCCTTTAATTTACTAGTTTTTTAGTATTCCTTTATAGCATTGTTCCTTTTTAAGCTGTGTTTCCATGAGGAGAGCTGGGAGTTGGAGTTGGTGGTAGTCATAGGGCAAAAATCACAGAATTTTTCTGAAAAGTCAAAAGCCTATAATCTTGCTCTAGTAATTTCTGAGTTCATGAGTTATGAAAGAAGACATTTCATTTCTATACTAAAACCAAACTATCAGAAGATTGTTCCTCATGACTGGCTTCCCAATAGAGTACATTTATGATAACTTACCCATTTTATTTGGACCAGTTTACATTTTCTCAGGAAATGAGATTAAGTAAAAATAATTACCCATTAATAAAGAACAATTAAGCACTCTAATGTGTAATGTTTAAATCTGGATTACTTTTTGACTAAAGGTTATTTTCTTTTATTTTTTTTAACCCAAGGTCTAATGCATGCTAAGCTCACTCTAATACTCAGCTACACCCTTGGCCCTTCATATTTTTATTTTTGAATTTCTCAGATAACTGGGGATAATGGGATAAAAGTTCTGTCGCTATATCTCTCAAATTTCATGTTTTTAAAATTTTATTGAAAAGTCATCGTAATATGTAGATAAAATAGTTTTAAAATGAGATGGTATGCTAAATGTTAGTGAGGATTTGGACTAGTACTTTCATATATTGCTGGTAAGGATATCAATAGTACAACTTTTCTGGAACACAGTTTGGCAGATTCTTAGAAAGTTAAACATGTTTACCATATGCCTCAGCAGTGTCACTCACAAGTATTTTATTTACACTATAGAAATGAAACTTATATTGATACAAAAACCTAAATACAAATGTTCATAGCAGCTCTATTTGTGACAGCCAAAAGCTGAAAATTGCCTAAGTATACTTGAGCTGGTGAAAGGATAAATTAACTGTGGTAGAGTCAGGCATTGTAATGCTATTATTGGTTAAAAGGAACACAATATTGATATGTCTAACAACTTGGCTCGATTTCGAAGACATACTGAATAGCACAAGCCAGTTTCAAAAGGTCACATTCTGTATGATTCCATTTATTTGACACAAGGGGTAGCACTCTTTTAGGGTGATGGCAATGTTTTTTATCATGATTATGGTGGTGGTTACTTATATCTACATGTGTTAAAATTTATAGAACTGTATACCAAAAGGAAAGAAAAAGGTCATTTTTATTGTATGATAATAATGAAAGAAATAGATGATATGTTAAAACACAGTTATTGGCAAGGAATGTAGTTCAGTGGTAGAAAATGTGCTTACCATGTTCAAGGCCCTGAGTTCAATCCCCAGCACCAGAAAAAACAAAGAAAAACCACAGTTCCTGTCTTTAGGTTGCCTCTGAAGTTTTACAGCTTTTATTTTACATGGTTATCATAATAGAAAAATATTTTTAATATATTGAGTAGTCTGTTTACTTTCAGAATGTAGAAAAGTATAGTGACTTTGACATTCCAAAATTAATGAAGAATGTGATGATCATAATAATAGTCATTCAAGAGCCTTCTCGGCACATCAGTCAGTGTGTCAGTTTCATGAGAATAGTCATGTAACAGTGAGCGAAATATATATATGCCATTATCTTGTAGTTTAATAGTTTCTAACATGGTGAGTAGAGCAATAGTTAACTTGGATAAAAAGTATTCTTAGGAGCTATGTAAGAATCTTAATTCTTATGAATTACATTATGCTTAAAAACAATTGGTGTCAAATGAGATCTAAGAAGAATCTTGGTGAAATATGTAACTTAATGTTATTACAAATCATTTTTTCTCCCCTCTTTCTCCAGGAGGAATCTCAATTATTTTTCCAATGCATATGCAGCTGCAGTTAGTGCCGTGGATCCTGATGCAGGAAATGGAGAACTTTGCATTAAGGTTCCATCAGAGCTATGGAAGCACGTTGATGGTAAAGTACCAAGAATATATTTACTACATTAAATTCATGTAAAATTCAGAGATTTGAAAATTAATGATATCTAAATTGTAAATAAATCAGTTTAAATATATAGGAGGAGGAAGAGGAGTTGAAAACTTTGTCTGTCTTTTTTGTGATACTGGGGATTTAACCCAGGGGCACTCAACTACTAAACTTCATCTGTAGCCCTTTTATAAATTTTTTTTATTTTGAGACCGGGTCTTGCCGAGTAGTTGTCCGGGCTAGCCTTGAACTTTGTCGTCTTTCTGCTATTTTAGTATCAGGAGTTATAGGCATGCCACTATCACTGTTGTTTTTTAAATTTAAAATTTTTACTTTAAAAAAAGATGGACAGGACAAATTGTCAAGATTTGAGAGCCTATGCCATATTAAATCATTTTAGAATTATAGCATCTTATAGTAGGATATATGAAAAATAATCTGATTCAGCTTCTTCATTTTATAGAATAATAATCTGAAGTCTACTGAGAGTAAGTGGCCTACTGAATTTCATTTAGCTAATTACTGGTGAAGTCAAAACTGGAACATAGGATTCCTGGTACTTACTCTATATACTTTAGAGCATATTCTTTCTAAATCTTACATTTTCAGCCATTATAATTATTATAAAAAGCTTTTGCCTGCCTTCATTTAGCCTTAAAAAAATTAACTGAGATAAAAAAGACTTTTTGTTTTTGCTTTCTATATGACTGGGGGTGGGAGAATTCAGGGAGGTTATACAATATAGGGACCAGCCATTAAAGTTTATCATTGTTGAAATTATTGTAATATTTGGAGATAAATTGAAGTAAAATTTTTAAAAAATATTAATGAAAGCAATACATGTTTATCAAACATAATGAAAAGCTTAAAAGAAAATGCAAATTCTCGGGTAGTCCTGTTCGTATAAGTCTTTCTTCTGTACTCTCCAAAATCAACTACAGTGAACAATTTTTAGGGAAATTTAAAAGAAGAAAAAATTTGAAAAGAAAATTCGGGATTGGATTGGAAAGGCCTGCATGTGCATTGTGGGAATTTTGAACTTTTTTCTTTGGGCATTATATGTTGTTAGAAATGTTGAGAGGAGGATGTGATATAACCAGAGCAGCAGTATTTTGTGAAAAGCAGTAAGCATCAATTAAACTGATTGGAGTAGGAGCACTGGTAGAGGTAGGCTCTTGGGTTAATATAAGTGGAGAGAGAATAATAGGCCTAACTAAGGTACAGAGTATGGTTTTTAATATAAAATTCAGGCTTTGACTCCCATTTTATATTCAGTATAACTCTTTATATAGATCACTGTTATTTATATATCAACAGATGTGTGTATTTATTTGTTGCAGAGTTAAAGGTTCTGAAGATACACATTAATTTTTCTTTGGATCAGCCAAAAGGAGGTCTTCATTTTGTGGTACCCAGTGTAGAGGGGAGTATGGCAGAGAGAGGTGCTCATGTCTTCTCTTGTGGGTATCAAAATTCCACAAGGTAGATTATAAATTCTTATATATTTCAGTTAATTTTATTTTTCAATTTATTTTATCATGAATGTGCATGTAATATATTCATTTAATGTAAAATGGGAAGTATGAATTTGATTTCCCCAAACATATACCTCTTCCTAGTTATTCCTCCTCAGTCATGTGTCTTTCGTTTTCCTCTTTCTTTTGCAAGTCTGTTGTTCTAAAATAATTATCTTACTTGATTCCTTAACTTTATATGGAAGTTTAAAAAAATGCAGAAAATTACAGAAATTTTAAGTGTAAAGCTCAATAAATTTTCACAAGTGAATGAACCCATTAAATCCATATCTCAAATTAAGATGAAAAACATTACCAGCATCCCAGACACCCCTTGTGCTTGCCTCCATTCATTGTTTCCACAGAGCATTCTGTTTTCCAACTATATTATTTTCTAAAATGCCAATTTAGTTGTTTTTGAATTTGATATAAATGGAGTCATATGTATTATGCTCTTTATATTTGGCTGTTTTTGTTCAAAATTGATAGTGAAATTTACCTACATCTTTGTGTGTAATTGTAGTTCATACATTCATATTCTCTGTAATTTGCTACACGTTACTGGAATGTTTTATAGTAAGTTTACTCTCCTTAGATTATTAACTTCTCTAAGCCCATTTATGTTTCATTACCAAGTACCAACCCTGACACCATAATAAGACCTGACCTAAATTGACAGTCAGATAAATTTTGTATCTTGTTTTATTAGTACTCAGTGTGAAATTATGCAGTATATCACATAATATCAAAAAGCAACTTCCATACCTACAGACTAGATTCTGAATATTAATTATGTTTCATAAAACTTAATTATAAACTTTTTAATTTCTGCAAATGAATGCTACATAAAAAATAACTGATTATACAAGTTAAAATTATTTTTAACTTAAAAATTGGAAAGTAGGAATTGCTTAACTGTTTATCATTTGAACTGGAGTTGCCACACAATATATTTTTTAAATATTGCCAAATGATTTTTGGAAGTTTTTTTTTTTAAATCAGATTCTTTGAAAACACAGAGTAAAAACTTCATCAGTGAAATAAAATATCTTTTTATACATTTTTAGAAATGGTAAAATAACTTACATGTGGAGACAACAATGTAGGATACACTTTCAATATATTTTCTATACTGTCAATCTTTGTTCTAGATTTTGGTTCCCGTGTGTTGATTCATACTCTGAATTATGTACATGGAAATTAGAATTTACAGTAGATGCTGCTATGGTGGCTATATCCAATGGAGATTTGGTAGAGACAGTGTATACCCATGATATGAGGAAGAAGACCTTCCATTATATGCTTACCATTCCTACAGCAGCATCAAACATCTCCTTGGCCATTGGACCTTTTGAAATACTTGTAGATCCGTATATGCATGAGGTAAGTCATAGCTTCTCCCCTCTTGCTCTCTTCTAGCCTTTCACTTCTTGTTAAATGAAGAGTATTAATGAAATAATGTCTTTCTTAACTCATCTTCCAGCTATCAAGAATATCACTAGAGAGAAAATATATATTATTTTTTATTTTTAGAAACTATGTTAATTACATTTTAATGACATGAATTCTTGAGTGAATTCCTCTCAAAAGGAAAGAAATCTTCATGAGTTTGCTGACTAGAATTTGAACCCTGCCTCAGTCTTTTTTTCTCTTTTCTGAATACAATGAAGTGAGAATAAGTCTTGCGCTTAAAATTCTGTTTATTTATTTATTGGTACTGGGGCTCTAATCCAAGGGCACTTTGCCACTGAGGTACATCCCCAACCCTTTTTTATTTTTAGTTTGAGACAAGGTCTCATTAAGTTGCTGAGGCTGGCCTTGAATTTGCAATCCTCCTTGCTCAGCCTCCCAGATTGCTGGGATTGCCAGCGTGTGCCGCTGTGCCTGGCTTGCTTTTTAATTTTGAATATGTGATTTTTCAGATTCCAGAGATGGGACTTGAACACTCATAAACACATGTTAAGGAAAAAGAAGACATTAATAGTGAACAGAATTAGTAGACATCAGTCTATACTCTAATCAGATTATACTTGAATCTTTTAGAATACTAAGCACCATGTTGTAAAAAATCTAAAATTTTAATATATTTGAAATGGTCTATTTTTCATAACACAGTTCTTTCTCCATCTCGGATATTCACTTTTCCTGTTGTGATGTACCAAACTTTTATCTAACTTAAAATGATTACCTCAGATTCTTTTTCTTATATGAAACCTTCCTGGGTATTCTCTTCTGTGCCGTTGTTGAAGTCATTAATTTGAAATAGAATTATCATATGAGTCAGTGATACTTCTGTGACCAGTGAACTATTACCTAATAAGAAAACCAAAATTGCTACTTGTATTGTGAGCATTTCTTATCTCCTAACTACCAGTAAGCTTCTGTAGCTTTCATTATGTATTTGAGATTTTAGAGGCCAAATATAGTAATTGTTCTTTATATACAGTTGGTTAGCATTAACTAAAGTACTAGGATGGGAGGCTGGGGATATAGCATAGTGATAGAGCACTTGACTAGCATGTGCAAGGCTCTAGGTTGGATCCCCAGCACCTGCAAAAGAAAAATTATTAAGAGAGTGCTATAAAATGCATAGTGTTCAATAGGTTAGATATTTAATAAGAAATCTTATTTAATAAGAAATTTTAGTTTATTTTGGAACCATAGTTTTATTTTTAATAGGTCTAAGCATTTCACAGATTTATAATCCATCATGAATTTAGTATTTTCAATACAATGAATATTTTTTAAAGGTGATTTAAAAAGTAATTAATAATTTTATCATAGCATTTACTGTCAGGATTATGAAATTTATAAAAAAATATATAGAGAGAGAGAGAGAAAGAATTGAAATTTAGGAAATTTAAAATATAAAAGTTAACCCTTAACATTTAGATGACCTCCCTGGCTTTTTTTTTTCAGGTTACTCATTTTTGTTTACCCCAACTTCTTCCATTGCTTAAACATACCACGTCATACCTTCATGAAGTTTTTGAATTTTATGAAGAAATTCTTACATGTCGATATCCATACTCGTGTTTTAAGACTGTATTCATTGATGAGGCTTATGTTGAAGTGGCTGCTTATGCTTCCATGAGCATTTTTAGGTTGGTATCTCTTCACATTTGAAATGCCTAATGTAGAATAGTGATATGAGGAAAGCTTTCTGATTTTATAGGCAGCGTTACTGTGAGGTATGAACTTTCTCCCCTTAATTTAAATGTAATTGAGTTGAAGAAAATATTGTGTTTTTAAAATTTAAAATTGTAGAAAAACATGAAGAAAATTTTAAAGTAACTTTAAAGACTCGTTATCTTCATCCAGAATTAATAGATGTTAATATTTTGCATGTTTTAGTCTCTTTTTTTGTTTATAAATTTTTAAAAATCATACCCATAGTTTAGTTTTTCTAGTAATACTTAAAAATATGCTGATACCATCAGAAACTTGTTCATGGAAAAAAGTAGAGAGGATTTGTTTTTCATTCTCTCCTTTTCTTTCTTTCTTAAACTTCCTTACCTGCCTCTCTTCTTTTATTCCTTCTTTGGAAAATTCCAAATGTCTGTTTTATGTTTCAAAGTCAGTTATTTTACCTTCCTTATTTCTAAATTTTCTCATGTGTAAAATGGGCATTCCTCAGGGTGTTGTTTGGAAAGTCCAATGAGATAATGTGTTTAAAGATAAATAATAAAACAAAGTTAGTAATTATTAGGAAAGGTTTTGTTTTTTTGTTTTATTGTTTTTTGTTACTGGGGATGAAGTCAGGAAGCTTTACCACTGAGCTACATCCCCAGTCCTTTTTATTTTTTATTTTGAGAAAGATTCTTGCTTAGTTGCTCAGGGTGGCCCTTGAGAGTCCTCTGCTTCACCCTCCCCAGTCGCTGGAATTTCAGGCATGTGCCACTCTGTCCAGCATTGTTCCCTGTGTTAAGCAGCAGTTAAGACTATAAATTTCAGCCAAGTTCTGAAAAGATTAGAAAGTATTCTGGGAAACTTTTCTGGTTTTTATCTTTTGTGTTTAACTTTAATTCGATTATTTTAAAAGTATGATTATTTAATTATTAATTATTTTATTTTGACTGAATAATGATTTCTTGATTTTAATTAACTTCCTCTTCATTTAAATTTCAGCACAAATCTTCTACACAGTGCCATGATTATAGATGAGACACCTTTGACTAGAAGGTGTTTAGCCCAGTCCTTGGCCCAGCAGTTTTTTGGATGTTTCATATCCAGAATGTCTTGGTAAGTCATTTTAATGTTTACATTACCTCTGGGTTCAATTCAAATAAGAAATTGAATTAGAAAGGTTTATTTCTCTTTTCTTGCAGTGTAAGCTGACCTTTGCTCTAATTGTAGATAACTAACTTAAAAGATACTATTCTCTGTGTATATCTTAGAAAAGTAATGAATTTAAATTTCATCCTAACTTTTTAGCTGTAAAAATCAGTATAATTGCTTCTGTAATAAAGTCAGATTTTTAAACACAATTTCTTAAAGAATAGACTTAAATGTGCACAAAACTACAGTGAGAATTCTGATGCTAGTGCTCATAGCAGTTGGAAATGTTCAAGGTAATGTTTAAAGCAAAATAATTCTCTACATAAAATAATTATGTTGTAGAGAGTTCCTTGCTAGTATTCAACTGTGTACCACATTGCTTGAAAGAAAGGAGAGATGAGAATATTTTTTTGGACTAGAAGTATGTCTCAGTGATATAGTATTTGCCTAGCATGTACCAGGCCCTGGGTCTAATCCTCAGCACTGCCAAAAAAAAAAAGCCCCAAACCCTTCTATTTTCTTTTTGTTTAGCTTGAGATGAGTTTGAAAGAATACAAAAAAATTTCTTGAAGATTACAATTTCTAATTGCGAACATTTTGTACTCTACATATTGTATAAATCCTGGCTTGTTATTCTTTCTTGCTAAATGGGAAAGGGGAACATTTCTGATTTATAATTTTCCTAACATTTTATATAGTTTAATTAAAGAATGGTGCCTGAACATGATAGGCAGATGCCTGGACAGATGGATATATTTATGAATGAATAAATGAGTGAATGATGCCAGTTATCTTTTCTCTGGAGAAACATAACAGTAATTAATAGTTCAACTTCATGTTTTGGATACCATTGAAAATTATGTATAGAACTGGGCATCTTGGTACACGCCTGTAATCCCAGAGAATCATGAGGCTGAGGTAGGAGAATCACAGGTTTGAGGCTAGCCTAAACAACTTAGTGATACCCTGTCTCAAAACAAAACAAAAAAATGAAAAGGGTGGGAATGTGGCTCAGTGTTAAAGCCCCTCTGAGTTCAATTCCCCCTGCCCCCAACAAAAGAGAGAAAAAGAAAATTATGCATTGGATTAGTAGTAAAGAAAGCGGAATGTTGAACTGAGCAGTGCAATCCTTGTTATTCACAGGTATTTCTAAAGAGGCAGATGGTCAGAGCAGAGTTGGTAAGGAGAGAAGCAACACTGTTGAAATAGAGCACATCTATTGATAAATTATACTTGAAATAAGATTGGAAAGTAGTCTTATAATTAAAGATTAAGCCAGATGTAAAAAAAAGGCATAATGAATGGGCACATCAGACAAAGGAAGTTAGGAGCCCAATGATTTGTTAATCACTTTCCTTTTCTTTAAGAAGGCTGGAGGAGGTTCATACTAGTTGCATTATTCTTTTTTACTTCATCTGAAGAGTTTTATGATTAAAAATAAGTTTAAATGTTGACTTTTTGCTTAGGTCTGATGAATGGGTGCTGAAGGGAATTTCAGGCTATATTTATGGACTTTGGATGAAGAAAACTTTTGGTGTTAATGAGTACCACCATTGGATTAAAGAGGTAATAATAGCTAGATCCCTTACACACTCATAAGTCAGTAAGATACAATAGTATTTTCCTGGTTTCCAAGTTATATGTGCTCATTTTGTTTTGCTTTTTTTTTTGGTTTGGGGATTGAACCCAGATCTTCCCAACATGCTAGGTAAACACTCTACCAACCACAGCTCCCATCATGTGCTTTATTTTTAATGACTGTAAAACATAACTTGAAAAATCTCTAATTTTCCCTCATAAAATGAGTGTCAATTCACTGAGAAAAAAAATTAGTTATCTGTTTTATCGTCAATGTCGGCCCGTAACAACTTTTCCCTAAGGAGAAGAATATTTAAACTCTCTAATCATCAAGTACCTGTGCTTTGCAAATTAGTCTGGCTTTGTGAATGGTTAATCTTTCTAAGCTTCATCTGTGTAAGGAGTGAAATAGTGTTTACCCTGTTGTCAAGGGTTGTGGCACACTATATCATGCATATTTTGCACATGATGAATGCTTATTACAGGCTAGTTATCCCTTTAATGCTTATATGTTCTCTATTGTTATACCTTTTTCCTGTTATTTAAACATTTAGAAAAAAATGAAAACTATCTATTTTGCATATTCCATTCTAGTCATATATGTTTTAATTATGTCATGCTTATATATTCTTCTTCTCAGGTAAATAAAAATCCAAGTTGCAATGTTCTAATTAAATAGCCTCCTTCATTTTCCCCATTTTATTATTTTATATATTTTTATCATTCAGGCATAAACCCAAGCCCAAAAGTTAATTGTTAAAAAGACTTCACGCATCTAGAACTGTTGAAAGAATTTACACATTCAGAACTGTTAGAGCCAGTTCTTCATTTCAGAAGGAGAAAAAAATTACATCTTACTTGTGTCAGGCATTGTTATATTGTTTAAGTTATTCATGAGTTTGATTTATGTCATATTAGAGAAGACTAGAGATGTTTTAAAATTATAGATTTCTAACATAATTTATCCCCTTTTCTTTTTACTTGTCTAAGTCTTCAGAAGCAAAATACTGAGAAGGAAAAAATAAAGTTGGAAGACAGGTCAGAGAGGTTGAGAAGAGCCATAAGGAAAAGTTGCCAGGCTGCTGGCCAGCCCTGAAGTCACAAAGTAAAGAATGCTGTTTGGCTTTTAGCATTAAGCCAGCTGTATAGTTTGCTTTATTTATAAGAACATTAACTATTCTGCAGATGCATTTCATTTATCTTATAAAATTTATATTCTGGTGCCAGGAAAGAGAATTTATGGTTTATTTCTAAAATTTGGTGTGTGAAAGTTTTTAACTCCCATTTTTATGTCTTTTTTAGGAGCTAGATAAAATAGTGGCATATGAACTAAAAACTGGGGGAGTTTTACTACATCCCATATTTGGTGGAGGAAAAGAGAAGGATAAGTAAGTTTTCTGTTCCAAGATATGAGCCTTATTTCATGGGGTCACTCTTAGATCACTTGTGTTTTTATTGAGGCCCCTGCAAGGTCAAAGAAGTACTGATAGTATGCAAAATTATTAATGCTATGAATATTCCTTTCATTTGTTTTCTATGTTTATCTCATGAGATGGCTACAAATGGATTCAAACTAAAAAAAAAAGACTTTAAAAAAATTAGGCTATTTTCTGTGATTACTTCTTAATGCTATTGTGTCATACTGTTCTTATTAAAGTTTAAAAATAATGGAAACGAGTATTTTGCTTTTATACCACTGTTTTTTTAAGTCTAAGTAGATAATTTCAGCATCAAGACATCCTACCCCTACCTATTTACCTGAGTAGCTACATAAGTAGACATTCATTTGTTCCTTTTTCCTTCTTTTCTTTCCCTCACTCTTCTCCCTGTCTTCTCTGTTTTATCAGGTCACAAAGAGACAGCCACTTTTTGTTGTTTTTGTTTTGGAAAAAGGAAAAAAAAAAGTTTTATTACTCTGTTAGGAAAGGAGAAACAAATGGGACTCCGGTCCTAAAGGAATCTGCCTATCGGGGGATTCAAAGGCTACATTCTAGGTGTACCCTAGATGGGGGGCGGGGTCTTAATTTGCTTGTTAGTTTGGGAGATTTCTTAGATCTTCTGGCATCACCTGATTACTTCATTCTTGTGTGTGCTTAAGCACAGGAAAGCCTAGGATGAGGAAGAAGGGTAATCCTACCCTCTCCCTCCCCAGATTGGAAAGAAAGGATTAGGGAGGAAGAAGGGGAGAAGAAAAGAAAGAAACATGTCTGTTTTAAAAATAAGTCACAGCAGCAGGGCAGCAAAAGTTTATATTCAATGCATGAAGTGGAGTACTGTTACATTTCCCCCCTGTCAATTTCTACATTCCATTTTTATGGAAAAATGGGTAACTACATCTCCAAGTTGCTTCCTTCTAGAGAGCAAAGTTGGAGAGAAGTGACACAAAGTCCTTCTTCCTTTATCAGGTGGGACAATGACAGTTAAGAATATTTAGCATCATGGCAGTCCAGATATCTGTGGTAGCAGTTGGTGGGTGACTGAACAAGGAATACATAGGGCAGAAATCATGCAGATGGCCAAGGGTGTCCCGACTTTACAGCATTCATTTTCCTTTTTCTCACAGTTGAACAATTGATGGAGCAACCTACAGTTCAGAGAGAGAAGGCAAGAATTTTCTAAAGCCAAAAGAGCTTGATAGCTGCTTAGATGGTCCCTCAGTCCTTCCCTTTACTCATGGGAACATCTCCTCCTCTTCAGCCTGAGGCCGACTCACGTGTCTCCTAATTTTCTAGCCATTGTCTCTCAACAAGCTGACCAGCCACCTTGAATCCTCAGTATGGAAGAGGGATTGCTGGGAATACTAGACCTGCCCAAGAAAACTGGAGAGGGAAGTGTTCTCAAGTCCCATCTAGGTTGCCAGTTTGTTACTGAAAACTTGGTCCTTGTCCTTGATGCCAGTCCAATAATGAGGACACGGTTTCAGAAAAAGGAAGAAAGTTTTTTTCTTTGCTAGCAAAGGAGATACACAGGAGACTCTTTTCCTGAGGCTGTGATTCTCAAGATAGTCACTTATAACAACACAGTGGTGCTGGCAGGGATTTTCATCTAAGGTTCATAGATTCTCTAAAGGACTATGGATTGAAGTGAAGTGAAAATTTCCTAATTTCCCTAACCATAAACTAAAATTTTTCATTTCCTTCATTAGGGATGTTGGCAATATATATGGTAGTATTAACAATATGTGTTACTTTGTCAGCAGTAGAAATCATAGGTGTTTTTCTGTCACATTATCACTGGTAGCAGAAATGTTTATATATCCTTGTATTCATCACTACCTCAAAATTACCACAGCAGACTCTAGCTAGATCTTGTTGTTTTTTAATAAGTAAACTTGTATATTCAGTGGAGTATCATAATTTTTAATATTTTGATTAACTGTATCATTATAATTAGTTTCCTTTATAACCCTATGTATTTTAGTTATTTAAAAGCAAATTTTTACGTACGACTCATAAGGTTAATCATAGTGCCTGAAGTGCTCAAAGAACAGCAAAGATTAAGATAATTAAAGTTTTGCAAGTGATAGCCCTTTTTGTTGGTGTTGTTGCAGATGGTCACTGAGATACAATTAAGTCAGTGGGGAAGAATAGGAATTAATTATTTTATTTTATTGTTTTTTGGTTCTTTTTAGATACATAGGACAGTAGAGTTTATGTTGACATATTATACATACATGAAGTATAACTTATTGTGGTTAGGCTCTCATTCTTGTGGTTGTACATGATGTGGCATTTCACTGGTGGTGTATTCATATATGAACACAGAAAAGTTATGTCTAATTCATTCTACTGTCTTTTCTGTTTCCATCCCTATTTCCTTCTCCTTATTACCCTTTGTCTAATCCACCTAACTTCTATTCTTCTCCCCTGCCCCCATTGTGTGAACATTCTGCCATTGGTTTTTTGATATTGGCTTATTTCACTTATCATGGTAGTCTCTAGATCTATCCATTTACCAGCAAAAATTATAAGGTCATTCATTCTTATGGATGAATAATATTCCAAAGTATAGGGAATTTATAGAGTTAGGCAAACTAGACTTTTATTGTTAAATTTGCAGTTAAAGAAAATTACATAACCTTTATGTGTATTTGCATGTGTGTGTTTTAATGTATTTATACATTACCACTAATGATTCACCTTAAAGTGGTTGGTTGTGAAGGATCACTTGAGGTAAAGCTATATATATAATAAGCACTCAGTAAATTTTAATTTCTTCTCCCGAGTGCCTAATGCTTAGCAGTTTCCTAGTATAATCAGGGCATTCCCATTGTTCCTTAGTATTTACACTCAATGGTTTTTATATTAGTCCCACTCATTTATTAGTTTTTGTTATATGTTTAATTTTAAAAATTTGTACGTGAAAAATATTCTTTCAAGAGTTCAAGAAAATTTAGAAGTATTGGAATAAAGTAAAGAGATTCTTTTTTAATCCTCTTTTACCACTGTTGAAAACCCCACCAGTTCATTTCCTTGAATAACCATGATTATAATTTTGATGTATCTTCAAGACTTTTTTTGGCTTTTATTTTTCTGTAACTGACATTAAAAAAACAAAAACAAACAAAAAAACAATCATGAATTCTACTTTGTATTTTTTTTTTTACAATCAAGTATACTTGGTAAACAATCTCTATAACTACATTAACTTGCTTCATTCCATTTAAGATTTACATACTATTCCATTTTGCCTTAGCATTTGCCATGTTACTGTTTATTTCTAAAGCTTATAAACCCACAGTGCTCAAAAGGTTGAAAGTAATAAGTGAAATATAAAAATAATTTTATAAATATTGTATTGGTAAAAATACTTTAAATTTCAATATGCCATGCGATTTTTAAATTTTTTTTTTCTTGATGAACCTTTATTTTATTCATTTATTTATATGTGGTGCTGAGAATCGAACCCAGTGCCTCATACATGTGAGGCAAGTGCTCTACCACTGAGCCACTACTCCAGCTCCAGTATGCCATGCTTTTAAGCACACATAATACTTGTCTTAGTTTATGCTATTGTAACTAAGTAGTTAATATAGTAGATGAGATATTAGAGATCACATAGGTGCTAATTTATAAACAGTGGAAATTATTTCTCATGGTTATTAACCCTGGGGAAGCTGAAGCTGGAAAGTCCAAGCTTTGAGGGACAGACAAAATTGATATCTGAGGAGGGTTGCTTTCTGCCTCCAAGAAGGCATCTTGTTGTGCAGCCTACAGAGGAGAGGAACACTGTGTCATCACATGACCTAAGGGACAGACCGGCAAATAAGTTCCCTTTACCCTTGAGACCCTTTTACTAAGGTGCTGATCCTGTTCATGGAGGGTGGAGAGCCCTCATAACATAATCGTCTCCCAGAGGTCACACCTCTTAATTCTGTTACATTGGGATTAAGTTTTAATATGAATTTTTGGAGGGCCACTATTTATATATTGATTCGAAGAGTATAATTTGGTACATTTTTGAAGGCTAATATATTGATTCAAATTTTAAAAATGGGTAATTTCCAGATTACCCAATTCTTCTTCAAGGTATATGATCATGTAGAAATTCTACTTTTCTACTAGACTGTACCTTTCTCTCACTAATGATCTTTTTTATCTTGTCAAAATTTTAAATTTTTACATAGTCAATCTGGTATTCATGTTCTTCAGATTTCACATTTTTCTTAGGAAAATTTCTCCCACTCTGGGATTTGAAGAGAAAAATTCCTTTTTTTTTCTTTGTAGATTTATACTTTATGCAATTTACCTTGAATGTATTTTTATGCATGCTTTAGCATTGGGATATTGGTTGGAATTGCATTGATTGTATTTCTGGATTTGGTGAGAATTTATATATACAGTATTATGTCTTCCCATCTATGAGTTTGTCATGTATTTCCATTTTTTCAAGTTTCCTTTATGTGCGTTAGGAAAATATCATAATTTTCTTCTAGTTAAGTTGATTTTTAGATGTTTCTTGGTACTAAGGAAATATGTTAGGTATTCCCATGAGGCTTTTGATGTGGCCATGAAATTTAGTGCTTAATTAATAGTCAAATGTGTTTTATTAAATAAATCTTTTTGTTGTTGTTGTTGTTTTTTAGTCCAGCATCCCATCTACACTTTTCCATAAAGCATCCGCATACACTCTCCTGGGAATACTACACTATGTTTCAGTGTAAAGCCCATCTTGTGATGAGATTGATTGAAAATAGAATCAGCATGGAATTTATGCTACAAGTAAGTACTAAAATTAAGAACTTAACAATAGAAGAGATAAATTTATATTTTTATAATGAATATTATTCTCTAGGAATCTGGGTTTATACTGTTATTTGCCACTAAATAACTTGTTAATTTGCATTTCTCAGGAATAGAATGGTGTCAGTATCTAAGCTACTTAGCACATGATTATTATGAAGATAAAATTAGGATGTGAAGATGAAGATCAAACCTATTTAGTCATTATTTTGTATTCTGCAGTGATTAGAAGAATAAGGATGAAATTCCATTTAAAAATACTGGCAATAGAAAAAAAACCCATTTAACAGGTGCTTATTTTTTGCTATTGTTACATTCTGCCATACTTTTAAACATGTTCAGGCGTAAGTAGTTTTCAGTATGGTAGATGAGATAGTAGAGATCATATAGGTACATTATAAATGATAGTAGCATTCTGAGAGGCAGGTGGAAAAAACAACATTTAATGCCGTTTTTGTTTTGTTTTGTTTTTTTTTCCTGGTAGTGGGGCTTGAACCCAGAGGCACTTTATCACTGAGCCACATATTCATCCCTTTTTATTTTTTATTTTGAGACATAGTTTCACTAAGTTACTTAGGGCCATAAAGTTGCTGGGGCTTGTCTTGAACTTGCAATACTTCTTCCTTAGTCTCCCAAAACAGAAAGAGAAAGCATTTTAAGTTTACCTTAAAGTTAAGTTTAATTCTTTTATCCTTCATTTTGCCTTTAGGTTGGAAAATGGAAATATTAAATGAGAAAATGGTCTATAAAGAGCCATTCAACTTTTTACAGTAGTATAAATCCTAGTGACTATTTGTATTTACTTTTTTTTTCTTTTTGGTACTGGTGATTTTACCCAGAGCCTTGTGTATGCAAGTCAAGCACTCTACAAACTGAGCTATATCCCGGATGTGAGGGCGATCTGGCTGCGACATCTGTCACCCCATTGATCGCCAGGGTTGATTCGGCTGATCTGGCTGGCTAGGCGGGTGTCCCCTTCCTCCCTCACCGCTCCATGTGCGTCCCTCCCGAAGCTGCGCGCTCGGTCGAAGAGGACGACCTTCCCCGATAGAGGAGGACCGTTCTTCGGTCAAGGGTATACGAGTAGCTGCGCTCCCCTGCTAGAACCTCCAAACAAGCTCTCAAACTGAGCTATATCCCTAGACCTACTTTTTTTTAAATAATTTATTTATGTATTTATTCTAATTAGTTATACATGACAGCAGAATGTACTTTGATTCATAGTACGCAAGTGGTGTACAATTTTTCATTTCTCTGGTTGTGTATTTACTTTTTATTTAATTTTTGTAGTTCAGAGGCTCAAACCTAGGGATTCACACATGCTTGGGAGGAACTCTTAACACTGATGAACACCCCCAGCTGTCTCCCCACCTTTTGTAAATAGAAAAGGCACAAAATTTAAGACTCATGCTTAAGACTTGAGTGTATTAGACTGCTAATGAATATTCTTAAGTCCTTAATTTTTAGTTTCTCTATAAAACTCAACAGAATAAATTGTAGGTATTAGATGTTGATCTAATTCTTAGTAAACACAATATTTTTTGTTCACTGTATTATTAATATTCAATAATGTTCACATTTAGAATGCTTTTATATTCTGGCTGTTTAAATCTTTGCATGTTTCTGTTGCTTGTAGTCTTTAACTAGAACAATCTGTATAAGAAGTTGTGAAATTATTGTCTTTTACAGTTGGCTATAATGAGGTTATAATGCCAAGTGGGTACAGTATACAACAGAAATCAGTGTTATATGAACTTACTAAATGATACTTTTATTGTTAAAGGTTTTCAATAAATTGCTAAGCCTGGCTAGTACTGCTTCATCTCAGAAGTTCCAGTCACATATGTGGAGTCAGATGTTGGTTTCCACATCTGGGTTTTTGAAATCCATTTCAAATGTCTCTGGCAAAGATATCCAGCCCTTAATAAAGCAGTGGGTGTATCCTTTTCAATAGCATTTCTACAGAGTGGGGTGGGGAGTAAGGTATGTTTAAGGGGAAGATAAAAGAAGAGGGATTTGGGGTATAGGGGGAGTATGTATGAACTGTTAATATTTGTAAAAAAAATAGTGGAAATGGCTGTGAGTTGTGAATTGTTTCCTCTAAAACTGCTGCTAATCATTGAGATACACACACACACACACACACATATATATATACACAAACATGCTTATTTTTATAAAATTTGTCGTATTTTAAGTACTTTTTAATATGCAAGTAAAAAAAAAAAAATAGGTTTGCTAGTGGATGAGGTAAATAATCTACCAGACAGCCTGTAGCATACTTGTAAGATGAAATGGTCTGGTGACTTTTAGATGTGGTTAGAAATTGGCACAACTTGAATGGTATCTTGTAATTTTGCAGTTTTTGCATTTTTCATTTTAAGAACATTTTAATAATCTGGTAAATTTTTTTTTTTCAAAACACAAATTTCTCAATGTTTCAAAAATTTTGTTTAAATCTGGGGAAGCATTTTTCACAAGGTTTTTGAATACTTTTCCACCTGGTTTATAATAAAATCTGCTTTCAAGCTTTGAACTCCTGATAATACATTTGAAAATTTTTAAACTACAGTGAATAACTTATTTTGTTTAGTATATATTCATTTCAGCATGTAAAATTTCCTTTACAATTCTTCAGAGACCAAAGTGGAGTGGTAAAATTTTATGGAAGTTTTGCATTTAATAGAAAACGAAATGTCTTAGAGTTGGAAATAAAACAAGATTATACATCTCCTGGAACTCAGAAGTATGTGGTAAGTGTTGTTTTTCCAAAGGGGCCTTTTGTATTGCTCTCCATTTTCAGTATAGGAAGGGTTTACGTATAAGGTTACTGGTTAGAAGTTTCATAATAGGATTTTGTTTGCAGAGAATGAATTGAAAAATACTATGAGTCCATGAAGGGAAGAAGGGCTACAGAGCACGTTTCAGATTCTCCCATTTCCTCTCTTCTTTGTCACCAGATGCTCTTGTGTGTTTGTAGATACACATCTTCAATAGTATTATTTTATATCTTTATACATGTGTGTGTCTATACACGTAAGTATACATATTGATGTTTTTTCTAGCACAATTTTCAAACAGTATGTTTGTATTTTTTTAAGGGACCACTTAAAGTGACAGTACAGGAATTAGATGGATCCTTCAATCATACATTGCAAATTGAAGAAAACAGCCTTAAACACGATATACCTTGCCATTCCAAAAGCAGAAGGTAGGCATTGAATCATAGCTAAAAACAGAAGGTTAAACTATGAATCTCACAGATAAAAATGCCAAAACAAAAATCCTTTTGTATTCCTAATTTTTAAAGTAAAGAACGTGTTATCTTTCTTTTTATTTTACCTCAAGTTAGCATTACCAAATAGTCTTCATTTGTTTTCTGTTTTTAATGACTTTTTATCTTTAGAATTAATACTCTGTGTGTGTGTGTGTGTGTGTGTGTGTGTGTTGGGGAGGTACTGGGGAATGTACCCAGGGTTGCTTTACCACTGAGTTATATGTCCAATACTTTTTTATTTTCAGCTAAGTTGCTGAGCCTGGTTTTAAATTTGCCATCCTCCTGCCATAGGCTTTCAAGTTGCTGTGCCGTTGCATTGGAATGGCGTTAATTTTTTAAATTTAGGTTTGAGGTACTTATTTTGTGGGGAGGGGGCAGGTAGGAGAAGAAGGTGGAAGTTTTGTCTTTGAAGCTAAGAAACACTCAAGAAAAACAATTTAGGTTTATGCTTTGTAAAAAAATTACGACACATTTTAATTGTACAAATTAATAGGGTTCACTGTGCTATTTCTTACATGCTTATATTGTGCATTGATCATGTCCATCCATTCTTACTTCTACCGTCTCTTCTTCCTCTCCCCTCTCCTCCCACTTCCCAGACCCTATAATTAATCCCTCTTCTTTCAGATCATCTTTTTTTTTTTTTAAAGTTTACCCATATGAGAAAAAAACATGTCACACATATCTTTCTGTGTCTGGCTTGTTTCACTTGACATGATGTTCTCCCATTCTATCCATTTTCTGCAGGTGACAGGATTTTATTATTTTTTATGGTACCACCATCTGGGGACCAAACTTTGGGAGATATTTCAGATCTAAAGTATAAAACTCTACCCCCTGCTCCCCAAAGGCCTATGCTCATCTCCCAGTGCAAAATGTATTTAGTTTAATCATCACGAGTCCGAATGGTTTTAACAGTTCTAGCATTACTTAAAAGTTCATAGTTTTCTTTGAAGCTCAAAGTAAACTCTCAGCTGTAAGCCTCTATACAAGCAAAAAGAAAGTTACATACTTCTAATATACAAAGGTATAGGATAAACATTCTCATTCCAAAAGGAAGGAATTCTAAGGAGGAATTGGACCAAAGCAAGACTGAAATCCAGGAGGCCACCATTAAATCCTATAATCCCATGTCTGGCATCTAAGGGCCCCAAAGGACTTGTGCAGCCCCTTTCCTGTGGCTTTGCTTACTGCATCCCACATGACCATTCTTTTGGGCTGCGTTGGCTTGCTGCTGCTGCATTCCCTGGCAGACATTCGTTCCTGGAATCTCTTAACTTCCTGGAATCTCCTTTGCAATTTTGGCTTCACTTTCACTGGTTTCTGCATGGCCCTCTCAGGGTCTCTTTTACTCAGCTTTTTTGCTGCTGTGACTAAAAGACAATTATAGAGGAGGAAAAGTTTATTTTGAGGGCTCACCGATTCTGAGGTCTCAATCCATAGAAGGCTGGCTTCATTCCTTGCAGCTCAAACTGAGGCAGAACACCCTGGCAGAAGGGGGTGGTGGAAGAAAGCAGCCCACAAGATGATCAGAAAGCCTAGAGACTCCACTTGCAAGATAAAAAATATATGCCCCAAAGGCATGCTGCTAATTCCCACCTTCTGCAGCCACACCCTATCCACTTTCTGTTACCACTCAGTTTATCCCATCAGGGGATTAATTCATTGTTTGGCTTAAGACTCATAACTGGAATCATTTCTCCTATAAACCTTCTTACATTGTTTTACACATGAGCTTTTGGGGAACACCTCTTATCCTAACCATAACAGGCTCCTGCAGGGATTCTGACCCTACCACATACTGCCTGGCCTTCCAGGTCTTTGGTGGAAACCTCTGTGACCTTATAGCTCTTGCATTCTGCATTTCTGCAAGCCCCAGGCATGTAGCATCACATGGATGACAGCAAGGTTTCCCATCAATGAGCTGTAGCCAGGCATGCTTGGACCATGGCTGTAGAGACCTCTGTGCACAGATGACTGAACACAGTGAAATGATTCCTGGGGAAACAACTTCTGAGGCTTCCCTGGGGACCTGGGAGCCCCCTACTCTTCTTTTCAAATGAAAGGTTTACACTTAACATTCTTGTGGCTGCAGTGGATGGAACGGGCCAATTCCTGAGATGCCCTTAGGCATCTTCCCTATTATCCCAGGGCAAAGTACTTGATTTCTTTTTAAAGGTGCTAATCTCTTAAGCACTCACACTTTCCTTTGCCCTGACTTCACCAGTGCCTCTTTTCTGGCCAAACTGCAAGTTTTTCAAATCTTTCTTTGCTCATTGTTGTTATTCTCACAGTATATCTGGCCAAAAGCTACCAGCAATACTGATGCCCTTGCCTGAATGCTGTGCTGCCCTGAAAATTCCTCTGTTAGATTTGGTTCATCATCTTTTCTTCTTTTCTTCAAGTTTTAAAGTTAGTTTATTAAAGAATGTTCTTACGGCAGTAACTTTTGATTTGTCCTTTTAAAAAAAGTTATATTTCTTCATACTGTATAATGTAAGAGAATATAGAGCTATAAGGTATTTGCTGGAATTCTCTGATACTAAAGCACAGTGTAATCATTCATGCAGTGCTAGAATAATTTTTTTCTTCTTTGCTTCTTTTCAAAAAGTGATGAATAACAGTAAATGTACTAAAAATGTTTTTTCTAGTCATTCTGAAGTATTGGAGCCAATATTTTTACCATCACAGGCTATAATTTTTGCTTTATCCACTTTAGTTCACCTCTCTGAATTCAACATCATTCAATACAAAAGTCCACACATTATTGCTGAATCTTTACATAGAGCATTCTCCCAAAACTGACTGTTCCTAATTCTTTAATTTATATAACTTTATCAAACTGAAGTTGAACTTGAAGGGTAAGTTCAGGTGGATGACCTATTGAGACTGTATGAGGCTTTCCTGAAGACTGTTTCCCACAGTGGTATTTCTGGATAACTAATATGCCATGGTGAAAGAGGAAATAAATTCTTTTTCGTTAAGGTTGCGTTGATGTCCTGCAGGCAAGGTGCTTCCTCCTGCAAAACACATAGAAGTGGAATTGCCAGGAGCCTGGCAGCAAGTAACCACTTTGCCAACTACCTTTCAGTTACCATAGAAACCCCTCTTTAAACTCAGTGTCACAAAAAGTCGCAGGGCATAGAGAAAATTTAGACAGGATTTTTTTGCTACAATATACCAAGTATGGCCTGTAGTCCAGTTCTCAGTAGAGTCCTCATTTACATCTGAAGCCTCATGAACATGCTCTTTATAGTATATAGTCCTATCAGCATTCTGGTCTTCCACCCCTCACTAGACTCGTCCATTAAACACTGCTTACAATAATTCTAGGGCTTTTCTAACCTACATCTCCAGACCCTTCCAAATTTCTGCAGACTAGTTCCAAAAACTTCTAAACCACATGGTCAGAAATAGTCACAGCAGGGACCTCCTTGCTCGGCACCATTTTCTATGTCAGTCTCCTTATTGCTGTGCCAGAATACCTGAGAAAAAATTCATTTGGCTTGTGGTTTCAAAGTTTTCAGTCCATGGTCACTTTGCACCATTGATTCTGGACCTGTGGTAAAGCAGAATATTATGGTAAGCAGTGCATGATAGAGTAAAGCTGCTCACTTCTTGGTGGCCAAGAAGTAGAGAGACAGTAGGAATGGGTCAACGGTGGGAATGGGTCTATGTACCGAAATGCCCTTCAACATAACACCCTCAATGAACTTCCTCCAAATAGGCCCTACCCCCTTAAGTTTCCACTACCTCCTAATAGTGCTATCAGTTGAGATCCAAGCTTTTAACACATGAGTCCTTGGGAGATATTTCAGATCCAACTATAGTGTTAATTAATACTCTTAAGATGTTTTAATAGTTAATCACTTCATTTTATATAGGACACAGCCTTGCAGATGAAGCACATAATTCAATTTGAAATGATTTACATCTTATTTCAGGCCTAGTTATTTTTTTTTATTTGTTGTAAAGGATTTCTTTATTGGTAAATCCTCTTATTTTTTTTCTATTTAAAATTGTTCTTGAGAATATACATGATTGCAGTTGACATTTAATTATATATTTCTGCTTTTTGTTAAACTTTGATTTGGTAAAGATTTTAGTATTTTCTCTAGCTTCAGAATAGATTTTGTTGTTTTTAAATTCCTTTACATTTGTTATCCATTCTTCATTAGAACATCTTTAATATTATGTGAGGTTCTTTTTTAGATCTCTAGCTGTTCTTTATCTTTGAAAATCTAGTTTTCAAACTTACTTTTCCTTAAATATAGGAATAAGAAGAAAAAAATCCCATTAATGAATGGAGAAGAAGTTGACATGGATCTTTCTGCAATGGAGTAAGTTACTTACAAGTATGTAATTATCCTTGAAATGAGTAATTTAAAAAAATTTAAGGTTAATATAAATTCTGTGCTTGAAACAATTTTTGTAAAATCATGACTCAAAAAAGAGATCAGATTATATATCTGGACTGGTTGTGTGAAATTAAGAGGAAACGCAGCATGATTGTGAGGGAGTTGAGAGAGCCTCAGTGAGCAGTCTATTTGCTCCTTTTAGGTGGCTTCTCAGGCAGTGCTGCTTAAACTTTGATGTGCCTGTGAATCATTTGGGGATCTTAAAATGTAGTTTCTGACTCAGTACTTCATTTGTGGGACCTAGTATTTTGTATAGTGATGACTGTCACATGATATTATATTGGGGATAATGCTCCAGAACATTTTGAGATTCCCTGTATTTGCGAAAACATAATTTAAAAACAACGTTCTCGGAAAGGCAGTGGAATGAGATGGACATTATTACTCTTAAGTACATGTATGAAGACAAGAATGGTGTGAGTCTATGTGGTGTACAACCAGAGATATTAAAAATTGTGCTATATATGTGTAATATGAATTGAAATGCATTCTGCTGTCGTATACAACCAAATTAGAAAAAAATTTAAAAAACCAACATTTTTTATTTTATGTGGTATAATATTTATTGATTGACAGTGCTTCATTTTTAAAGATAATATAACTCAAACTTTGTTATTTTGCTCATTTACCCTGTGCCTGTATGTTTTTATAAACATCTGTAGTTATTTACTGACTTGGGCACCAGATTGTTATCACTATTTACATGTAGAATATCAGTGTTAATCTAAATTTTCCGTAGCAAGTACCTTGCCTATAGTAAACACCCTGTAGTATTTGTTGAATTGAATTAATATTACAGATGGTATTCTTTTGGTGAATTGTTGACATAGATTCAGTTTTAGAGCTGTGCTTATGACTTGAAAAATACATGAGGATAAACTCTTTCTTTAGAATTATAGTTTCAGAACTTGCCGTTTGAGAAATGTAATTATTAATCTAGCATTTAAAAAATATTAAGTCAACTAAAGGAATAAATTTAGTTAAATGGATGTTTTCATTTTTTTAGTCACAAACTGATTTCCAATAAAAAGTAGTGTTCATAGCCATTATCAATTAGGAGGCCATTATCAAATAGAAGGTTAAATAGAGAGATTTCATATCATTTTCCTTTTTCACATCACATAATCACAAATAAAAATGCCAAAAATAATATTTTCAGATGGCAAATGAAGGATTCAGTATCCTATGTGACAGCAGTTGACTTGTCCTTAAAAGATCTTTTTATTAAGATTTATGTAAATTAAACATTGTAAGAAAGTTGACATATATTAAAAATAATAAGAAATTTGTTGGTACAGTTTAAAAAATACAGAAACTCACTCAATGGTTTAAATACTATATCTAAAGGAGAATATGATTAATAATTTCTTAGTTTTTATTTTCTAAGAATAAGGATTAAGTTTTTTAAGTTAAAATAAATAAAATAGAAAATTGTGTTTTATTTCAGTGCTGATTCCCCTTTGCTGTGGATAAGGATAGACCCAGATATGTCAGTATTGAGAAAGGTAGAATTTGAGCAAGCTGATTTTATGTGGCAATATCAACTCCGCTATGAGAGGGATGTTGTTGCACAGCAGGAATCCATCTTGGCTTTGGAAAAATTTCCTACTCCAGCATCTCGGCTTGCTCTCACTGACATATTAGAACAAGAGCAGTGTTTCTACCGAGTAAGGATGTCAGCTTGCTTCTGTCTTGCAAAGGTGAGATTATATAAGCAGAAGGAAAACAAGATGACTATTGTATGGTTTTGGTTTTTTTTTTTAATTTCTGAAAATGAATTACAATTCACCATAGTCTAAATTTACTTGGTAACTGTTCTTTGAAAGCTTCTGCCAAATACTTAACAGGACTGATTTGGAGGAAACATGTTTTAACCTAAAAGCACATGTGCACAAAAATGTGATGGTTGTCAAACTGAAACACCAGATTTTAAAACCAAAAAGAATTTTCTCTGTTGTATTAAATGACCAGTCAACTTTATTCATTTTTTGGTACTGGAAATTTTGGTACGTAGGGGTGCTTAACCACTGAGCCAAATCCCCAGCCCTTTTTATTTTGAGACAGGGTCTCACATAAGTTGCTTGGGGCTTCATTAAGTTGCTGAAGCTGGCTTTGAACTTTCAGTGCTCCTGCTTCAGCCTCCCACATCACTGGGATTATAGGCATATGTCACCGTGCTCACGCCAATTATATTTTTAAAGCAAAGAATATATTTGATAAAAAATTCTCTGATGTGAGTTTTCCTTTTTAAATTATAGAAATCAATTATCCCTCTGTAGCAGTTATTTCACATTGATTTGGCTTAGGAACCAATATTTGTGACATGTAATTTAATACTGATTGGCTCTACAATTTAACATTCTGGAAAAGTTATTTTGTTTAAAAACACTAAATATCTGTCTTTAGAATTAAAAAAAAAAAATCTGAAAGCAGAAAAAATGAAAACCAGAAGAATGCAGACAAATATTTAGACAGAAGTATTGGTTAACAGGTATTTAAAAAGCATCTTTATAATAAGTTCATTCTGATTTAGTGACCCTCTTCCCTTTCTGACTGCTAAATTCATTTATCTTACATTTCAGCAGATGGTAATGGTTTAGCTTTGTTTTGTTTAATGATAGCAAATGAGTAGTTCAATTCCCGTGTTCTCACATATTTGAGGAAAAACATGATTATCTCTTAGAGATAAAATTTTATTGCTTCTGTAAAGATCTTTGTGACACTTAAATGTGGAATATGTAACTTAAAGTTAATCATAACTTTATTTTTTCAGACAGGTTTTTTTCTATACCCTGAACATACCAGAAGCCAGATACGTTTTTGGGTTTTTTTTTTTTTTTTTTTGTAAAGCATTCTAAAAGACTTAAATAGTATGGTATTTAACTTGGTTTTGACTTGGGTATACTGAAAAACCTTATTTAAAATTTATGGTGATGTTTCTGCCTGATAAATTTAAAATATTACAATTATAAGTCCATTTTAAGTGGATGGAGACAAACTTACTCAAAGAAGAAGCCTTTTGCAAACATATTTCTTGATTATTGCAGTTTAAAAATTTAGTTGTGGAAAATAACTATAAGTGTACATAAGAATTATTTTTGGAGGGTGGGTTTGTATATATTCTTGGAGATGATAATAAAAGGACAAATTTTGTGTGTGTGTGTGTGTGATTATTTATTTATTTATTTATTTTTCATGCGAGGGATTGAACCCAGGGACATTGATCCACTGAGCCACATCCCCAGCCTTTTTTTTTTTTGTAAAGGCAGGATCTTGCTAAGTTGTTGAGGCTGCTTTTGACCTTGTGATCCTCCTGCCTTGGCCTCCCAAGCTGCTGGGATTTTAGGTGTGTGCCATTGTGCCTGGCTCAAATTTTATTAATTTAAAAGAAGTATAGTATTGGCTTTCATAAAGATATTTTATTGATTTAAAAATGTTTGTAGTGGTGATGGAAAAATACTTCATTTTCTGATTATTTGCAGATTGCAAATTCAATGGTAAGCACGTGGACAGGACCACCAGCCATGAAGTCACTCTTTACTAGAATGTTTTGTTGTAAAACTTGTCCAAATATTGTGAAAACAAACAACTTCATGAGCTTTCAAAGTTATTTTCTACAAAAGGTACAGTTTATGTTCTATTCTAATGATTTTTTTTTACATTTAATTTTATTTATGCTTGCCTTTAGGACTTTAATGCCATAATCTGTATATTGTAGTTTAACTTGGAAACTGTTCAAATAATGTGTTTACTTTTTTTTAATTACAAGTCTGCTTTTGATCTTGTAATATTTCTTCCAAAACTTTAATTTTGATTTTTTTCTTGAGTTTTAAAAATGAATTTTATACAAGTAACTCACTATCTATATTGTACTCAAGTGAGTAGAAATGGATGACTTGTCTTTGGTTGGTTCTCTGGTGAATGGAGGAATTGGTAAGGCTTTCTGATTGTAGTCCTTCTAGAATGTGACAGGCATATCCATGTCAGGAACAATACAGCATAGGCCTCCAGTTTTTGTCCCAGTTCTATAATTCACCACCAGTTTACACATGGACAAGTTTCTTAATCTAAAAGTTTTTAACTTAGAAAGCCTATTTGCTCAATTTAAAATTTATCTGTTTTAGAATTAAATAAGATAACTATGTAAAGTGCTTTTTACTGCACTGATTACATTAGTAAGTTTTCTGTAAATGATAATTTAGAAAGTGGTGATATAGTGTGGTTAGAATTACTGTTTTAGGAAAGGATAGAGGAATGAGAGTGTGGTCAGCCTTTGGGTGATGAGGAAATCATTTGTAGTTTTTTGAGTGATGTAAAAATGAAGTCAGAGATCAGATTACTAGATTGAAATAGAAAGGAGTGAAGTTGAAGTGGAGAAAAATAATGAAGCGTATTCTTTCATGATTTTAGTTGAAGAATATGAGAAAGAAAACTGTGTTGAGGATTAAGCCAAGTTGAAGAGAGGACATTTTATGTTTAATTTGTAAAGAGGAAAAAGTAAACCAAGACATGTTTGGGGCAAAGAAAAAGAATTGGTGGAGAGAAAGATATGAAATATTTAAGTGAGCTTGGTGAGGTGGCACACACCCATAATCCCCACAGCTTGGGAAGCTAAGGCAGGAGACTCTGGAGTTCAAAGTCAGCCTCAGCAAAAGTGAAGTGCTAAGCAATTTGGTGAGACCCTGTCTCTAAATAAAATACAAAATAGGGCTGGGGATTTGGTCAGTGGTCAAGGGTCACTGAGTTCAATCCCCAGTACCCAAAAGAAAGAAAAAAAAATTTTTTTAAGTGAGAGAAAGTAAATGTAAAAGAGAGGTGATGGAATAAATTTTGAAGGTGTTAGTAGGGGAGAGAACACAACTAGGAGAAGAATTGTAAAAAAGATAGGAACATTCCTTTTTCTAAAGAAGGTGAAAAGCACATTAAAAACAAGTAAAAAGGTATATTGAGGAGTATGTTAGACAAGTTGATTTATGTACAATATAATGAATAGTAAAGGATTTCTGGTAACATTGGGGTGCCTGTTGAGAGGGGCCATCATGGTATAATTATATAAATTTCATTAGTAGAGTAGGTTGAGGATGACCCAGCTGTAGGGAAAGGCAAATAGGTGTGATCAAAGAAGTGTGTGGCATCTTGTTTTATTTTAAGAACTGAACATTGGATAATAAGTACTCAAACATATTGCCCAGTTCTTGGCTGTTTCACAGACTTGTGAAAGTTAACACAGAAATTAACTTTCACAAGTCTGTGAAACAGCCAAGATTACACTATTGTACTTCTGAATGCTCTGGATTACACTATTGTACTTCTGAATATCTTTCAAATTAGAGTTGTGGACAGTTTGTGAGGGACCTTGAAATTAATTTAGAAGTTTTTGTTTGTTATTTGCTTTTTATTTTTTTAAATAAAACAGAATAACCAGTGTCAGAATGTATCATGTGTGATGAGGTTCATTATAAGCCTTTTATTTTTTAGTTTATATACATTGCTTCTAAATGTGTGCGCATGTGTTAGATTGTGTTATAAAATATATTTCTTATTGCAGTCAAAAAACTTGGAAAGCTAATCCTTTTTAGACTAATTGACTTTTCTTATAATACTTGTAGTGGGTGGGATAGAGAGAGAACAGAACTGTGTAGTATAGATATTTCTATGGAAAAGAAACTTTCCCTCAGTTTATTTTACAGAATCTGAACACTGTTGTTACTTCCATTGCCTTTGCTCCTTCGAGCAAGAAAAATGAGCCATTCTTCTTTCTGCCCTCCCAGTTTAGATGGGATAGTGCAAATCTTGCCATGTACTAAGGATATCTGCAGTTTGCCTAGGGTGTACCACTATTTGAGTAATGTTTCTGTTTACATAGAAAAATTGCACTTGAAAATTTTGAAAAGGGGAAAAGGTAGGTTAGGTTTCAGATAACATACCATTTTTCCTTAGTCTCAGGGTTAGGTAGTACTGGAGAATAATAGAGATTGAGCACTATTGTATGCAATCTAACTCCAACCACTATTTATTTAACCCTAAAAATGCTTACAGGTAAACAAGGTTCCTATTTAGTAAGCAACTAGCTAAAAAAACACTACAGGGTAGTAAGAGTGGAGTTAGGAATTGAATAATGACCAATGCTAAAATCTGTTCCTTTCCTCTGTATCATTCAGAACTGAGTTTATATAATTTACATGAAATATATTTTCCTATAGCAAATGAACTCACAGGTTCATGTCCTACATAGTACATCCAGTCATACAGTTCTCTTTTGGTTTCCTACCAAGTTCTTAGAATGCTTAGAGAGATGTTCTCAATGGGAATAAGTGGGAGCCAAGGGGTTAGGCTCTATCCACATATGTATGTCAACTCTAGAGTAATTTTTTTTTCTACATATAGTTCAAAAAATTGTCATAATGAAAAATTTGGGTTATATGCTTAAATTTTTTTTTTAATTTTTAGACTATGCCAGTTGCAATGGCTTTATTAAGGGATGTTCATAACCTTTGTCCCAAAGAAGTCTTAACATTTATTTTAGACTTAATCAAGTACAATGACAACAGGAAAAATAAGGTAAGAAACTTTTCTTAATAGATATTATAAATCTAACCATTGATACTTTGTTCTTAAAGAAATTTTTAGTGGACTAGGGGTGTTGCTCAGTGGTGCAGTTCTTGCCTAGCATGTGCAAGGCCTTGGTTCAATCCCTAACACCACCAAAAAAAAAAAAGGAAGAAAGGAAAGAGATATTTGTCTGTATAATCATTGTTGAGTCCATGATACTTGAAATTTCTAGAGTTAAAGTCTTAGAAACATTACTTATTAGAATAACCAGTGAATTTTTAAGTGTTCCTCAAATTTCTTGTAGGGAGATAGCAGTGCATTATATTTGGGAGAGCCAGCTAAAATTTGGTTTGATGAAGTCTGGCAGCACAAAATTATTTATACTCTTTTAATAAAAATAAATAAAATGATACCTTTTATAAGCAGTTACCGCTTGGAAGCTTGGGATTAACTTGTTCATTGGTTAATGTGATGTTGTCGTGTTTTTTTAAATCATTTTATGTTTGTATTCATTTACTTAGCAATTGTTATTAGATATTATCCTTCAAAGGTTTTTTCATCTTACTGGTTATCAGTCTAATAATCAAGCATTTTTGTGAATATATGTTATAATAGGCAATGTACAATTTTAAATAGAAGACACAGTTGACATCTTCTGGAACTTCATTTATTCATTAAACATTTATTGAACAACTCTTATATAATCATGGTCTGATTTGGGGCCCTCAAGGACTAAATCTAGTAGGTAATCAGATAAGTAAACACAAGTCATTCAGGATAACTACCATGATGGAAGTATACATAATTTCTTGGGGCATCTCAGGAAGTAGTGCCAGCTTCCAAATACGTAGGGAAGTTTTGTAGAGAAGTAGTGAGCTTCAAACTGAATCATAAAGATGAATAGGACTTTCCCTGTTTATGAATAGGGCTAATTTAGGAAGGTCATTTCGGATTGAAGGAACATCACATACAAAGACACATGTGACTGGTAGAACAAAATTATCAAGTTTAATAAAATGCTGTAACAGTAAAAAAATGAAGTCAGCACTATTAAAAGATTATTTTTTTCCACATTTTTATTGGTGCATTATGGTTATACATAATGATGGGATTTATTGTTACATATTCATACATGCGTACAATGTAACAATATAATTTGGCTAGTATCACTCCCCATTCCTTCTTTGCTATCTCCCTACCTCCCACCCACTGGTCCCTTTCCTCTACTTATGTCCTTTAATTTTCATAAGATCCACCCTCCCTTTTTCTTTTCCTTTTTCCTTTCTAGCTTCCATATATGAGAGAGAACATATACTCTTGATCTTCTGAGTTTGGCTATTTCACTTAACATAATGATTTCTAGTTAAAAGAAGATGACTTTTTATGAAAATTAAGAAGACAAATTTTGCCTTTTTAAATAATATTTTAAAAGTGTTCTTAAGACAATAGAATGAATTAGTCATAATTTTCTTATTCTTATATATAAATACACAACCGATCAATAATGAGATCCTAATTGGAAAAAGTTATACTTATTCTATGTATGTATAATATGTCAAAATATACTCTATTATTGTGTATATCTATAAAGAACAAATTTTAAAAGTCTCCTTAAAACTTAAGTGTTTTAAAAGAATACATTTCAATAGGTTTCATTTTTCTTGCTATTTTTGAATACTTTTTGACTTTATCGCTGGGATGAGGTGATCATCAGTGTCACCCAGAAAAGGGACATTAGGGTCATAGAATTCTAAGGATAACTTTTAGTTACCTTTCTCATGGGTCTGGCTTTTTTAAATGAGTAGCTTGTGTTGTCAGACCCATTGTAACAAGCATTTGCTTATTTTTCTTGCATTATTGTTTCATTTAAGTGTCTAAGATTTTCATCTAACTTAACACTAAATTGGAATAAAACACTGGGTGAAATCTTTAATTTCATCTGATGTTTTATTTCAGTCAGTACATAGCTGGGTAACTAGTTCCCAGGGAAATTTAATGTAATGGAATTTAACTGGCTATATTTCTCATTATTTCCTTTCAAAGTTCTTAATTTGAAGAAAGTTTTTCTACCTACCAGTCTAAACTGTGTGGCCTACTTGGGAAAGCACTCAATATGCCCATAGAAACATAATTACCATGATTTTTTTAAATTACTGTTTTAATCTTTGTGGATTTGACTTCCAAATTGTTTTTTATATTTAGTTAAGCCCATTTTTTTTTCTTGTTAGGTTTCATTGAAGTTTTTTTCCTTTATGAATGTTATATTAAAATAGCCATGAAATAATGTTATAAAAAATAAGACAGTAAGAAAAGCACTTATTATGGTACCAAGAATTTACTAAGTAGTTGATAAATGAACACTGTACATCAGCATCATTTTTGAAAAATCAAGCTTAGATTTAATTTAAAAAAAATAATAAAAAACAAGCATGGTTACATTTCTTTAAAAAAAAAAACAGAAGAACTGAGAGTATAGTCAGTGGTAGAGTACTTGCCCAACATAGCACTACTTCTCCTATTATTTTACTTCATACACAGTTCCTTAGCAAAGCTGAAGCATAGAATTATCAGAGTTAATGAAACTGGAAAGAAAGTCAAGTTTATTTTCTATTGCTAGTGGCTATTCTGACTATACATTAAAATTATTTGTGGATGCCTACTGACTCAGAAGATAAGTGTGTTTAAGAAGGTGTATATGTGTGTAAGTCAGAAAGTATGTATATGAATGTGTATGTACATATAACACTCCTTTTTAAAAAATTTTTATATATATATATTTTTGTTGTTGTTGTTGATGGACCTTTATTTTATTCATTTATTTATATGTGGTGCTAAGAATCGAACCCAGTGCCTCCTCACACGTGCTAAGTGCTCTATCACTGAATCACAACCCCAGCCCGTAGTTATCTTCATACTGGCAGGATTTCTGAATTTGGGCACAATTTCATGTTTGGTGCTTTTCTATGCATATTTCTTTCTTTAAAAGTAATGTTATTGGAATAAGCCTGGTTCTCAAGCCCACCTGTGGCTGTACCTTTGCCAGATGGTATTGTACACGTGCAGGCTAGAAGGAGAGTGAAGGATTATTACAGTCTGAGAATGAATATGTGTGAAGTGAGGTGGTGTTTATATTATCAACTTAAATTTATTGCAGTTTCTTTTTCCCAGAAAACAAGGGGTTAGATGTTGCATTTCATAAAATGAACCGAAGTTCTGTCTACTGATGCTGCACAAGACATGTAAAAAAGAGGGGGAAAAAAGGAAAGATGCTCTTTAGGTTTTTTTGTTTTTTGTTTTTTTAATTATTTTAGGGAAAACACTGACAAATGGTCAGAGCTCCTAATCTTGATCATTTCATCAGGGTGCCTTTCCTAATAATATGGTTCAACTGTGAATATAGAAGTAGGAATGAAGGGGGAGAAAAATAAAACTCTGGAGTTAGAGGATATAAAAAAAATAAAAGTACTATTGCTACAGATAAAGAATGCAGACTTTAGAGAAGACATTCAGCATTTGTTTTTTTGGGATTGGCTAACTACACTTAGCATAATCTGCTCTAATGCCATCCATTTCTCTGCTATAAGGGGGTGACTCAAAATGGGATAGGGAGGAAGAGCATGGGAGGAAGATTACCTCTAGATAGGGAAGAGAGGTGGGAGGGAAAGGGAGGGAGAAGGAGAATTGCATGGATGGTGGAAGGAGACCCTCATCATTACACAAAATACATGTATGAAGATGTGAATTTGGTGTCAACATATCTTATATACAGAGATATGATAAATTGTGGTATAAAGGTGTATTAAGAATTGTAATGCAAACAACAACAACAATAATAATAATAGAGCTCATGTAAATAAATAAATAAAAAGAATGCAGACTTCAAAGACAAAAAAGCCACAACCCAAATTTAAATGCTTGAAATTAGCAGCACAAAAGAAAAGCTCTCCTGACTTGAATTGTGGCAGTCTTAAAGCCCCCAGAAAATTGTGCCAAAGAGTTTAGAAGACAAATAACTGATAAAAGTAAACAGACACACACACACACACACACACCAGCAGACTTCAAGTAACTATTTTGGATTGCAAATGAGAATAAATTTAACCTTTAAACAATCTGATAAAATAACAACTTGGAAGCTGAAAAAAAAGGAATGTTATGCTGTTGGAATACATATCATTGATAATTACTCAAATAATATTAATGATAATTCATGAATTTTTCTTTTGTCCCTTACTGAAGATTTTTTTCTGGTCCTTCCATGCTCTATATCTTACAAGTTGCTTTTTTGTTCTGAGTTCTTTTCTTATGTCTTTTTAAAATTTTCTTTTTTGGTACCAGGGATTGAACTCAAAGGTGCTTAACCACTGAGCCAATCCTTATCCCTTTTTTAAATTTTGAGACAGGGCCTCAATAGGTTGCTTACAGCCTTACTAAGTTGCTAAAGTTGCCCAGCATTTTTTTTTTTTTTTTTTCCTTTCTGAACCACAGCTTCCTGCCTATCATAGTGCTTCTTTTTCATGTTGAAGCCTTCCTCAAATATGTGGTGATCCTTGGTTGTATTTTTATATATTAAAGTAGAACATTAAATAGCTGATTAGAAGCTTTGTGTTACAGAAGCACCCGTGGACCATGGTTTCCTTTTAGAGGATCTAGCTAGATTGCTATGAGAGTGTTTTGCAGAGTAAATATTTATTTGGTAAAGTAACGAGTCACTGATTAATAAATTTCTTTTACTCTTTTTCCGAAGTATGACTCTATCTATGCAAAGGCCAGAGTTGAATATTTACTAGAGAACTGGATTAGATCTTCAGATAAATTGTGTTTTTAAGTAATTCATATTAAGTTTTCATTAGAAGAATTTTCTTCTGTTAATTATTCTTTGACTTAGTTTTCAGATAACTATTATCGTGCAGAAATGATTGATGCTCTGGCCAACTCTGTTACACCTGCAGTTAGTGTGAATAATGAAGTTAGAACCCTGGATAACTTAAATCCTGATGTGCGACTAATTCTTGAAGAAATCACCAGGTTTTTGAATATGGAAAAACTCCTTCCAAGTTATAGACATACTATCACTGTCAGGTAGCATTAAATTTTCTTTGCTTTTTCTTTGAACATATTTATTTGTTTTTAAAATATTTTTTTTAGTTGTAGATGGACACAATATCTTTATTTATTCATTTATTTTCATGTGACTCTGAGGATCGAACCCAGTGCCTCACACATGTGATGCAAGCACTCTACAACTGAGCCCCAGTCCCAGTCCCATATTTATTTTTATAAGTATAAAATAAATTTATTTTCATCAGATAAATTGGGAAATAAAAGGGAAAAATTTTAATTCTGTGATTCTTTTATCTACGTATAAATTTTTAATATTTGAAAAATAACCTAAATGTTTCCCTTTTATAATTACAGAACTTTGTAATTACTCATGATTATCTTATATATTTTTATATTCAGTTTACATGTAACCTTTTATATAATAACGTTATAATATAACTTTCCATTATAAAATGACTAAACTATATTATTAAAGCTTTTGGAGAAAATACTTAATATAAATTATATTTTATGCTAAATACTTTCTGAACAGTTCTTCTGTTGTAATGATACATCAAACTTAAATTTCCATAAATTTTGAAATTTATTTAAGTAGGATCTGGTTATTTAAAAAATGTATCATAGAAAAAATTGAATATTACAAAATCGAATGTGGATTCAAATCATCTCTTTTTAAATTTACTATGATAAAGGAATCTCTGCTATCTAGAAAACAAATTTGTTTCAAAATACCTCAATGAAAGTAGTTAACTGAAAATTTCTTTCATAGTTGCTTGAGAGCCATACGGGTACTTCAGAAGAATGGACATGTGCCAAGTGATCCAGCTCTTTTTAAGTCTTACGCTGAATACGGTCACTTTGTAGACATCAGGATAGCAGCTTTGGAAGCAGTTGTTGATTATACTAAAGGTAATGTTTTAAAGATAGACGCTATGTCATTTTAGAAATACTTTTTAAAGCAAGTCTACAATATAGATATTTTAATTTTAAATTTGTGACATTGAATTTGAAAGAATTTTTGATAAAATGTAGAATTCACATAAAAATTGATAAATGAGAGAAAAGAATAAAATTATAGGTATCTATGGCTTTTTTGAGAAGTCAGTGTTTTCTATAGATTTAATTATATGTGTTTTTTTTTTTTTAATGGAGATTTTTTTGGAAATTTCTAAGAAGTGGAGGCAACATACCCTTGAAAAAAATTATATCCGAAAATAGCAGAAGACATAAACAGGAATTTCAGTAGGGAAATTAGGCAATTTCACAAAGTCAAAAAGATGTAAAAGAAGGCCAAAAAATGAATAAAAGAATAATATATGTTAAAACATTTTTGAAAATTCAGATGAGGAAAAGTAGTGAAAACGTAAAGAAGAAGTCATGAAAAATGAAATGGATTGGAAGAAAAGCAATAATAATAGAAATCTCTGAAAGGGTGTAAATTAAACTGGGTTAAGCTATATTTTGATGAAATTTCAATTTTTCAGGTTAAAGAAAAAAGTTCTTAGGAATATCAGAACCATATTTTTGTACAAGGTAAAAGAATAGTGTGGCTTGTAAATTCTTCAGAATATGAAGATTCAAAGACAAGTGAAAAATTGCTATGTAAGTTCTAGGGGAAAACTGCTATCTAAATAGTGACAATGTGTTAAGGTAGCCTTATAGAATTAGAAGTACATCTCCTATATAACATTTTAAGAAGAAAACTCCCAAAGATAATTTTCCACTGACCTGGCTGTGAATCAGATTATAACTCAAACTTGGTGAATATGTGAACTATTGATGTCTAACAATGCCTCTAAAATAAAATTTAGTTTACATTTGTAAAACATTTCTTTTAAAAGAATATGCAAGTCGAAGAAACATATAAATGTAGTCTACATCTAGAAGTCAAGATTATTTAAAATATGGGAAGAGTAAAGAAATTTAAGTATGCTAAACTTCTCATCCAACTATGAAAAGGAAGTCTTAAGGTCCAACAAATTTGCTGGTATGCCCAACTTGTTTCCCAAGATGTATGAATGGTATAATGTCTTTATAAACCTGAAATGAAGTAGATATTAATATTATGGTTTCCAAAAGAATGTTAAACTAATGATTAAAATATAATGTAATTTGCTTAAATGTAAACCATGAATCCCCAGACTTCACTGTTTTTTAAATTTTAAGTTTAAACGTTGGTTGTCAAATTAAAAGAAATGACAACTATTGGGAATAAAATTTAAAAGCTTTTCAAATCATAAAAGTGAAACATGTTGAAAAGATGAATAGTAATAGTGAATAATTTTATGTCAGTTATATTAATAGCACTTTTTTATTGTGTTTTATATTGTACTGAAAAATTAAGACTACTCTTTGGTCTCAAAGTGAAAGAAACTGTGTGGACAAAAAGTTGATCGTTCTCTATAATACAGTTGAGATACCAATGGGTATCAAGCCTCTCTGTAAGCATTTAAGAAATAATTCTGTTTACAAAGATTTTATCTAGTTAATCATCTTTAATTTAGGACTCAATAAATTATAATTGGCTTTATGGTGTGTTTGCCATTGATTTGAACTTTGGTAAAGAATATGTAGTTGATACTATTTTGTGTCTTGGTTATGTATGTCACAATACTTACAAAATTATAAACGTAAAAATGTATAACATTCTTAAGAAGAAAACTCCCAAAGATAATTTTCCACTGACCTGGCTATAAATCAGATTATAACTCAAACTTGATGAATGTGTGAAGTGAACTAGTGATGTCTAACAATGCTTCTAAAATAAAATTTAGTTTACATTTGTGAAACATTTCTTTCTTAAGAATGTTATACAATTTTATGCAATATAAAATTGCATAAAAAAAAAATCTAAGAAAGTATAAGAGCTTGATTGTAGCCTTCAACTTTGAATGGAAATCCAGCTAAAGCAGAATCCTACGAATGAAATATAAACTCCCTGCTTATCACTTGTACTTTAATTTGTTTTAATTAACTACAACTATATTTCCTCAATTTTATTTTCAGTGGACAGGAGTTACGAAGAATTGCAGTGGCTTCTTAATATGATTCAGAATGACCCTGTACCCTATGTGAGGTTAGTTTATGTACTATAATATTTTATTTTTGTAAGTCCTGGAGTAAATTGAATAATTTCAGATTATATACAGAAGAGATGAGTTTTTGAAAATATGGGAACTTGTTAAGCATATATTTGTATCTTTTTTAAAATTTCATTTTCTAAAATTTGATTTGCCTTTAGGAAAACGTTTTTTAAAATAGATTGCTAACAAAGTTTATTCCCTGTAATTTTCAGTGTGTTTTCTATGGTAACTTAAAGAGAAGCTTATGTAATAGTTTGTAGTGAATATGGATTTTATTCCTTACAAATCCCAAGTTATAAGACCTCTGTACTCATTGATTTTTACAATTTTGAGAGTAATTAAGAGCAGTGTTTTGGGGGTCCCTTTTTTCCTATTTGTCTCACAATCTCAATTTTGGAATATTTTTAAAGATAATATTATTGGGCTGGGGATGTGGCTCAAGCGGTAGCGCGCTCGCCTGGCATGCATGCGGCCCGGGTTCGATCCTCAGCACCACATACAAAACGAAGATGTTGTATCCGCCGATAACTAAAAAATAAATATTAAAATTTAAAAAAAAATTGCTCACCTAAAGCATTTAAAAAAAAAAAAAAAAAAGATAATATTATTAAAATTTTAGAACATGAGGAAAAAATAAAATTCCAATCCTGACATAGTAATTACTTTTATTTTTAAATCCTCTTCTAGTCATTTTCTTCATTTCTGCTGCTTTCTTTTACAAGGTAGTAGTATGTTCATAGGATATTGAGATGAGTCCATTTAACCATTTCTGTGTCTTTTTTTCTTTGAAAATAGTTAACAGATTTTTGTTTGGTTTAATATTATGACTGTGTAGAACAGAATTTAAAGCTGAGAAATAAATTATAGCTTTCCAATTAGAAATGAGGACATAAGACTCTGAGACCTTAATTGTCTTACAATCTCCTAAAATGACAGAAAGTAAAACCTTACCTTCTAACCACCTCACCAGAATGCATGTGAGCATGAGAAGTGAACACAGAGATTGGTCTTTGACTAACAAATTTTCACATTGTTGGGGCTGGGATTGTGGCTCAGAGAGAGTTGCTCGCCTGGCATGCCTGAGGTACTGGTTTCGATCCTCAGCACCACATAAAAATAAAATAAAGATACTGTGTCTACCTATAACTAAAAAAAATAAATATTTAAAAAAAATTTTTCACATTGTTTGTAATAATGAGCTCTTGGTTAAGTGACCTTATAGTCCAGTACTTTAAGTGATGATGATTGTTAAATTCTTTGTGCAAAAGTTTGCTTATAACTAAAAAGAATTTTTAAGATTTCATAGTTCTTGATTTGCGATCTAACTTGTATTTTAAGTATGTTTTCCTTGAGATCAATATGCTAATATAAGATTGACATGACAAAAGAAAACCCTCATAATTACCTGTTTTAAAATACAGGTTTGGGAAACCAGCCTCCTGTTTTATCCAACAGAGTATGTGCATTTGGCAGTTTATCATAAAGATCCTGCTGATAGCCAGTAGGATCGGGTATTCATTCATTTGTCTTCAGTTTTCATTAACATAACTTAGATTAACACACATATTTCTGGGATCTGTTTTAAAGGCATTTCTTTCAAAGACTTTGTAGCAGATTATCATAATTTTGTAATATTTAAAATTACTGTATAAACTTTTTACCATATAATCTAAACAATTGTTTTTGGAATATTGTTTGAAACTGTTAAGAAGCATTCATATTTTAAGAATCCTGTGATTTATAGTTTGAATAGAAAGTCTTTTTAAATATATATTTTTTATTGTTTTAGCTTTTTTTTCAGGCACTGGGGTCTTAAACTCAGGGCCTGGCACATGCTAGGCAAGTGCTAAACCACTGAGCTACATCTGCAGCCTTTTATCTGTTTATTTTTTTATTTTGAGATAGGTCTTTACCAAGTTTCTCAGGCTGGTTTTGAGCTTGGGTTCCTCTTGTCTTGGTCTCAAGTGATGTGGTTCATTTTTATCACTATCAGGGAAATTTAGGGACATTAATATCATCTAGCATGTAGTTTATACACATAGTTATAAAAATTCAACATATTTTTAAGTGTTTGGGACTTTTGTGTTTCTCCATTTTGTATACTTTTTTTTTTTTTTTTAGATGTAGATGGACACAACACAATGCCTTTATTTTTTATTTTTATGTGATGCTGAGGATCGAACCCAGGTCCCGCCTGCGGTAGGCGAGCACTCCACCACTGAGCCACAATCCCAGCCCCATTTTGTATACTTTGAATATGAACTTTTTCTTTTTCTCTTCATCCTGATATTTTTTAAAACCTCATTATATAATTGCCATATAGAATGTCTATATTTGTTTGTATTAATTGGACAGAATTCTTAATATTAAGACAGATAAGTTTTTCTCTTAAAATCGGTAGCATTTTCCTCTCCTGGCCCAAACATAAGCATTTTATTTTTATGGTCTTTGGTGGATTATTAAACTCATGGTAAAAATTGCCTTTACTAGGGCTGTAGATGTGCCTCAGTGGTAGAGCTCATGCTTAGCATGGATGAGGCCCTGGGTTCAATCCCAAATACCACCACCACCAAAAAAAAAGTACTTTATTAAAAATTTTAAAGTATGTAGATTTTCTATTCCTGCTTTTATTATTATATGTCAGAATTACTCCTTTGGTTACAGTTAGATAAATTTCATAGTTCTTGATTTGTGATCAAAATTATCTAAAGGAATTTGAGGTAAAACCTTAAAGTCAGAAGCAAAGAAAATGAATTTTTTTCTTTTTCTTTTATTTCCCCTTCATAATTACGTTTGTCACTTTAGAATATCATTGATGCAGGGGAACTTCCTTGACTCTCTGGACTAGTTATTAAGTATTGATTTTATAGTTTGATTATTGATTATTTTTGGAGTACAGCTGGAATATAACTCTTGAAAGGCAGGGGCCTTATCTCCTTCTGCCATTGTATATCTGACACATAACACATTGTTTTGTACATAATTGGTCAAATACATGTTAAAAAACGGATATTTTTTTTCCTTTTTTCTCTAATCACATATATATTACATAAACATACATGTATGTGTGTGTATATATGTTTTAAACTTAATTTATTTTATTTCTGTTGTGACAACTAGTTGGAAAAAATTTTAAGATATATAATCATATAAAAATGGCTAAGGATAGACATCATGGCACACACCTGTAATCCCAGCAGCAACTTGGGAGGCTCAGGCAGAAGGATCACAAGTTCAAAGTAAGCCTGAACAACTTAGACCTTGTTTCAGAAAAAAACAAAAACAACAACCAAAAATTGGCTGGAGATGTGGCTCACTGGTTAAGCTCCTCCTGAGTTTAATCTTAGAACCAACAACCAGGAAAAGAATGTTTAGGAAAGTATCTGGTCTTCTGTGTGATTGATGTCACAAATGTAGGGACAGGGATAACCATTTTTCTTGTATAATCTACTCTTAGTAGAGAATTTTCAGATTCTATACCTGCTTTTTATTATATTTTTCCAATTAAACTAAATAAATGCATTTTGGTTAGTTTTTATAATCACCCGACAAACTATTAGCACTTCTTTTTCCCATGAAATTTGCTTTTGATTTAATATGTCTGTTAAAATTAAAAGAATAAATTTAGATACTTAGCTTTTAACTAAATATGTAAACCTATTTTGTTTTAAATTAAAACTTAAAATTTTGGAATTACAGAGTATCAATGAGAGTGACTTTCTAAAATATACAAATTTTGAAAAAATGCAGAATCAATATATTAAGAAGAAAGCTGTATAGTAGCTTATAATTGTTATAGCTGGAAAACAATAATTCTTACTATTCTGATTTATTGCTCTTCAGTTATTTCTATGCTTATATTTCCTTTTGTACATTAGTAGAAAGAATAGTTATGTGGGCTTTGTATTAATAGTGTCATGGAATTATCCTCCCATTTTGTAATTAAGCATACTTATGAATAGAATGCATCAATTCTTTAAGGGGACAAACTTGCATTGACTGCTTTTTCTCCTGAAAGAGTGTTTAATTTTTTTTTTGTTTGTTTTGATTTAGCTTCATTTTTTATGGTGATTGGCAGTGGGATTTTATCAAAGGCCTTATCTGTGTCTATTTGTGCTTTTTGTCCTTAATTCTGTTTAAGTGATGAATTACATTTATTGATTGCATATGTTGAACCAACCTTGCATTCCTGGAATGTTCATGTTATATTATCTTTTTGATATTTTTGAATGTAGTTTGCTAATATTTTATTAAGGATTTTTACATCTGTGTTCATTAGAGATATTGGTCAGTAGTTTTCTTCCCTTCATGTGTTTTTATCTGGTTTTGGTATCAGGGTTATACTAGCTTTATAAAATATGTTTAGGAATGTTTTCTTTCAGTTTCCTGGAATAATTTGAGAAAGATTGTTGTTTTTCTGTAATGGTTTGGTAGAACTCAGCTGAGAATCCAGCAGGTCTGGGTTTTTCTTTTTTGGAAAGCTTTTAATTGCCGTTTCAATTTCATTACTTAATTTTTGTCTTTTTTTAATATCTGATCTCATTGATTTGTATCTTCTTACTCTTTTGGTTAGTTGGCCTAAAGGTTTTGTTGTTGTTGTTACTGTTGTTCTTAGTTATATATGACAGTAGAATGTGTTTTGACAAATTATATATACATAGAGAATAACTTATTCTGTTTTGAATCCCACTCTTGTGGTTGTACATGATGCCGAATTACTCTGGTTGTGTATTCAAATGCATGGCCAGAAGAGTTGTGTTCAATTAATTCTACTGTCTTTCCTATTTCCTCTCCCCCTTCTCTTCCTTTCATTTCCCTTTGTCTAATCCAATGGATTCCTATTATTCCCCACCCCCCCTCCCTTGTTTTGTGTTTGGCTAAGGGTTTTTCAATCTTATCTTTTGAAAGAACCAACTCTTCCTTGCATTGATCTTTGGGTATTGTTTTCTCGTGCTCAGTTGCATTCATTTTTGTCTCTGATCTTAATTATTTCCTGTTCTTCTACTGGTTTGGGGGTTAATTTGTTCTTTTTCTAAGGCCTTGAAGTAGAGCATAAGCTTATTTACTTGGTTCTAATTTTTAACTATGAATTCAGTGCTTTAAATATTCCTCGTAGAACCGCTTTCATATTCTCTCAGGGATTTTAATATGTTGTATCTTTATTCTTGTTCATTTATAAGAATTTCTTGATTTATTCTTTGGTTTATTTTTTCTTTGTTCAGTCTACATGGTTTATGTGGTTTCTAATATTTTTCTTGCTGTTGGATTCTAGCCTCATTCCATTATGATCTGATAGGATGCGTGGGACTATATCACATTTTTTTGTATTGGCTAAGATTTACTTTTTGGTCTAGAATATGATCTATTTTGGAAAAAGTTCCAAGTGCAGCTAAGAAGAAGGTAAATTTAGCTATTTTGGAGTGGAAGATTTTGTAGATGTCCCTTAGTTCCATTTTATTTATAATGTTGATTAAGTTGGAGATATCTTTATTTGATATTATGTTTTGGTGACCAGTTGGTGATGAGGGTGTTTTGAAATTACCCAGTATTATTGTGTTAGGGTCTGTGTCATGGAATTTAATGTCAAGGAATAATTTTTTTCCCATGTAATAGGGTGTGTCAACATTTGGGGCTTAAATATTTACCCTCATTATATGATCTTGTTGGATTGTACTCTTTCTAGAATATAGTGGCCTTTGTTTCAGTAATTTTTGCTTGAATTCTGCTTTGTTGGATAAGATAATACCTACTCCTTCTTGTTTTCTTGGACCATGCATGGAATATTTTTTCCATCCTTTTACCTTCAGCCTGTGGTTGTCTTTCCCTTAAGATGAGTCTCTTGTAATTTGTTGTATCTTGTTTTTTGATCCAGTCTGCTAATATGTGTCTTTTAGTTGGGACTCTGAGACTATTAACAATCAGCATTGGTCTGGATATGTGTTTGTGTTTTTCTGCTCGTTCGTTCATTCGTTCTTTTTTTCTTTCTTTCTTCCTTTCTTTCTTTTGGCTATATTTTATCCTGTTTTGAGCTCATTTAGTGGATTATTCTTCTGTTAACTTCCTCTGTTTATGGGCTTTGGGAATTCTTTTTCTATTCCTATGTGTGAAGTTTTTCTTTGAGTACTCCTTGTAGTGCTGGTTTGGTGCTCATAAATTCTTTTAGTTTATTCTTGTCATGGAATGTTTCTGTTTCCTCCCTTGAATTTGAAATTGAGCTTGGCTGAAAGTTGTTTTCTTTGGGGGCCCTCCTTGATTTTAGGATCTGAGCTGAGAAATCAGAAGTGAACCTTATTGGTTTGCCTCTACATGTAACCTTATGTTTCTCTCTTGTGTCCTTTCCTTATTTTTTATTTAGGCATTTTGATTATGATATGTCTTGGTGAGCTTTTCATTTGACTAGGTCTGTTTGGGGTCCTGTAAGCCTCTTTTTTTTTTTCTTTTTTTTTTATTGGTTGTTCAAAACATTACAAAACTCTTGACATATCATATTTCATACATTAGATTCAAGTGGGTTATGAACTCCCATTTTTACCCGAAATACAGATTGCAGAATCACATCGGTTACACATCCACATTTTACATAATGCCCTATTAGTAACTGTTGTATTCTACTACCTTTCCTATCCTCTACTATCCCCCCTCCCCTCCCCTCCCATCTTCTCTCTCTACCCCATCTACTGTAATTCATTTCTCTCCTTGTTTTTTTTTCCCCATTCCCCTCATAACCTCTTATATGTAATTTTGTATAACAATGAGGGTCTCCTTCCATTTCCATGCAATTTCCCTTTTCTCTACCTTTCCCTCCCACCTCATGTCTCTGTTTAATGTTAATCTTTTCCTCTTGCTCTTCCTCCCTGCTCTGTTCTTAGTTGCTCTCATTATATCAAAGAAGACATTTGGCATTTGTTTTTTAGGGATTGGCTAGCTTCACTTAGCATAATCTGCCCTAGTACCATCCATTTCCCTGCAAATTCCATGATTTTGTCATTTTTTAGTGCTGCGTAATACTCCATTGTGTATAAATGCCACTTTTTTTTATCCATTCATTTATTGAAGGGCATCTGGGTTGGTTCCACAGTCTAGCTATTGTGAATTGTGCTGCTATGAACATCGATGTAGCAGTATCCCTGTAGTACGCTCTTTTAAGGTCTTCAGGGAATAGTCCAAGAAGGGCAATAGCTGGGTCAAATGGTGGTTCCATTCCCAGCTTTCCCAGGAATCTCCATACTGCTTTCCAGATTGGTCGCACCAGTTTGCAGTCCCACCAGCAATGTACAAGTGTACCCTTTTCCCCACATCCTCGCCAGCACTTGTTGTTGTTTGACTTCCTAATGGCTGCCAATCTTACTGGAGTGAGATGGTATCTTAGGGTGGTTTTGATTTGCATTTCTCTGACTGCTAGAGATGGTGAGCATTTTTTCATGTACTTGTTGATTGATTGTATGTCCTCCTCTGAGAAGTGTCTGTTCAGGTCCTTGGCCCATTTGTTGATTGGGTTATTTGTTATCTTATTGTTTAATTTTTTGAGTTCTTTGTATACTCTGTATTTTGACTAAATGACTTAGTAGAGTTTAGCAGTTACCCCTATGAGAATACTTTTCTTAATTGACTCTTTTTTACCTCAGCTTAATTTGAAGAATCTTTTTGTAGGTACCGCATTTAAAATGCTCCCTCACATTCTCTACAAAGATAGAATAATGATGTCTATATTCATTTTATTATCTAAAGTGTAGACTTCTAGGTCTATTATGTATTTTGTGGGTTTTGGGGGGTTTTTCCTCCGTTTTAAGATATACTTAACTGACCAGTCTATGTGTCTATGTGTGTTTTCTTTTTTGTACATGTTTCTATGGAGAGTAGATTGTTTATTTTAAAACATGGGATGGGTGTAGCTGGGCACAGTGGCCCAAGCATATAATTCCAGCTACTAGAGTGTCTGAGGCAGGAGGAAAAAGTCAGTTCAGCCTGTGCCATTTGAAACTGTGTTTCAAAATTATGAAAGTGGCTGGGGATATAACCAAGTCATAGAGTACTTGCTTAAAATATGCAGAGGCCTACTAACACACACACACACACACAAAATGTTATGGTAAAGATTGGTTAAGATTGTGTAGTCAAGCTTTTTATTGCACAGTTAGTTGATTTAGAAGCAAAACAACCAGATTTTTTTTAATTGAAACAAGTAGGAAGTATTTAGGATATAACTCAAAGTCTTCTGAAATCAAACTAATCTAGTCACAAAACTAGGCCTAATGGAAAGTGGCAAATTAATAAGGAAGAAGTACACATAATTTTCAGCTGTTTTGTGGTGTCTCTGACTCAGTATCAGTCAACAGATGGTCAGCAAAAATTAATTAATTTGTTTTTTACTCTTTCAGGCATAAGATTCTAAATATGTTGACTAAGAATCCACCATTTACAAAGAACATGGAGTCTCCATTATGCAATGAAGCCCTGGTAGATCAACTTTGGAAACTTATGAATTCTGGTAAGAGAGCAGTGATTTTTAAAGAAATTTTTATTATTAGAGTATTTTCATTTTATAGCAGACTTGCAATTCAATAGCACTTAAGAACAGAAGATTTTAGTTTTTGCCTTTTTTTTTCAAGTAGAATATCACACTTTTACAGTGATGGGTATTATAATATTGGTTAAGAATATGCTCACTTTGCTCCCCACTGAGGTTAAGGAAATAAAAGATTAATTTATTTGAAAGTGTTTCAGATGATTAAAGGGCTATTAATATAACCCTACAAAGTGTTACATAATACTGAAAACTTAAACTTTCCACCTCTTTTCCATAGCCACTTAGTGGCCTTTCCCATAAGTAACCAATTTCTTATCCTTGCAGGGGCAGTCAGTGCATATAGAATCAGTCTCCATTTTTTAAAACTGCATATTGTTTTTGGTTTGCACCCTGGAGTTCATGGTATATTATAGTTTTAACTTAATTTATTTGAGTGAGGTCAAGAAGTAGGATAACACTGCTTAGGAGCACTATCTTTGAAACCAGTTTGCAGATAGTTGAGTCTTAGTTATTTTCTCACTGTGTAGCTTCTAAACTTTTTTCATTTATAAAATGCACATGATAATTATATCAACTCCTGTAAACTGAGAATTAAAATGAGTTAAGCACAGTATCTGGCTTATATTGAATACTTAAAAATGTTGTTAGACAAGTGTAATGATGATATTATCATTATGCTGCTTATATTTTAGATATTTGTAATTCCTTTTTTTCCTGTGCTGGGGATTGAACCCAGGGCCTTGTGAATGCTATGCAAATGCTCTACCACAGAACACACCCCAAACCTGTGTCTTTTTTAAGTCATTTTTATTTATTCAGGTTATTGTTCTTCTTCTATGGGTTTGTAAGTATTACATACATTTTACCAAATTTGCCTGATGTCTCTGATAGGTTGAAACTAACACTGGTTTTAGTATAAAGACTCAATCAAAGGATAGGTTGAAATGTGTTTTATTAGATATAAATAGTTGTTATATATAAAAGGTAGGAGAGCAGTAGGTATTTGTTTTAATACTTTAAATACTTTAAAACTTTGTTTCTGTGATAGGGTACATGAAGGATTATGGAGTGATGTTTGCTTGACAGTCTGTTGATGAAGAGAATCAGACAAGTTGGACAGAGAATGAATGAATGTGGTATAACTAATTACTGGTGAGGAAGAAGTAAAAGAATATTGAAAGCCAGAGGGAAAAAATTGTTTTTAGAATATTAGATTTTTTAGTTGATCTATAGTACTCATTTTGTAAGAATAAAGGTGTGATAATAAAATTTCTTTATTATTTATATCTCAGGTACTTCACATGACTGGAGATTGCGGTGTGGTGCTGTGGACTTGTATTTCACACTTTTTGGCCTCAGTAGACCTTCCTGTTTACCCTTACCAGAGCTTGGGTTGGTTCTTAATCTGAAGGAGAAAAAAGCTGTCTTGAATCCTACTATAATTCCAGAGGCTGTAGCAGGCAACCAAGAAGCTGCGAATAATCCAAGCAGTCATGCACAGCTAGTTGGATTTCAGAATCCTGTAAGAATCACAAGTATTACATACAGAAGATATAGTTTTATTATATAGAGCCATCTAGAGAAAAGAATTGCTTCTTGTGAACTGGTAAATTTTATAGCAACTAAAACAGTTCACAGTGCCATTTTAAAACCTGTAGCTAACGTTTGTTTAGCATTTTATCAGTCCATTTACTCTCTTTTGTGATGACATAATCATTTTAAAAAAATATTTGAGCATAGAATTTCTCCTCTGAGTAGTAGAAAATAAAAATGAACAGTTAATCTATTACATATTAATCTGTTTGAACCCAAAGGCCCTGTCTTTTTAAATTTTTGCTCTATGTAGTACCTAGCACAATTCTTAACATGGTAAGTGCCTGGCAAATGCTTGTTGAATGAAAATAAATAAATGAATGAATGATCAGGTAAATAAATAAGCTGCCGATTTGGGAGAAGACTGTCTTAAAAATTTTTATATATTTGTGTGTGTTTGCCTTTAGAAAAGCTTTTCTAACTGTATATCATACAATTGTCAGCCTTTTTGTAAAAGGACTTATAGGATACATATTAATTATTTGACTATAAACAAAGTTTTCCAGAAACACTTTTCTTACTGATGACAATGTCTGAAGTATTTCAAGCTTCATTTTTCACCAATATTTAGACCAGATTACTTGCATGGCAAAGCCCTACTGGTGTTTTAACATTTTGATACTCAGATTTTCTCTATGATACTAAGTAATTTTTAAACTTATTTACCTAAATTTTTTGAAATGTAACCACACTTATTTGTTGTAAATTTTACAAGTGTCTTAGAGTTTGATTTTAAAGAAGTAAGGCCAATTATTACATAGGAAAAACAAGTCTAAAAAAGGAGCTCTTTTAGATTTAGATATTTATAAACCTGTGGAAATAAATAGTTTATAGTTCTTGCCCATATGTTAATTGTGCACATTCACACTTTAGGATAAGTGAAGAAAGTGACACTAAAAGATACATTCTTTTGGAAAAGCTCTGGAAGTTCACTTAAATACTTATATTCTCACCCCAAAAGTAAAACACACAGAAAAAGGTTATATTTTTAAGCCCATTTTTTAGCCTTTGGGCATGCTCTAATCTGCATGGTTGTTATAGCTATTAGTTTTCAGCTATAATATGAGCTACTTGTCTTTACAAGTCTAATTTTGATCTTAAATATTGCCACAGGAAGATGATCACCTTGCCAAGGAAGCATCATGTAATGTATCAGCTCATCAGCAGGGAGTGAAGAGGAAGGCTGATACACCACTGGGGTCCCCACTAGAACCTGGTCAAATACTGGAGAAGAATGAGGATAGCAGTAAAGTCAAACTCAAAATCAGAGTAAGAAATACAGGTTCAACCTGTATTAACAGTGTAGGGTATTCACATTCTCATAAATCTTTTTGAATACTTGGAATGGTTTTTCCTTAACAGGAACATGTGGGACAGACTGAATCATAAAACAACCCAAATGTCCTTCCAAGTCATTTCATCCAATTATTTAACTTCTATTATCACATATTTCTTCTCTGTTTGGGGAAGGAACTATGTGTGCACGTTTCACCACAACTCACTACTTCTTCCCACAATATAGGAGTAGATTTTAGTTGCTATTACATTTCCAGTAATTTCTAAATCAGCTTCTTTTGGAGGCTGGACCACCTAATCCTTCCTTTCTCTTAATACTTTTTAAGGAAAAGAGACTGCTTTTCCTTTTAAGATTATAAGGGGTTATATTCTTATTGCCTCTGCCACTTTTTCTAAAAGATAAGATCTAAATATAAAGTGATGTAATGGCTTCTTTTTATTTTGTTTGTTTTGTGTGCCTATGTTTAGTTCTCAAATTCTCAAGATGAGGAGGAGATTGACATGGATACTGTTCATGATAGTCAGGCCTTCATCTCCCATCATCTGAACATGCTTGAAAGACCGTCAACTCCAGGTAAGATTAGTATTGTACTCTCACTTAGAAGGAGAAGTTCACATGATATCTCCATTTGAACGTTTGTTGCTTTATTTTCAAATGAAACCTATAAAATTGAAAAGGCAGCCAGTACAAAATATTAGATGATACCAGATTTTAAAACACATAAGCAAAATTAAAAAATTTTAAGTGTTTCTCTTGATTTAATTTTTTTAAAATATTGTGTGCTTTTGAACTTGTTTTTTGTAAAACCTGTTTATCAGATTCCTTACAATAGCTTTAATTTCTTTTCTTTTTTAAAAATATCTTTCTTTAGTTGTAGGCGCTTTATTTTATTTATTTTTATGTGGTGCTGAGGATCAAACTTGGTGTCTCACACATGTTAGGCGAGCACTCTACCACTGAGCCACAACCCCAGCCCAATAGCTTTAATTTCTTTAAGTAAATGTGCACATGTGTGGTAGACTCAGCTTTGAAATGAAAAATTAGGTCTCGTTGAGTTTTTAATAATGTAACTATATTTACGTTAATTTTTTAAAACTAAATCTAGTGCTGCCCATAACACTACTTTCTCTTTGTGCCTGCCTATTCCGTGTAATATATTCTAAACTTTTGCATGTATCTCTCAAAGCAAGTTTTCTTTTGGAAATACTACCCAAGACACTATTGAATTGATAATGCTTATAATTTGCCTTATTATTTCCCTGTTGGCAGATATTGAGGTTGTTTCTAGTCTTTATTGATTATAGACAATTCTGAACTCAATATCTTTACAAGAAAGCTTTTGATACTTTTACTTTTAAATTATGTTCTTAGTATATATTCCTGAAATATTATTGAAAAGAATATTAGCTATATTGTGAGATATTCATCTTAAGATTTTCATACAGCTTTTTTTTGTGAGGGGTGATTTCACTTCACTATGTAGCCCAGGCTGATTTTTAACTGCTGAGCTCAAGGGATCCCTTGAGGCTGAGCTCAGCCTCCCAAGTAGCTAACACTACAGGCTAGCTTTTTTATCTCTTGTTATTTGTTGTCATGGTGCTTCCCCCCCACCCCACCCCCTTTTTTTCAGTGCTGGAAATTGGACCTATTGCTTTGTGCATTCCCATGGTACTTTTTGAAGAGATTATATCAGTATATGTCATAAACATTTTTTTAATTTTTAAGGAATAATTAAGGCTTTTGATATGACTCGCGCATAAGTCATGAAATACAGTAATAGAACAAGTATCTGTGAAATTGATCATCACTTAACTTGTACAACATAGTGCACGTGTGGATGTTCCTGTAGACTTCTGTCCTAGTTCTATTCTGTTGTCTTTGCACCATAGTTAACTACTATCTTGAATTTTCTTTTTCTAAATTTAGTTTTTTTGCTTTTCTTGATAGTATACAGCACAGATGTGTTATTCTATGTTTACTTACTCTTATTGTTTGAATTTTTATGAAAATGGTATGATAATATGGCTTGCTTTTTTCACTCAACGTTGTTTCTAAAATTAATATGGATACATAAGGTATAATCTATTAATCTATATGTATCATTATCATGTCTGTCATAGCACTGTTTTATCATACTCAGTGTAATAAGTTAAAATTCTTATTTAGGAACTCTAAAATGATTAAATAAGGTTTAATGCTGGGTGTGGTGGTGCACATCTCTAATCCCAGCAATTTATTAAGACCTTGTCTCAAAAAATGAGAAGGGTTGGGGATATGGCTTAGTGGTTAAGCACCCCTGGGTTCAGTTGCCAGTACCAATAATAATAACTGTTATTATTCAGGTTTGCTTTTAATGCATTTTTCTATTATGAATATGACTATTCTTTTTCTTCTTTTTATGTCCTTCCTGAGTTGCTTCTTTTTTATGTTCTTCTTATTTGAAAATCCTAATACCCCATGTAGTTGTAGTTTATAATTTTTACATTTGAATGAGGTTTTTTTTTTTTTGTTTTTTTGGTTTTTTTTGGTACCGGGTATTAAACACAGGGGCACTGGACCACTGAGCCACATTCCCAGCCCTATTTTGTATATTATTTAGAGACAGAGTCTCACTGAGTTGCTTAGTGCCTAGCCTTAGCTGAGGCTGGCTTTGACCTTGAGATCCTCCTGCCTTAGCTTCTTGAGCTGCTGGGATTACAGGCATGCACCACCACACCCAGCTTGAGTGAGGTTTTTTTAATTTTACTTTTTTTAAGTTCTAAAGTCCCCACTATTCACCTTGATTTGCTTGTCTGTCTTTTTATTTATGGGACCTATATTATTTTATATGATCTGGTAATCTAAGATGAACTAAAGAATTTGAGAACTGGTTTCAGATAGAATATGAGCCTAGGATATAACTGGAAACTAATAGGTCCTGAATTCTTTTGGTTTTATAATTGTAAGAGATCTTAATAATAATAGTGACCTGTTTTGCTCACTTAAGTGGTAAACTTGAGCAGAGATATTTAAATGATTTGCCTGAACTGACACACACATGTAATGGCCAACTACATCCAAATCTTAGAACTTTTCCATATTATAGGTGAAGGAATTAACACACAAATAGATACTTGTTGATAAATTTGGTATCAGATACTGATTGTGTTACACCATTAAACCACTATCTGCTTTTTGTTTGTTTTTGTTTTGGCACTGGAGATTGAACCCAGAAGTGCTTTACCACTGAGCTACATCCCCATCCCTTTTTATTTTTTATTTTTTTGAGATAGGGTCTCACCAAGTTGCTTATGGCCTTACTAAGTGGCTGAGGCTGGCTTCAAACCTGGAATCCTCCTGCTTCAGCTTCCCCAGCTACTGGGATTGGGATTACAGATGTGAGCAGCCATGCCTCATTCACTTCCCTTCTTAAATGTCTTCTGTAATTCCTAAATCATTTTGATCTATTTTAAAATAAATTTTATACTGTAATTTATTAGTGGATTTTTTGGAGAGTGGGCACATTTTATTATGTGCAAAGTTCCATGTAAAAAAATTTATGAAATGGTTTCTGTGATAGAATATAGAATCTAATTTATATGTTTACCAAGTCATTCCACCATATTGTCTCTCTTCAATGTGTATTATTTTCAGATTTAAACTTACAGGACCTGTGACAAAGGATTAAATTAAATGGGATTGTTAGTAGTTTTTAAAGGATATTCTTTTTATTATCAGAATTTTACTGTGGTTCCACTGCCTCTAGTTTTAAGGGTAACTTATAAAAACCCATCAGGCTTTTTTCAGCTTTTAGGAAACAAGGAAGTAAATCCATCCTTTTCCTCTTGTTTGGCATTTTAGGACTTTCCAAATATCGACCAGCTAGCTCTCGATCTGCTTTAATACCTCAGCATTCATCAGGTTGTGATAGCACAACTACCACAAAACCCCCATGGAGTATGGAACTTACACGTAAGGGAACAGGTAAAAATCAATCGACTAATTTCCTTTTTTTTTTTCCCCTCAAGAACAAATCTGTAAAACTACATAGAGTTACTTTAATAACTTGGAAAAATACTTTAAAAATGTAGATCTTAGGAGTTGCTTTCCTTACAGTACATTTGACTTTATTTAACTTTAAAGACTTTTAAATTAGACTTTTTTCTGTTTCAAAAGAAATGGACTTTTGTTACAGGAAACTTGAAAATAACAGAAAAATAAATGAAAATAAAAATCATTCCACCTGATACCATTACATATACCCTTTGAATTAATATTTTACTCTTATAGTACATTTTCTAATTATTATGACAAATACTAACTTAAGTAGAAACCATCAAATCTGTATCATTATAACTTTATAAAATATGAAAATCATCTGCTTATTCCCTCCATAAACCCAGTGTTCATGATTGGTGATTCATTTATGAAGACTTGATGATTTACCTAGAAAATTCAAATGTTATATCTTTTAAGTTATTGTATACTAATTAGGTTTAAGTTTATGAAAGGTAATTCAATACAGATGTGCTTGTTACCTTTTCCATAGTTTTACATATTTTTCTGTTTATTCTGTTCTTATGTTACTTACTAAGAGATTAAAATCCAAATAAAGAGTAATAAACTTTAGATGCTGATGAGCTACCATGAAATAAAGATTCATCAGTCTTCAAGTTTTCAAGAAACAGGGAGTGAAAAACAAGATATGTAACCAAAATTATTTCCCAGTATAAGCAATAGAGTACTGTTTATTCATTTGAAGAGCTTAGGGGTCACTGTGACTAAAAGGCGAGTTCAAATAAAAGTGACACATCAAAATATTTTGGTGTTGAGACCCCAGACTATTGCACTTTGGTGCTTATTCTGATGAATGAATTTTCACATTTCTCATTTCTTGGCCTCTGCTGATTTTGTGTTCTGGGTTTGTTTTTTGTTTTGTTTTGTTTTTTCTTTTTGTTGTTATTGTTTTGTGGGGTTTTGTTTGTTTTTTCTTTTGGTACTAGAGGGGGAACCTGGATCCTGACACATTCTAGACAAGCAAAGCACTCAACCACTCAGGGCTTTGTATTATCTTGGTTTTAGTTTTGGTATAGTTTTGCCTTATCATCAGTGTATTTTTTAAACTTTTACTGGACATGAATAATTTTCTACTTTTTTAAAAAAAAATTACAAAGCATATGGGATTAAAACTTATTGATATAGTTTATGGTGCTTCTGCCTGCCTTCTTTGCCTATGAAAAAATAAGTTCTGTCTGAATTTCTAAGAGTCAAATCAGTTTCTAGTCCAAAAAGAAGTTCAGTACATTGTTTGGATTTTCTTAATGATGTGGCCCACAAACTTGTGTAGAAGCAAACTTTAATACATTTTTATGTCCACTAGTGTGCTTTGTATCATTGTTCCATATTGCTTTTAAAAATCCCCCTACCCCCAATCTTTGTTGTGTTCTCATTGCGTCACATGAGAAGCCTGGGGAGAGACAGATACAGGCTAGTGGTGGAAAATAATAAAGTGTTAAAATTTTAGCTTTGATTGGTATCCATGTAGAACTATTTTATATCATAAGGCAAAATATATGGCAGTTATGTAGACTGATCTATTAAACTTTAATTTTAAATATACTCTTTGATATGCCTTTATAATTTCCTTTAATTATATTTGGACTATTCAGTACCCTAAAACCATTAAGCATCTCTTAAAACTCAACAGCAATATTTAGATTTTAGAAAACATGCATTTTACAAAGGGTAGTGTTCCAAAAGTTTGTTTTTAAAAATTTTTTTTTAGTTTTCGATGGACCTTTATTTATTTTTTATTTATATATGGTGCTGAGAATCAAACCCAGTGCCTCACACACGTGAGGCAAGCACTCTTCCACTGAACCACAACCCCAGCCCCAAAAGTTTGTTTTTATGTGTATTGATTTTAGAATTTTGAATGCAGTTTTTCCATAAATACTTTGTTGATAATATTGGATATTGTAATTTTCCCAAACTAGCCTACCAAGAGCCCTTTGAACACATACCACAGATGGAGAATAGAAGTATCAAATCTAGCCATTATGTATAACAAAGTTTCTGTGAGAGCAGGCCACTCAGCTTCATCTTTGGGAGGTCAGAAGCACAACTTCAGCCTAACCTAAATAAAGTCATGTGAAATTCTTTGTAAAAAAGGAATGTATTCTCTTCCTGTCTCTCAGTAACAGCTGGGGATCTTCTGAGATTGAAAGTCATGTGAGAGGCTCCTGAGAGAAAGGTAGAGCAGCAGTAAGGTGATCTCTCTTCAGTCTTTGGAATCTAGATGAAGGACACATGGGTTTGGGGAGGCACGTTCTGCTCATCCAGGTGAAATGTCTTTTATTCAGTCTGGGTAATTCTTACAAAAATTTTTTAATGGGTTGACTAAAAATGAAGAGATCACACATAATCTAGATTTTTCTTGAAGATTTAACTGAGAGGACTTCATAAGGAGGGTATGTACGTTCCAGTTCAAACTTTTCTTGTGCTGTACCCTATAGTGTGCTTATTTATACTTTTCCTTGGGTTTAAAGCTTTTTTGTTTGGGTCCCTGCCTCCTTTGTTCCGGTGCTGAGATAAGTCTCAGATTTCTTAAGCTTAGGACCAGGGAACCAAATTGGAATTAAGAACTAAAATGTGTTGCAGAGTTCATCTAGAAGACAGAGAAAAGGAATGAGGATTTAGGTAAAAGAGGAAATGGAAGCTGTTTAGTAGAGGACAGTAATGGTTTTACTTTCTAAACCTCACCCTATATGTCTCACATATACACAATTTTCCCTTTCCTTGTATATGATAAAAGGGCACTTTTAGGGTGTAATCAGTCATATGTGGGTAGTAGGTTGAGCCATTAGGGTAAGAAAGGAAAAGTGGCAAGTTTGTTTTCCTTCGTTACCTGAGTGTTCCTTTCCCTTTGCTGAGGTAAGGGAGGGAATGTGCAGAAAGGGCTAAATGGTCCTCTTGGTGATAGGCTGAACATACTGAAGCCCCTCCCTTCCAACTACTGCAGCTTTCTCTCCACCACTGTAAAGGCTTAAGGTGACAGAGCTATCTCCAGGTTGCTACAGTGTTACAGTGATTAACAGGAGAGGAAGGTGAGGGGAACAAGGTGCATTGGGAATTCCTAGTAGTTTCTGTGGGGAAGAGAAGGCAAGTTCCTGCAGCTGCTTAACTTTGGCCACTATGTTATGCAATTCTTCTTGTGCAAATCAAAAGAACATATTTCTAGTGCTTGATTTTTTTAAGTTAAAGCTTTTTTTTTTTTTTTTAAGTTTGGAAACTTTCCTTATAGGTCTTTCTTTGGTACTAAATATGAGAAACAGACTTTGATCTTTTTTTTTTTTTAATTTTTTTAGTTGTAGATGGACACAGTATCTTGATTTATTTATTTTTATATGGTGCTGAGGATCGAACCCAGTTCCTCATGCATGAGAAGCTGTGCTCTACCACTGAGCTACAGCCCCAGCCATAGACTTTGATCTTTTTATCCTTAAATCATCATGGTATAATTCAACACTTTATTTTTATATTGCTTTAAAGCATTGAGGAAAAAAAAAAAAACTACTTCATACCTTTCCTAATAGAACCTACAGGTTTTTGATTAAATCCAAACACTTAATATGAACAAATTTAATAGATTAATTAGCAGATTATTCACTGTTTCTCAGCAGCAGTTTTATCAAGTGAACTAAAAACCTATATTAAACTTATAGGAAGTGCCTCTTTCTGTTTGTTTTGCATTTGTTAAATTTGCTGCAATAACCTTTATTCATGGTGTATTTTATTTGGTCTTCGGGAAAAACAAAACTCTGAATATGTCTTTTGTTTTCTATTTATACTATGAAATAGGAAAATTGTAGTATTTTGAATTATGTGTATTATTTTCTTCTGATTTATCTGGTATCTTAAATAGAAATACATATTTTAGGTCACTAAAATGGTTTTCATTAGCTTAAAAAGGAGTGACGCTTAAATGTGGGTGGGCCTCAAGTTTTTAAGCATTTTATAAACCTCTAAAATTGTGTGTCAGTTTGTGTCCAGGAAATGATTAATACATGCATATTCATGAAAGTCCTTGAGTAACCTCATTATATTATTGTGAAAGTAAATTCATGTGTACTTAATCTGAATATTAATGTGATCTACATGAGAAGGAAATTGTATTTCTTATCACTTTGGATTAGACCTGGTAAAGTTTTTCAGGAAGGATAGAGAAAAAGCAAATAAGAAATATGCATTGTTTATAACAAATGGAAAAACGTAAGAGCTAAGAGCTAACATTTTTTTGTGGTGATAGTATAATGTGGGCAGATGTTTTGCTATTAAAAACAATTTCTCTGTGTTCATGTGTTTGCACATATTCATGAACATATTAGTGGTATAAGTTTCTAGAAATGAACTTTACTATATCAAAGATATGGCCACTTAACATTTTCATATATATTGCTAAATTACCCTAATTACTTCTTAAGAAACAATTTATTATGGAAAACAACAAAGTAGACTAGTACAATGAACTTCATTTTCATTTATCTTTTAACTTAGTTTTGACAATGATCAGTTCATGGTCAGTCTCATTTAATCTGTACTCTTACTCATTTCTACCCTTCTGAATTAGTTTGAAGTAAATCTTGTCATTCCATCCACAATTTAATATGTATCTAAAAGATAAAAATTTTAAAGTTTATAAGCACAGTAAAATTATTATACCTAAAAATTAGTATTTTTATACTATTAAATATCTAATTTGCTTCAATTTTAATTGATTCATAGATACACTTATTTGTTTTTGGTTTGTTTTTGGTGCTTTTTTGTTGCTGGGGACTGAACCATGGGCCTTGTGCCTGCCTGCAACGCAAGCATTCTACCAACTGAGCTATATCCCCAGCCCATTATTTTGGCTTTGTTTTAACAATTCATTTGTTTATATCAGTGTCCATGTAAGGTCCACATTTCAATTTGCTAATATATCCTTTTTATTCTAAAATTTCCCATCCCTCTCTCCAGTCCCCTGCCCCCCACCGCAGCTTATAGTGTTTTTGTTAAAGAAACCAGGCTTTTGATCTGTATTTTTTTAAGTCTGTATTTTGCTATTTGTATAAATATTAGAAGTCTCTATAGTACTAGTAGTTGTACTGGAGCGTAATTGGATTCATGTTTACAGGTGATGGTGTGTTCTTCACCTGGAAGCATACAGTGTCAGGTCAATTCCTTTTTGTGAGGTTAACCACAGTAAATATTCAAGGTTGTAGATTCATTAGGTTCCTGAGGGTTGCAAGATGGTGATATTCTAATTCATCTTCTATTTTTATTTATAAGCTGGATTGTTTCTATAAAGTAAAATTCTTGTTCATCTGCTACTTTTAAAAAAACAAGCCCATTTTTTTATTGATTCATTTTAGTTATACATAACATTACATTTCATTTTGAGATAATTTATAAAAGGATAGAATGTAATTTGCTCTAATTCAGTCCCCAGTATTTCCCCTTTCCCTCCCCAAGAGCATCTTTTAAAAAAAAAAAAATGATATGTTATACATACATGGAGTATAACTTCTCATTCTTCTGGTTGTACACGATGTAGAATTTCATTGGTTGTGTAAACATATATGCATATAGAATAGTAATGTCTGATTCATTCTACTATTTTTCCTGTTCCCATTCTCCCTCCCTTGCCTTCATTCCCCTTTGTCTAATCCAAAGTCCTTCTATTCTTCCCTACCACCATGTCCCTATTGTGAATTAGCATCCACATGTCAGAGAAAACATTCAGCCTTTGGTTTTTGGGGGATTGGTTGATTTTACTTAGCATGATATTCTCCAGTTCCATCCATTTATCAACAAATGCCATAAAGAAGAATGAAATTACGAGTAATACATATATATGTCACATGGTATATACATACCACATTTTCTTTATCTACTCATCTGCTACTTCTATAAAGCTAAATTCTTCCTCATTTGTACAGAATGATATAAATCATTTAGAAAAGTCAAAATAAATATTTGATTCTATTTATTCAATAATTTTTAAAATAACAAACTTATTACATTTAAAAATAATGAGTTGGTTGACTAGCATCCTTCAGTGAGACACTTGAGTCTGTTATAATCATTATCTTTATCAGTATTCAAATTGTCTTTGGACATTAATGCCCTCTTAAGCTGACTCCTGAATCTGTTTGGCAAGACTTTTAACTTCCTTCTTACATGATATTTCAGGTTATCTTGTAAATAAATATTCTTCCTCGGACCTGTAATCAGATTTCTCCTAGGACCTTGGTTCCTAATACCTGTATTCTTAACTTGTATTCTAATCCATTCTTTAAATTAATATTTTTAGTTATCAATGGACTTTTATTTATTTTTATGTGGTGCTGAGAATCGAACCCAGTGCCTCCCACATAGTAGGCAAGTGCTCTGCCACTGAGCCACAGCCCCAGCTCTAATCCATTTTTTAAATAGACCCCATGTAAATCAAATGAAGTGCAAGATTTGTGATCAGTGTAACCTTAGTGTAAACTTTAGGACCTGCAGACAAAAGATTGGAATCACTTTCAAAGTGGTTCTAAATATTCCTTAGAAAAGAGTACACCACAAACACTCAGTTGTTCATTTGGTACTTGCCTCTGCTGGGAACTACAGGTTCCAGTATAATTATTGGCTTTTCTGCAATCCAAGTAGCTTGGCAGGTACTTAGGATTAGATGAAGAAACTTTTTTTCAAGCCAGAAAAGGACCTCAGTCTCCCAGGAGTGCAGACAGCAAATTAGAAAGTTGCAGAAGTCTGTTATGTAGAATAACTAAATGATGAGCTGGGAGCTAAATCGTTTGAGGCTTTCAAGTCTGTTATTACTTCTTGTTGCCTACTTTTGCATTCTGTTAGGCATGGAGCTGTTTTCCTGTATTAATAGCTTTGGGAGGATACCCATCTAATTCATTTGAAACTGAAATTAAGATCACATTTTAGTACATTTGATTCAGATGATCTCAATTATTTTTTTTTTCTAGAGAATATCTAGGTACTAGTTATTACAGAAGATTCAGATATTACAAACTTGCTTCTCCATAGAAAGAATTATTTAGCTTTTCCAGAAGTAATGGTGTTAGCTTTCCAAAAAGAAATTATAATCTATAATAGTTTTTGTACTTTATCCCTCTCCCATCAAAACTATTGAACCTCAAATTATGTAAGGACTAAGTTCAGCTGACATCCTATTTGAAAAGAAACCCTATATAATTTTGTTATTAATTCATTAATTTGTTTAGCAAGCTTTATCAAGAGTGGGGTCAGGTAGGGGATGTCAGATACTGTGTGTACACTGGGACACAGAGGAAAAAGACCTACTCCTTGTCCTCAAGAAATTTTCAGGCTAATAGAAGAGACTAATAGGTAAAAAGAAACATTCTAGTCTGTCTGCGTGCAGGGTGCGCCCATAGCGTAAAGGGTTAAGAGGAGACTTTAGAATCAGGCTTTTTGGGTTTGTAGCTCAGATCTGTCAGTACCACCTTGGGCAAATTACTTAATCTCACTGCCTTATTTTCCTTGTCTGTATTATACTGTGGGAACTGAAACAACTAATTCCTTATTGACATTGGGGAAACATCCCAAAGAAACATTTGAATTTATTTTTAAACGATTAAAGAGACTAAAGTGGTCCTCTAAACCCTCCTTTAGGTTACATCTTTACTATTACTTTTTGGGGAACTTTGTCTTTCTAGTTCTGCCTCCAAAATACTTTAAGTCCCCTACTGGGCTCCTGTATCTTTAAGTCCTGTGTACTTACTTTCTTTTTTCTTTTCTGATTTGTAAGCTGCAGAAGAGCTAAGATCCATCCAATTTATCATTGTTTTTTCTAGTTCCCCTATAGTTTCTGATATTTGTTAAATGAGTATGTGAGCCAGATAATAAAAAGGGGAGGTTATTCCAAGCACAAGGAAATAATATTTACAAATATTCTCTTTTGCCTAGAGGAAGAGTGGAAGATAAGACTGGAAAGGTAACTTCAGGACACATTGTGAATTGTCAGTAAAATTAGTGCTATGGTATAGTTTTTAGAAAACGTTCTACTCTGTTGAAAATTACAGTTTTGGAGCTGGTTTGGATCAGAATTTGTGCTGAGAAATTACTTTTTAAAATATAAACAGAAAAAAAATATATAAACAGTTACCTTGAAGCTTATTTTAGCTTGAATGTTTTTTTTCTTTGTTAATTTGGGTGGTGGTGGGGGAGACTTCTACACTGAAGTCCCAAGCTTATATATTATCAGTAGAACCAACTGACCTTTTAAGTATATATCATGGTCAGCTTTGTTTTTAGGAAGATTATTATAGAATAGGGTTTGCCAGCCTGGACATCATTGATACTTTAGGCATAATAATTCTTTGTTGTGAGGTAAGGGGTTGTAGATTGTACGTTTGGCAGTATCCCTGTTCTCTGCCCATACAATGCCAAGTTACATTTCCTATCCCCTACCAGTTGAAAAAAACAAAAAAAAATGTCTCCAGATATTGCCAAATAACCTACTGTGCAACTGTATAAAGTATAGTTAGGGTATACTTCAGGCAGAGGAATCAGTTAATATGAAACTATTGGTGTAATCCAGATGAGATGAAGAGGTATGAATTAATACAGTTGCAGACAGGATTAGGGTGGGGACTGATTTAAGAGAGGCTGTGAGAAAATTAACAAGATTTGGTGACCAGTTAGATCTGGAGGAGATGAGATCTGAGATGAATCTCAGACTTTTTCCTTAGTTGGCTTCATCTAAAGCAATGCCGTTAACCTGAAGTAACATAAGAGGTAATTGTTTTTTAAAGCATGGTCAAAGGACAAGAGGAAAATTCTTTTACTCAAGTCTCGGAACTACTATTATAGAGTCCTAGGTTGGTAGATTGTTAGAACTGGAGAGAATATTCTATTTAGATTTTTAGATGAGGGACTTAGTGCTCTAAGAGATAAAGTACACTAAAGACTAGCAGGACAACCTAGTTTAGAGCAAGAATCTCCCAATTCTTGACCCTTTCTTTTTCAATGACACTATGCCTTTTCTGGGTTTCTAAAACTTGTGTATATGAATCCTCTCAGAGAGTTTACTTTTTCCCATCTATTCCCAGAAATTGTATTAAGGGACCATAAGAATGTTCAGTTTTCACTAAAATATCATTGTCAGTAACTAACACGTTTGTGAGTGAATAGTTCTTTAAATGGCACTAATCAAATACTGCCATTTCTACATATAATACATAAGGCAGAACTGTATTGGAAGTAGTTATATTTTCATTGACTAATGTAGATCTTAATCTGTAACAAACCATGTAATACTTAAAAATATTGAAAGGTAATTTGGTCATCTTTTAATATATGCATTGGTATGTATCATAAGAAACTAAAACATTCAACTTCATGGCCAAAAATACTAAAAACTTTGTATAACTGGTTGGATATCTTATTGAGTATTCCTTATTCCTGATGGAAGTGATAAGTACTTAGGAATCTCCCTTTCCATAATACTGTCATCAGCTTCCTCTTACTTTAGTTTTGTCTTCCTTGGTATCAACAGGAATTCATTTGGTTATTTTTAATCTTAAAGGTAAAGAACAATCGCCTTTGGAGATGAGTATGCATCCAGTGGCAACAGCTCCACTCTCAGTATTTACTAAGGAATCTACATCCTCCAAACACAGTGACCACCATCACCATGAGCATAAGAAAAAGAAGAAGAAGCACAAACATAAACATAAACACAAGCATAAGCACGACAGCAAAGAAAAGGACAAGGATCCTTTCACTTACTCCAGCCCTGCCAGTGGCAGGTCTGCTCGTTCTCCTCTCTTTCAGACTGAAAAAGGGACAAAGAGCCCTTTCCCTCTGTGTCCAGAAGAATGTATATAACTAAAGCTTTATCCTCTGTAGAGAATGATAAAAGGCAGGAAAGGATTTGCTTTTCTTACATAAATTCAGAATCCATTTAAGTCCTAGACATTTGATTTATATTATTTATACAATTGAGATTTAATTAGGAAGATGTGTTTTATGGTTCTGGATAAACTATTTCATCGCCTGTTTCCTACTTAAAACACTCGCCTGTTTCCTACTTAAAACACACAGACACACAAAGAAAACTTCTTTTACAAAAGCCCTGGTGTCCATTGGGCAGTCCCCATTCACATCATGATCTCCATGTGTACTGCCAAAACCAATTATGTTTGAAAGCCTTTGATGGATGTTATGGGGCAGAGTTACGGTTTAAACAGAAGCAACTGCCAAATTTGTGGTGTAACCACTATTTCCAGTGAAATATTGTATAACGCCATTTGAAACTACTGAAAAGACAGAGGCTTTTCTATAGGAGTCTTCCCTCTTGCACTATTTTTTGTGTTAACAGTAGAAACTAAGCAATGTAATTTATGAACAAAGAATATGTTGTGTTTCCTTTTATCCTGAAATACTACAATTTTTGGAAGAAGTTCTTTTTAGCAAAAATTGGAATAACTATCTTTGATAGCACATTTGGTGATTATGATGTTGGAATTTAACAGAGATACCAAATCCACAGTTGTTCTCAAATCAAGATGCTTAAATTATAAGTTTTGTTTTGTCTTCCATTAAGTATAAGTGAATAGGTTCATATGTAAAATGTTTTGTTAGATGTGGACAAATTACACACCCAACATGTATTCTTTTTAAAATCATATACCACAACGTATGACCTTAAGGTGAGTTTATTTGTTTATTAATTTGGATGAAGACAGTTCAGTACTCATGTGAGTGTAACAAACATTTGCAAACATGTGAAACGTTTTGGTTTCATGGTTTAGTAATCTGTGTGGTTTTGTGTTTTTATTTTTTCTTCTAGATTTACCACGTGTTTTATTGTTTGTTTAAGAATGCTTTTTATATCTTCAATTTTTATCATTTCCCATGTCATTAAAAAGTTTGACAAGATACTTGTTCCCTGAACAGATATTTCAAAAGGGATCCAATATTGTTAAACTTTTAAGTATACTTTTAGTTGTATTTAACTTGTTTAATAAATAACTTTTTAAATTGACCATTCTGCCTTTGTATCTTTCTATGTTGTTTGTTTCCTTTTTTATTGTGTATATATAATAAACTTATCCACATGGTTTGCAGAGCACTTTGCAAATAGGTGAATTTGAGTTGGCCTCAATAGCAAGGATCATTTAGTGGGTAAAGGTGAGGCAAAAGTGTCTCAGCAGAAGAAACAGTATCTTCAAAGGCATGAGCAAAGTAAGGACATATTTGGGAATTAGAAAGCACAGATGGCTTGGAATGTGAATGCAAAGGAATATATTCAGATGTTGAAGTGCTTAAATGATAGGTATTTAAAGATTCTAATTAATTGAATGTTGACCAACTGAAATTATTTTTGGAAAACGGGATCTTTTATGATAGAGTCCACAGTGGTACTGTACATAGAACTCGAAGCTTTGAAAATTCTACAGACAAGTTTTCAGTTATTTGTGTTGTAGGAAGAATGGCAAATAATAGCTTTCTATTATAATTTAAAAGCACCTTTTGTGCTTTTAAACTAGGATGTATTATATGTGCTATTGCAAAATTGGATATTTGTATTATTCTTGTGAAGAACTTTTTTTATAGTTCACTCTCGATTATTTAGGCTGATAGTTCAGAGCAAACAATGTGAAAATTACTTTATTCAGGTTTTTGAAAATAGGTAATTATACACAAACAATATAGACTTCTAGTGTAAACATCTCAGTCTGCTTCCCTCCTTCCACAGAAGCAGTCATTGCTGGCAGTGTTTAGTGCCTTTCTATAGCTAGTCCATATACATTTACAGGTATATATATTTATACAGTTTTTGTTGGTGGTGGTTTTTTCTTTTTGCTTTTAATATTTTTAATGCAAAGCCATTGTAACAACAATGGCAACAAAAGAGAGGAACAGAAATGCTGTTCAGATATAATTATTTTGTTTCCGTTCTCTGGTGTCCTGTGGATTTGCTTTAAATCTGATATATATATATATATATATATATATATATATATATATATATATATATATATATATATGTATTTAGTTGTAGTTGGACACAATACCTTTATTTTATTTATTTATTTTTATGTGGCACTGAGGATTGAACCCAGCCTCTAGCACATGGTAGGCGAGCTCTCTACTGCTGAGCCACAACTCCAGCCCCTAAATCTACTAGACTTTTGAAGCCAAATGTCTAAATGAGATACATAGAAAAACAAAGATACATAGTCTCATGTAAGATAGTTTGCTGCTGCCTTCAAATCTTTGGAACAGAGTACCAAAAAAGTGAGGGTTTTTTTTCTTCCATTTTATTCTTTTTTTTTTTTTTTTTTTTTGCCTTTAGTTATTTTTCTTATTCCATGATTATAAAAGAATTTCCCTCTTTTTTTTCTTTTAGAGTTTTTAAAATGTTTTTTCAAGTTTATACCCTTTGTCTAACTAGATTCCATCTTGAATTGTTTTGATAAAATATTGATAGGGATCCACTTTTTTTTTCCTTCTCGAATGCTACCCAACACCGTGTGTTTAAAACTCTTGTCTTTAATTTCTAGATTTCAATATATTCTTTACTAAATTATTTTATAGCTGATTTCATGGATCTGTCTTCTTATCACTACCATACTGTTTAGATTATTATAGAACTGTGATATAACTAATGTTTTATTACTTTTCATTTTCAGAATTTTTTGTCTCTTCTTGTGGACTATTTTCTTTTTTCCTTTGATTTATCTTCTAATTTATATGTTGTAAAATCTACTCCTTGTCGTATACTTATCAGTTTTCCACCCTGTTATTTTTTTCCTTTTTGTGGGTTTATTTTCAGTATTTATATGAAATCAGTTTTTCTAGTTTCTCCTCAAAATTATTTTTGTAGTTTGTGGTTAAATCAGGAAGTAACTTAGAGTTGATATCCTGCTATTGATTCATATTAGAGATGTCAATATTACTATTAATATAATAGTTCTTTTAAAATCATTATGTTATCATTTGATATCCTATAAATTGTCTTTTTTCACTATAAGATTATTTATTCTTTTATGCTAAACTTGTGCTTAACTATCTGCCTGAATTCTCATTATTTGCAAAATTTTAAAGCATTTCTTCAATTGTCCTTGAAAATAATTACATCTGTAAATGATGGAAGTATTATTACCTCTTTTCAAGTCTTCATGTACTAGTTTTCTAATTTTGCCTTTTGTATGACATCTTTTCTCTTGCTAAGTTTGCCTGAGAGTTGCGAGGATGAACATCCTCTCTCATGGTCTTCCTCCACCCTGTGTACTTTGGCAGCCCTTCCTCGTGTGTCATGGGTTGAGATTCACATTTCTTTTAGTTCCTTGGTATGGTTTTGCTTCTTGTTCTTTGTGGGGTCTTTTTTTGGTACTGGGGATTGAATTTAGGGGCCCTCGATCACTGAGCCACATCCCCAGCCCGATTTTGTATTTTTATTTAGAGACAGGGTCTCACTGAGTTGCTTAGCACCTTGCTTTTGCTGAAGCTGGCTTTGAACTTTCAATCCTCCTGTCTTGGCCCCAAGCCAAGCTGCTGGGATTACAGGAATGCGCCATCATGCCTGGCTTCTTTGTGTTTCTTTTGGTTGCTTTCATAGAGATTGGAGAAGCTACTTATCTACCACCAAAGTCATGCAACTCCATAAGAAGACAATTTTGATCAAAATATCATCCTTACTTTGAAATCCTTATCTGTGAAATGACTGGAAAGCTACTAGTTTTCTCATCCTTTCTATTTTTTTAATAAATAAATGAAATTCCCTCAGATCAAATGTTTACCGGTCTAAGCAGAACTTTATTTCAAAGTTAAACTCCTAGCACCTTCCCCTTTGTGAAAGTGTGTGCTAGACTTGCTTCTAAGAATTGAGTACATAAAGGGAAAAATAGGAACTTCACTGTTAAGAAAGTGACAGAAGTTATCTTAATCAAGTAATCATAGTGACAAGTTGTGTTAATATCTTATAGAATTCTTAGTGTGATATGATGAGAAGGCCACTTACCTGTAGGTATAAAAACCTACAATCAGAGGTGGGGTTGTAGCTTAGTAGTAGAGTGCTTGCCTGGCACATGTGAGGCATGGGGTTCAGTCTTCAGCACCACATAAAAACAAATATTACAAAACAACTAAAAAATATTAAACAACTAAGAAAATAAACCTACAATCTTGATTACCCAATCTAATCATACTTATCATAAGAGATGTAACAGACAAACTTAAACTGAGGGACACTAGAAAATAGTTGTCCATTAATCTCAAAGCTTTCACATCATTTAGAACAAGACAGTGCTGGGAAATTCACAGACCAGACGAGGCTAAGGAGACTATAACAACAATGCATTGTGATATCCAGGATTGGATCCTGCAAGAAAAAAAATAACTTTAGTGGAAGAACAAATGAAATTCTAGTGCATTTTGGAATTTCATTAATGTACTGATGTTGCTGTTATGGTTTGAGTGTTTTTGCCCCTCGCCCCCAAATTGATGTTAGAAATTGAACCCCCAATGTGATGGTATTAGAAGGTGGGAACTTTTTAGGTCATGAGGGTTTCCATTATGAAAGAAAGCCATGAGAACTAGCTTGCTTCTTCAGACAGAGGGGAACACTGAAGAAGACATCACCCATTAACCTAGAAGCAAGCCCTTACTAAGCATTGAATCTGCTGACATCCTACTTGATCTCGGACTTCCCAGAGTCCAGAACTGAGATCAATTTTTCTTTTTTATAAGCTACTTAAAAGTATGCCCAGTCCAACCACTTACATGTAGTAGGACAGTCGTTTTTTAGATTTGACAAATGTACTGTGGTAATATAAGATATTAACAATAGGGAAAACTGGGTGAAGAGTATGTGGGAATACTAAGGAAGAGTTGCTAATAGAATTGCAATCCTAAAATATGAGTGTATTTTGCTTGTCTCTATGACCCAAATTATTTACTTCTTAGAGATATAAAAATTCATTTCCTCAATTCAGGATTTAGAATAAAATTTTGTACACTTATTAGAAGTACATTTGGAGAAAGGTCAAAGGTACCAATGATAGTGGTCCAAAATTTGTAATCAAGAGAGAATTGTGAAAGGATTTCTTCCAAGGAAGAAATGAAAAGGCTGAGGAATAAGTAAGTCTTTTTGTTATTATAAGTTAACAATTTATAATTGTACAGATTTATGGGGTACACAGTGATGCAATGATTTAAGAATATGATGTGGGATGATTAATATATTCCTTCAAATATTTATTTTTTTGGTGAGAACATTTAAAATTTGGTTTTACCAATTTTGTAATATATAGTACACTCACTCACTGTTCATCATAATTGTGCAATGGAATTAAAAAAAATCCTTATTCCTTCTATCTTACTGAACTTTGACCATACCTCCCATTACCCCCACCTCTATAACCACTATTCTTTTTGCTTCTGTGAGTTCAATTGATTTAGATTCATGTGTTGTCTTTCACTGCCTTATTTATTTCATGTAGTTTAATGTTCTCTAATTCTATCCGGTTGTCACAAGTGACAAAATTTCCTTCCTTTTTAAAATTTAATATTATTTCATTGTGTATATGTACCATTTTCTTTATCTGTTAAATTATTAATGGATACCAAGTTGATTCCGTGAATTGGGCATTATAAATAGTGCTGAAACGAATATGGAAATGCAGATATTTCTTTGACAAACTGATTTCAGATCTTTTGGGTACATACTCAGGAATAGGATTTCTGGATCATATGGTAATTCTAGTTTTAGGTTTTTGAGGAACCTCAATATAACATTGCATAATGACTGTACTAATTTACATTTCTACCAACAATGTATAAGGGTAACCTTTTCTTGGTATCCTTGCCAGCACTAACTTTTATCCTTTTGATTATGCCATCATAAAATATGTAAGATATTATGTCATTGTAGTTCTCATTTGTATTTCCTAATGACTAGTGTTATGGTTTAGATATGCAATAAGATTTAGAAGGGAAATGATTGGGTTATGTGAGCCTTAACCCAATCAGTGTGTTCAT